CTAAGCCGCCTCGCCTCCCCATCTGTGAGCATTGGCCGCCCGCGCCGCGGACGGATGGTCGAACGTTGGCGGCGTCGACCTTCGTTATCTCGGCCGAGAAGCTTGAGAGACTCCAGAAGAGTGTCGAGCTTGCCGAAGCCGCGGATCCGGAAAGTCAAAGTCTTAGCAAGGAGTCGGGGTCGCTATCTCTCGGCGATGTGTTGCAAGCCTTCTTCTGGCGCGCCGCCGTCCGGGCCCGTCGACGTGCCGAGGACTCCTCCCCTGATGACATGTCCATCATCGAGATGCCCACTGACGTCCGCCCCTACTTCAGTTCGCACCTCCCGCCAACATACATGGCCAACTGTGTCATCATGAACCGGCAGCACATGTCCATCTCGGAGCTCTGCTCTTCTCAGACATCCCTTTACAAAATTGCCCAAATCTGCCGCAAGGCGCGTACTCGAGTCGATCAAGAGCTTGTCCACGATGCCTTCAGTCTGCTACATACAATTCAAGATAACAGCCCAGGAAACCACACGACGGCGTTCCTAGGCCAGGGCATCCAGGACGGCCCACACTCGCTCTTCAATAACATGATGCTCTTTCAAGCTAGCGATATTGGGCCTTTCGGTGGTGATATATTCGAAGCGCCCGAGGCAGTGAGGGTTCAGATGGATTGGCTGAATAAAGCATTCAGAAGTCTCTTCATTTTGCCGATGAGAAAGGATGGCGGTGTCGAGTTGCTGCTGGGGACCTTACCTGAGGAACTGGATGCGATGAAGAATGATCACGAGTTTATGCAGTTTGCTGAGTTTCTGGGATAGGGAAAGGAAAGGAAAGATGAGAGGGAATGCATAGATAGGATGGTATGGTCCCTTGGAGATAGTGCTTTGTAAATCTCAATGATGTTCTGCTATAGTACTATTTTATCTTATGTTATTTTATTTTATTTTGCTTGCACAAAGCGCATTTTTGGTGTTGATTACACTTTTTCCGTCTACGGCTAGAAAATCCATTACCATGATGACGCTCTGCTGTGCCCTTTAATCAGCCTTGTCCGGTCGCGATCTTATCGAAAGGGAGATCCCCCAAGAGTTTGTGCTACCAACAAACAAGTGCACATTGAGGATGGACCACACCAGTCGCTGTAATAGGTACGGAGAGAGAAAAGCCCCAGGGTACTCGTAGGACTTCGCAACCGAGAGAGTTGATTCCACGTCCGGTGTATGCGACATGTCCATATCCAGTTCGTCTCCAAAGGGAAATTCTCCTAGCGCACACATTACCCGAGCCAGTTGCCTAACTGGGCAATGGTCCTGTGGGGAGTTGCGGATCCTGTCAGCGGGATTGTCATCCTTGCGAGGCCTAGCTCCGAGCCCTCACAGCCCCAAAAGATTGGGACAGTTTCCGGTCGGAGGTGGTTCATTTTAGAGCAGGACTTGGGATGACTAACGGCATGTTCCCAGTCACAAGAGTTAGGACGTATTTAACATCTTTTCACACATCTCGTCGAGTTTCACAACTCACTGTCTTTGTTACATTATCCAAAGGTCTTTCTTTCTTTGCCTTAATCAATCAAAGGTGAGCAGTCACAAATCTCCCCTGAGGGAGGAATTCTCATAATCATGTCGACTTGCTAAACTCTTCATGATCCTGCAGGCAATGGATCTCAGCAAATACATCACCCCGCTACTTGCGGGACAGTATCCTTTGGGAGGAGCTGTGCTTGTCGCCGTCGTCGCATTCGTGCTTCTGATGCTGATCGCGCAGAAAGACGGTATCCCCGTTATCAACAAATATCCTAACGACTGGTTCTTGAGCAAGGCTCATATGGCCTTTATCACTAATGCTGATGGCCTCATCAAACAGGGGTTTGCCAAGGTGCGCGAAAGCTCTTCTTCTATGGCTAATGGAGAAAAGGAGTACTGACAAAAAGAAACCAGTTTAATAAGCCTTTCCGCATGATCACACTCCTGGGAGATAGAATAGTCCTCCCTGCCGACCATTTCGAATGGATGAGACGCCATGGTCCCCATCTTGATCACCAACCGCTGGTGTCCAAGGTACGGACGCTTGCCTTCTAGGCCGCTCCATTGAATATTGACTGAACTGCTTGTATAGGATTTCTTTGCAGGTTATCCTGGATTTGATGGCACGGCAGCCATATCGGACCCGTCTAAACTTTTGGCCAACGTTATCAAGAAGAAGCTCGTTCAAAACCCTCGTGAGCCCGACCATTTCTCTTCGCATTGATGTAATCATGCTGACTCGAGGCTTTCTAGATGTTAGCAAGCTACACAATAATGTGCGAAAAGACTTACTGGCAGCTTGGCCCGAACAAAGTGACGGTACGTGTGGCATATGTTCAGCATCTACCCATCCTGTGATCCGTGAGCATCAACTAATGGCCAAGCTAGATTGGAAAGCAGTCGACTGGGCCAAGGATGGTGTCAGCCTTATCAGCCGGATGTCCGCGTCGGTATTTGTTGGCGAGGAGCTGTCGCGCGACGAGACATGGCAGCAGGTCAGTACTAACTACGGTATGACCGTGTTCCTTGCGGCTCGCGCGTTGCGAGCATGGCCGCGATTGCTGAGACCTATTGTACAATGGTTCCTCCCGGCTTGCAAGAGTTGCAGAGCAGAAGTCCAGCGCGCCCGCGAAGTCTTGCACAAGAACCTCGCTAAGAGGGCGGCCGAAGACAAAGAGCACGACGATTCAATTAGCTGGTTCGGCGAGATTGCGGGCGGTAAGAGCTATGATCCTGTCGCCGCCCAGCTTGGAATGTCTATGGCTGCTGTGGTGACTACCTCGGAGCTATTGAAGCAGACGATCATTGAGATATGCGCCCACGACCTGGTTGCTCCCCTCCGAGAGGAGGTGGAAGCCGTGGTTGCCGAGCATGGATGGTCTCCTGCTGCGCTGACCAATATGCGCTTGCTCGATAGCGTCATCAAGGAGACACAGAGATTGAACTCTGCAGTTATTGGTAGGTCGATAAGACGCCCGCCCCAGCATTATATATCAACGCATTAACATATTATAGTCAATCTCGACCGCCAGGTCCTATCGCCAGTCACCCTACCTAACGGCCAGTACCTACCCAAAGGGACAGCTATCTCAATCTACATGTCGCAGCTCCGGAACCCCGAGGTATATGATAACCCAGACACCTTCGATGCATACCGCTATGTGAAGCTTCGTGCGCAGGGTGGGAAGTGGATCTATGCTAGCTCGGCTACTTCCACGAGTGAGGATCATTTCGTGTTTGGTATTGGTAAACCTATTTGCCCAGGGCGATTTTTTGCTATCGCCGAGGTGAAGACAGCTATTGCTACCATCTTACTAGACTATGATGTGCGGCTAGCTGAGGGATACAAACCGAAGCTGATGCCGTTTGGCTTTGAGCTGTTCGCCGATCCGGGAGTCCAATTGGAGGTCAAGCGGAGATCATAGATTTTAGTAGAAGGCATAGAACACCGAACTTGGATATTGCTACGATTTATTGCCTCGGATCTTAGGATATTATTCTGACTTTGCTCATGTAGCTTCCTCGTGATGCTCAAATTATCACCCGCCGAGTATGCCCTGCACTCTCTTCCAGCCCTGAGCCAGCACTCGATATAGACTGTAGCACAAGTCAAGCGGCTTGTTTGTCTTGGTAAAATCCAGAAGCCAATGATAGTCTTAGTCGTTGATTTAGGCCCGAGATCGAAGAAAGAGGGGGTGTTTGCTGTCGAAGCAGAAGACCTGGGGGCACTAATACTTTCTTGCATACCTACCAGGAGACGCCTCAGCTTCAGCTTCACTGAGTTACTATCGAGTTTGTTGTGTGACCGGGCCGCCTGGATGAGGCTGCTTGGTCGCTGTACTTAGCTGAAGTCGGCCAGGACATGGATACGTCTAAAAGCAAAGATCCTTCCCTGGATAATGCAAGGTAGTGAGAAAGACACCGTTGACTTTGTTCCACTAGTTCTTCACAAGCAATAGATAGTGGTTGGCTAGGCCCCTCAGGGTAAGGAAAATGAATTGGATGCGGAAAAATATAAATCACCAGGATGTGACTCCGGCATCATTCAGTGCAGTACCGCATTCAAACCAGAAGCTATTTATCAACATATATCGAAAACATGCCCAGTCCCTGTCTGACAACTTGTTGGAGAGACGGGCTTTAGAGCGGTCGCAGAGGCGGGATCAAAATCACAGCTGGGCCTGCTCTAGAAGAGGCTCGTGAGAATTAGATATCTCCATTACATTACGTAAAGTAGGATATGAAACACTATATACCTTTACAAGATCTAAACTATCTCAAACACCGTTATTCAATTCTTAAAACAGATGCAAAGTGATCAGGCAGCGCTACAAATGTCTCATGGCAAAGAGCCCCAAAGTGGGCAGAGCCGAAACGGTAATCATTGCTAACCCCTCATATTGCAGCAGTCACAAGGCATCTCGTAAAATATCTCGCTGAGGTTTTCCTTTTTGGAACTCTCTGACAGAGCCTTGTGCAACCCTAAGAACTGCCTTAGCCTCCTCAGCCCCAATGCCAAGCGGATTTATGCAGTGGAAGAATAATAATAATAGAGAGGACTTCTAAAAAAGGATTTTGGTAGCAAGGTCTCAGTGCGCGATGGCATCTATTGTGATAAACCCTCCCCACTAAAGATGGGGATTCGCTGAGTGATCATGTCCTGCCAGCTTGTATCCCCCTGCAGTCAGCAAACCCCAACAGGTTGGCGGTGTTTGCGCCCAAAGCTTCCAGCGCATTGCCTCACCCGATTTGTCGAGTGTTCGCTTCATTCTCAAGTTGGATGCAGCCACTGTTCGTCAGAGGATGGCTCGGCCTTGAAACTGCAGAAACCCAGCCAACTTCATCGGCATCTTCTCCCCTTGCACCAACTGCGAAGCCCGACACAGCATCCAAGAAACAAAGCAAAAGTACAGTAAATGGATACAGTTATTAACCCAATGGGGACTCGAGATCACAGCATTGGCTCTCAGTCTGATAGCCTTCGGACCAATGATCTATCTTCTGTACCAGTCAGCTGGAGAGACGATATCCAAATGGACCAAAACTCATATCTCCCTCAACACAGCTGTCTCCATCTTGGCTGGAACATCAAGAGCTTGCCTGGCATTTGCTATCAGCATGTGCCTGTCCCAGGGCAAATGGAACTGGCTGAGTCGATCTGCACAGCCACTGGTGGACTTTTATCGTTTCGATGCTGCTAGTCGAGGAGCTTGGGGAAGTCTGCGTCTGCTGCAATCTTGCGTGCGTCGACTGAAAGTGGTTTCTTTCCAGTAATTGACTCTACCACTAAGTGAACCGCCAGACACTGGATAGAGATCGGTGCTCTGACTGCTATTGCCCTTCTGGCTTTCGAACCCTTTACCCAAGCTGTCTTAGCTATAAGAGATAAGGAAGGCACTTTAGACCACCGAGAGTACAACAAGGTAGTACAGTCCAGTAATGGTTCTCTTGAAACCCATGGCAATGTTCCTACAATCAGCCGATCAACTCGTTTAGATGCCGCATCGTGGACCGGGGCTTTTGTCGGAGTAGGTGTCGTTCAATTCCCAGAACCTAACAATAAGCCTATGAACTTCTCAGTCTATTGCACCTCAAGTAACATCCAGGAAGATATGGGTATGAAAGCGGCCACGTGGAATGGGTTTTCACCCTTCACAACACGGCAAAACCTGAAGCCAGCATTCGCCTGTGCAACAGGGAACTGTACCTTGGCCAATTTCACTTCCATCGCTGTCTGTTCCAAGTGTCGCGACATATCAGGATATGTCACCAAGTCATCTGGGCCCGTGAAACTCCCCTCAGGTGTTCGAGCTACAGGACCATATGATCAGTCGTGGGTGTTGGGGCACGGGGAAACCCTGCCTGATGTGAGCAACCCCAGGCCATACTTTGATTGGGTAAACGGCCGGAACTTCACTTTCCTCGACCATGAGATTCCAGAGCTGAATGTTAGCATTTAAAACCATAATGGAAGTCGTCAGTGCCGAGACTTGTCCCAACAATGTCCCGATACTTACCTATCTGCTCGGGTTACAACCAATCCAGGGCAGACCTTGACGTTTGGCAATCTCAGCACCATTGCCATGGATATACAGTATTTAGTTTCAAATGAGACTTGGCTCGATGACAAGACTCCTTGGGAAGACACGAAAGTTAGTGCCTGAGAATGTGCACTGTCACTCTGCGTGAACGAGTATCACGATGGACTCTCTCAGGGAGCCTTACAAGAAACTGTGGCGTCTTCGTGGACGGACAGAGAGCCAGAGTCTTACACAAACGATGATAAGAATTTGAAGGCTTTCATTAAGTACACGAACCATAGTCTCGACATGGGCATTTTGTTAGTGGACCTATCCAATCTCCAGATTAAGATTCCAGACCGGGACTACAAGCGACAAGCCTCCGCTTTACGGAAACAATACTTCAACATTACACAAACCACCATTATAGCACTACAAAATGTCTTGAGTGACGGCTTCGGTGGAATCCGCGATCTCAAGTCTCCCTATAGGGACTACGTTGATAGAATTTCCAAAAAGCTGTTATACCCAGCATTAGGAATGAATCAGTCCATTGTTGGTTTCCTGTCTGGGCTTGGGCGATCAAGCGACATACCTGCAACGTTGGACAACGTCGCTCTCAGTTTGACGAATCGGATAAGAGATCGAGAGCTAGAGGTAAGCCCGAAGGTCGGAAATGCAACAAGCATGGTAATCGTTACACGTGTGCGATGGAATTACCTATGGTTTCCTGGTGCAAGTCTCTTAACCGGAATGATGTTTGCGGTTCTGTGTATGTGGGAGACGCAGAAGTTGAAGAAGCCGGCACTGAACGATAGCATACTGGCGACTTTGGCATGTGCGCCGGATGAAGACTTGCGGTTATGCCTGAAACAAGCTGCTGCCACTGAAAGATTACAAGAGGTTGGAAGATAGTTAGAAGTGCGCTGGGAGGAAGATGGTGAATTTGGCCAGTTGAAGGAAAAGAAGGATAATCAGCCGACCGTTTGATGAACGAACTAATAGATGTAAAGACGAAGATGAAGATAAACGATTATGTTATGATACTTAGATACATTCTGTCTACTTCGAGTCTGGGAGCTCCAGGATGACGCGTCGATACCTTCGCATCGGATATGAGCCTTTGTTGTTGGTAACCTGAAGGATAACATGCCATTCCTTGTCGACCGAACTGGGCTGCTCCTCTTCCCAACTAGTCAAGTTTGTCGATATCCTGACCCTTGGCCCCAATACCACGTTACTGAAACCTGCTTCATTCACAGCGAGTGTGCCGTTTGTTCCAGCTGGCGGCGACAGTGCATCAACGGAGAAGAAGTTCGCCGCAAGACTGGTCAGCATTGGCGATGCACACTCCGCATAAGAGTACCACTCGAAGTCAAGCCCAGATGAATCGTCTTGACTATCGGTATCAATAGTATTGCTGGCATCCAAGAAAATGGCGTCCCTTGGACCAACCTTGAATCGCAGGGGCTCACTGCCCATGGATCCGTTGACGTTGATGCTCGGCGGGTGAGCGCCCTCTTCAAAGCTATCGACCAGAGTCCACTGCATACGAGCAGCAAAGTCGTCTTGGTACGCATCGCGCCAGCGCCAGATAGTAGCATAAGGACTGAACCAACTTTGACCCTTGGTGTTGATTAAAGCATCCCCTGATGTGCCATACTCGTTAATGTCAGTGTCTTCCGTGACACGAGTATATCGACCTCCCCAGCCTCCATATTCTGGTCGACCAGGGACGTTCAGACCATTCTGGATGTTCCAAATAAAGCTGGGACTATCTCCCTCCATTGTGTAAATAATCTTAGGGTACTCCGCTCCAAGAGGACCCAGACGAATGTTGGGGGTAAGCCAACCGTCTGTCACTTTTGTTGTGTTGGCTGCGCCGTTGTCGGCAGTAGATATACCAGTCCATGTCCCAAGTCGATATTCGCGGTAACCGTGTACGTTGACGATGAAGAAAACATCTGGCCATTTGACGCGAATGTAAGCACCGGTATCATCCTGGTCCGAGATGGAGTAAACCCTTAGTCGAGATCGAAGGTCGACAGCTTCTTTCCTGCTCTTTGTCTTTTCAATGTGCTGCAGCGCTTGAGCTAAAGTGTTGGCTCCGCCCCAAAGACTAACATGGAGTGGTTCTTTGGACTCTTGAAGACGCTTTACGAGGAGTTTGGCGCCGTCGCTGATGGGCTCCTTGAGGGCCGCTCGTCCATATGACTGATGGGATTAGCTTGCGAGACCATTTAGACTGCCGGGAAACTCACGCGAGGCCCGGATGAAATTTGCTTCAATAGCTCCTCGGGTTTCGGATATTGATTGTCGGGGTGAACATGCTGGTTCAGCTTATCAACAACCTTAGCATAGGCCTTGATGATCTTCTTGATTTCACTGGGATGGGTGTCGTTTCGTAAGGACCAAGAAGTAACGGCGACGAGGCCTCGGGTGTCGAATTCGTTTGAGTACAGCAGATACCGGACCATTGACATTGAGTCATCGGGTTCATTGAGGATATCGGTAAGAATGAATGTTCTCACCCGAGACACCTTCGGAAGGGTGCTCAAGTCAGCCGAGCCATGTTGCTGTGGCACAGCGAGGACAAAGCATGACTGCAGCCAGAGAACTACAGACAGAAGATGGGTGAAGAACAGCGCCATGTTGATGCTATGCAGCGAGTCCTTGGCCTACAGCATGCTCCGGACGTGAGGCTAGGTCTGGCGTTTTTGTACTCCATGATGTAGAAGTTTGTTACTTGGATAGGCATCGGCCAACCGACATTTAGCCAAACTTTGCCTTGTTAATAGCTTCTAGTCATGGTTTGTGCGGTCAAGGAAGGAAATCGGAAGCGTCTTGTCAAGGAATCCCCGCAAACCCCAGGTATTGACCCATGAGGCTAATGCCTTCTTGGGTTGAAGGGCCGTTTTCTGGACTAGCATTCCCCGCACTCCGGAATACCAATATTTCGGATCTGTTTGTCATTCGCTGGCGCTTTAGAGGTCAGAACTCTTCCTTGTTAGTGAACTCGGCGGAGTGCTTATTCCTGCTTCTTTGGGCGACATCGGTGGACAACGATAAATAGCACGGTAACAATATTCGGCAATCGGTCAAATGATCTGCCTTGGAACATCAGAGCGATAGGTCACTTGGATCCAAGTACTGAGTAGATAGATTGTTCATATTGACTATCAGAAACAAAAGCCTGCCATCATGTAACAGAATGAACTTTGGCCTTTGGTGTTCTTCCATTGAATCGCAATTGCGATAGAGGTAAGGGTGTAACTTGAGGCACAACACCAACACTGTTGCGTGCTTCAAAGCTGGTCTTCTCCCCAACCTGTAGGCTTGGGTTGATCCTTTTCGTGAAATGTGATACCACGCCGATGAGGCAAGTCCTTTGGCCGCAATTCTGGGTCAAGCATATCAACAAAAGTCTGGTTAATCGTGCCGATCCTGAAGTTGGAGAAAGTCACAGATGCGTTGCGAGGTAAGTCGTCAAATTCTTTCCCGTCATTCTCCAAACGATAGATCTTGTCATACTCTCGCTACTCAGAGGGTTAGTCTTGTCCACAGTATAGCTTGGAAGAAAACACTGACATCTCGGAATAAACTGAAGACAGGCACCATCATGTATTGGTTGCCGCGACCTCGCTGCCACCATGTACCAGCTCTTCTCCACCGCTTGCCCCACTTGAAATCCGAAGCCATCTTTTTACAGAAAGCTTTATTCATGGTATTAAACAGCGCACCGTTGGGTCTGTAGTCAGATGGTGCGCTGCGGTAAAGCTTCCCATCTTGGATATAGTACGTGGCCCTAGTTTTCAGGATAGCAATTACTCTTGGTGTCTGCTGTGCGAACCACTGGTTCACAACGCTGAACTTCTTTGTCGAGTCGATAGTGTTGGTTGGCCCAGGACCGAAGAACGGTTTCTGGCGGTTCCCATTAGGGTTCCAGCTGCAGCCGAACGCGAAACACCTTGTTGAGCACTTTTCATCCTTGCATGTATGATACCACGGGGGAAGGCATGGACTAAAGCTGAAATCCGTAGACTCTATGTTTCCCTCCCATAGCACAAAAGAGGCGCAGCAAGCACCGAGACGCCCTTTGCCCAACTTTGGGTCGTGCTTTGAAGGAACCCATCCATCGTAATTAGCTCTTCCCTCGACGAACCTTTGGCCTAGGTCGCATGTAGCATCGCAATACCCGGTTCCGTACCTGGCACCGGCTTTGTCGCCCTTTGCCTCCGATTTACCGCCATCTGGCCACATCCAATTAAGTGACACTCTGGCCTTGTAACCTGGGGGGACGTTTCGAATCTCCAGATCGAAAGTATACTCTGAATCGCGTTGGTCGATCAAACGAGGTGCCAGGTAACGCTCGTCCTCCTTCAAAGTAAACACCCGAATCAGATCTTTCGGAGTATGAGGGGCGCTGGCGCCGAGGTCCAGTGTCAGGCTAGTGTCGTCGGTCGATATGCCATGAGCTTGGTAGTCAGCGCCCTCGATACAGCAATCCACGGGGCAGGTCTCTTTGTCCTTCTTTTTGCAGTCTGTTCTGTGTAAATCCTTGATGTTGAAGCTACCGGCGCAGCAATTTGTTTCACGTAGCGTGGAGTCCAGAACGACGGCACCGTAGAATTTCTGGCAAGGCTTTTGATCACAGTGATACCAGGTGAGAGGTGGATGTTTCTCCTCTATATTGCCACATGGCCATTGCGCATACACTGAAGCAAACAACGACGCACCAAGGAGGATAGCGCGGTTCATGGTGAAGGGCAGCGTTTAGGAGCAAGACAAGAAGACGTGAGTAGTCAGTGAAAGGAATGAAATTGAAGAACGAGGGGTCCGTTATCCCGTCAAGACAGGTGTTATTATAAGATCTATGAATTGGTCTTACCGTGAGGGGAAACGTTCGAAATGAGGAGTCGATAGGAAGTCTGAGTTCTCTGTGGTGATATAAGCTCTCAGCCACAAGTCTCAACTGCATGTAACACATCTGGCTCACAACTTAGACATTATACCGAAATGCATGAGCAATCGCTACAGCATAAATTCTGGTATGAGGAAAACCTAGATTAGATAGGAAGTCTGACCAACAATTGATCGGAGCCGTTTCCATGGTCCAATCGATACAACGTTGGCGGCCTTTTATTTTTTTTTCAGCGTCACGAGTATAGCAGCTTTGAGGGGTTGCCTTGACCGGTGCCGCTACGATATTTATATGATTTACATAACCTTAGCTTAGAAACTTACGACGGAATAATTCCGATGCCTTGGTGTTGACCCTTTCTGCGATTTGACAAAACCCCACCTGATCGTTCCACTGCGAATACAGATGAATCATGAAGCGCCATTACATATTAGAGTTACTGAGGGCTGCACTGAGGAGCTTCATCACATGCAAAGTATGAAGTTCACAGAGAACCCTACCGTGAGAGGGAAGATTGCGCGAGGCGAACTTTATTCCAAACAATTAGGGCTCGCCTACAAAATTTCCTGCTATACTAGTAACTCACTGTTTATATTATCCTACTTTTTTTTAACACACTTAAATCTTTCTTCGTTAACCATCGCATCTCTCTTCCTGCACCCACAACTCAGGGTGGATTTCCTTTCGAGGCTACCAGCACCTATCCGAACACAAATCCTCATCGATCTTGGGTCACCAGCCCGCATCAGGTCACTTATCAGAGCATCTCCCACCATGCTCCAACAGTATACTGTTGATCGCCACATCGTCGTGTGGGGGATGATCAGGAAACTTACCAGTCTTGACAAAACTGGAGGTCTTCTCCAGGACGCGATGGCTCTCCTCTAACTCGCTGACCTTGACCCAAGACGTTACCCAAGACAAAAACATAAACGTCAGTTGTCATACAATCCACGCGGTCAATTTTGCTCAATTAATTCCACTCATTGGGACGAACAGGAATATGATTTTCTTCGTTATTACAAAAAGCAAGACTTCCCCAGCCCCCTCAACAATTCCGAGAAACCGACCCAGCTGAGGCTCTATCAGCTCATTTCTCGAATGATTATTCACCTCGAAGACTACAGGAGAGGGTAGAACACTCTAAGACCTTCAGGCTGTCATACCCTTTCAATAATCCTTCCCTCAAATATGGCCGCCCCTGGTCTTCACATGAGTATAAGATAAGATGGAAAAACGGACTACCGGGAAGAGCTGAATGGCCCGTCAACGATTCCTGGGCTCGTTCTAATACGAGTTTCCAACCCTGGAAGCTACACCAGCTACATCGCAGTCGGATACCTTTTCTATCTCTAGAGCCGTGGGAGAGATGCCTTTTCTTAAGGGCGTTCCTGAAATATGAGCTCTTTTCGGCTCTGAAGCTGTTCTTTGGTGCCCATCCATGCCATGAGTATTTCACCACCTGGCCGTTCTGCCGATTCTTCTCGTTACAAGAACAAAATGCTGTTGTGCTAGTTCATTGGCATCATAAGATGCATTCAAGCAAGATACGCCCTTCTACAGATAGCCGCTCTCAAGCCCTCTCGCCTATTCGCATAACTTGGGTTCAGCTGTCCAGCGACGCCCGTCTGCTTTGATAACCCCTCTCGCTACTCAGAGCTAACGGCCGCTGTCATTTCTGTCTATTCCTGGACCCTCAAGCTATACATATTCCTACCTCTTGAATTTTATAAGGACTATAGCATCCGAATTAAAGGTCACTCTTCATAAAAAAAGAACATTTTAAATAAATAAATATAAAAGAGTGAAATAGAAATATACTAAGAAATATAATATTTCTTTAATTTAGTAATATTAATAAAGGCTCTTTATTAACGCTTGTAGGTTTTATAAAGAATATTTATTAAGTACTAGATCCCTGTTCAAGCCAATGTGGAGCAGGGATTTTGGGAGGGACAGAGATTTTCAAAGGGGAAAAGTGGCGGGCTAGCAGCGCTTTTAAAGGGCCTTTGGTTCCTCAAGGCATCCATAATCTGAGTATCTACTCCGCAGCTGTCCGCCCCTGGCCAAAACAGCATGTTCTCTATCGCGAGGCACACTGCACCCAGGTAACATGACTTCGCCTCTCATCGACGATAGGCCCTCCTCGCCACCAACAGCTCCACGGCGCAAACCCGTCCCTGGTAGAGGCTTTACGAAGACTCGGCGCGGCTGCTTCAATTGCAAGCGGCGTCGTGTCAAGTGTTCTGAGCACCGGCCCGAGTGTCAAGGCTGTCGCCGCATGCGCTTACCATGCGTTTATCCCGCAGCTGTCTTGCCTGATCCTCAGACAGTTCCTTCTGCGCCTACAGTAAAAGTATGCCTCGATCATCTTCGGTTTTTCCATCACTTCCTCGCCGAAGCATATCCACCGCATCCGTATGGTGCCTCAGCTGTGTGGCAAGATGTGGCTGCGCTCTCACACAAGGTAAGTCTCGTCGTCAATCTGGCTCTAGATGACGTGTCTGACTCGAATCCACAGTATGAGTTCCTGGCCTCAAGCATACTAGCTCTTGCTGCTCAGCACCTGACTGTGTCCAATAAAGCCGACTACTCTGTACAAGCTCTAAATCTCAGAATCTCAGCTATCAGAGGCTTAAATGATGCCCTATCGCAACCTTGTCATACCGCAGCCGATGCAGACGCCCGTTATGCTGCAATCATCGGCCTCACCTTCCAGTCTACCTACATGCCAGACGGCTTGATGGAGTTTATAGCCATGATGCGTGGATGGATGCTCATCTCTACTACTCTGGTAACTGACCATCGGACATCCATGTTCCGTCAATTCACGCGCGAGTCGTGGGTTGGAAGTATGGAGAAGTATATGGAGGAGCAGCACGGAGTCACTGATGATATAGTAATTGAAGACTTCCTCGCATCCCTCAGAATACTTCAACCATTACTACGAGGACAAGCTGAGCTGCAGTACCTCTCAAGACTAGAGAGATTAGCTCTACTGAGCAAAACATCACCACGAGATGGTTTGTTTTCGTTCTCTCTTCACCATTAAAACCTTAACTAACAGTAACAGCACTCTTGGAAATGGTATTCTGCTACGCTCTGACAAATAAGATGACCGATGAAGACTACGCCAGCTTCACGGACCCTTCCAACTACGGAGCCCAGATCCTTCTTGCGCACTTCTTGGTATTAAACCATATGCTAGAAGAATGCTTTCTTGGCACTAGGAGCAGGCGTTTCTCTTTTTCTAAGAAGATCACCCAGTTCTGGATCTTGAATATCGGGAGACGTTTGCCTGACGGGTTACAGAGATACATGATGTGGCCTTTGGGTCAGGCAAGAGATCTTGCTGTTTAGACTCGGTTGAGATGTTTCAAAGGGCTATAGAACTGAAGGACGAGGTGGATTGGGAAAAAAACAAACGCAGCCTCCTTGAAGCTGCAACGAGTGCAGCCTAGAATGGGATTAGTAGTGCTCGGTCTAATTCGATGCCCCTCATTCTTGATCTTATTTTGAGAAAACGACGAAAGCGACGAACGAGCCAATCACAGGCCTTAGATTCAGATGGTCGGTGCGCAACAGTCAAAAGCCTAGACACTTAACTACAGTCCATAACCTATTGGAATTCACCTCTCGTGTCATGTTAATCTGAACGCGTAACTAATTCTCGCTTTCCTTCTTCAAAACGACGCATTGTTGTGCCATCATGCTGGGTCAGGGGCCGATTTGCAACATGGCTTACGACTCCTGGCGAGGCTCCCAAATAAGAGCGTTGAGCGAGTTGTTATAAAGACACGAGAAGAAGCTGCAGGGCCAACCTTATTTTCTCTACTCTCTATAGCAATCAGCCAAATCTCAACATCGAATACCTCTTACGAACGCCTATTCTATACCTACAATGGCTACCGTCAAACCGACTCTCACTACACTCGCCCCTGCGTCTTCAATTGTCGCATCAGCGACACCCTCGTGCACAACTGCAGCGCCCGACAAGTGCGGCTATGTCCCTCCGGACTCTTGCAACGCCAATTATGGATTCTACCCCAATTGGGAAGACAACACAGCTTTTGCGGTTGCCTTTGGCTTGTCCACCGTGGCTCACCTGGCCCAAGCAATCATTCTCAAACAGGTACTTTCCATCTTATGCCTTGGAGGAATAACAGACTGACATAACTAGAAATTCTGTTGGGTCATCGTGATGGGAGCATCTTGGGAGTGTATCTGTTTCATCGCTCGCGCCCTAGGTGCCAGGGACCAGCAGCAAGCGGCCTACGTCACCGTCTCGACTCTTCTATTTCTACTTGCACCGATTTGTACGTTCTCTATCTAGAAAGTACGATGCTCAGCTAATACGGTACTCAGGGATTAATGCATTCATATACATGATAGTCGCCCGTCTTGTCCATCTCGTCATTCCGCAGCGCCGCGTGGCCGGCATCTCCGCACAATGGCTCGCCAAAATTTTCGTCATCTTCGATGTCATGTGCTTCATCATCCAGGCTGCTGGTGGGGGCATGCTCGCCTCGGACAATGCAGATACATCTAAACTGGGGCAGCATATTTATATGGTTGGCATTGGTATCCAGCTTGGCTGCGTCGTGGTCTTTCTTGTTATTCACGGCCTTTTCTATCGCGAGCTTTCTCTTAATGCTCGTATAGGCAAGCAAGAGACTCGGACCCGGTGGTTGAAGCCTCTCTGTTGGGTTGTCTACATAGTCCTTGTCCTCATCGTGGTAAGTATCCCATATAACAAGTTTGCGCCCCATAGCTGATTTGGTTTGACCAGGTGCGAGTTATCTTTCGTCTCGTCGAATTCGGTGGTGGTGCAAATAGCAACAATGTGGTACTTCGACACGAGGAGTTCCAGCTCTACCTTGATGCATTGCCGATGCTCATCGCTTTGGTCTTGCTGAACGTGGTGCATCCTGGTCAGGTATTGAAAGGTCCTGGTGCCAACTTTCCATCCGCCAAGGTCAAGTGGTGGCATGGCCGATCAGTGGCATTTGAGACACTCGAACTGTCGTCGACACACAGGAGTGGATGATCACCGAACGATTGAATCGAGACGACATGAACTTGTATGCCGACCTTTCCTGGGTGCTTTACAGATAAGGCCGTAGCAGAGTTCCCTGGTGGATGTCTATTTCTCTATGTTGTGATAGTTACGGCAGGACCAAAGAAATAAAGGTTTAGCGTCTGATAGATAAAGAAACATAGTTATTGGAAGGAGGGCTTATTAATATTAGCAATCGCTAAGCGTGCTGCCCCTTATAGTGTTAGGAGACCAAGTTGGTAGCGATGTGAGCAAGAAGGAGGAACATTCGATAAGAGAACGTGCCTGTACATATATAAACAGTGATTGCCCTGCTGCACATTTAGTATGAATTAAGGAACATGGATCTTCTCAATTCAATGTATGGGTACTACACCTTTTTTAAATCACGTCAATTGGTTCAAACAGTGCGTGCCAAATTCTGCCGCATTTCTACCAGTTGGCAGCTAAACAGAGATTGTCTAAATATATTAGTGCTGGAAGGTATATCTATACGGGCCCCAGGAAGCATAACTGAAGATTAGGCCTAGTGAGTTTACACTTATAGACTCTGCAACATATCCTAGCCGCGCGCTGCTTCACAAGAAAGATAATACGAGGGCGAAGAAGGATGGGGGAAAATGCCTTACCATGGTTCGGCGGAATGACTACCTTCTCAGTTCTACGCGAGCCATGACACGAAGCTAGAGGCTATTCAGTCTTATGATGAATAGAAGCAGAGGAAAATTGATTTGACAAGAAATACTTAGATAGTAGCAAAGACAGAACCCCCAATAATGCTGGCTAAAATCATACATGTTATCGCGCCCGCCCCTATCCTGTCCATCATTGTTATCTTTGCATATTTCGGTTTCGACACGTCGACATCCATGCTCGTCTGGCCACCACCCGGGTTTCCTTTTGACGTTCCTCCAGTCTTCGTTGTCACTGGCGGTCTCGCCTTCTGACCGAGGGTGTACATGATAGCTTGCAGAGAGCTCATCTGCGGTCCGACCCCAACGATCCCATCGAACCCGTTGGTCAACCATGTGAAGCCGCAAGCCGTGCCAGCCTTGCCTGCGAAGCCCGAGGCGGGTGATCCTGAACACGAAGCGGCAGCCTTCTTTGCAGTCGATAGCAACGTCTGTGTGATGTATTCGGAGGTATGGGGAGCTACCAGTGCGGTAGCTGCCATCCAACGGCTGAGATAGCCTTTGAAGGTCTGTTGGTCGAGGTTGCATAGCTTATGCTCCTCGCAGAATTGCTCATAGATAACACCGTTTTTCACGAACCTATTCTTTATGTCCCCCAGTAGGCCGTCTACTCGGGTTTTCCACGAAGCTTTCCCGGTCATGTTGTACATGGCAGCAGCACCATAAAGGTAAACACCGCTATTGTAGGTCCATTGGTTGGTATCCATGGAGCTGGGGCATTTCCCTTCGAAATGGACACCATCTCGGACCTGGTATGCGCTGTTGATGAGTCCGATCTTGGTTTCCCAGTCCCAGACCTTCTCAGCCCAGTCCGCGTAAGTTGTATTGCCAGTATAGCGGGCGAGACGCGCAGCTATGTTGAAGAAGCAACCGTTCGAAATAGAATTCTTATAATCATATCCCGCGTTCCAGGTGAATATTTGCCATCGCATTCCACCGCCGCAGTGCTCTGTATCCCAGCGACTAACATATTCGTTGAAAACAGCCTGAACTAGTGCTAGCCATTGCGGCTGGTCTGCTGGCGGGTCAGGATATTTATGCTCAGCTGCCGACATAGCAGCCACTGCCCAAAATCCCTGGTCATCATTGCCTTCTGTCATGGTCTGGTTATCGGGCATATAGTCGTCATTTGTTCCGACCTGATGCAGCATAGCCTGTGTAGTAATCTTGTTGTAGCTCTCATCGCCAGTAAGCCACCAGTAGTCGATCAATGTACCGAACATACCCCCTGCTGTCCACCCTGTTTCGAATCAGATGCTGAAGTCAACATGTATTCCTCCTCATCATGACTTACAGTAATAGGGATCTGGCAGGTTGCCTGGTGTATCACCGGTATTGTTGCCAGTATAGTATTTTACTAAGCCATACGCAACAACACTAGCAGCTTCTTTGACAGACTCTGGATATGGTAAGTTACTGGGCAGCGAAAATGAAGAGACCTGTTGACTTACTGTCGTCGTCCCATGATACATCAATGCCGTGAACAACAGCTGCTAAGGCCGAAGTTACAGCGACCGTTTTGACTAAGGAGGCTTTCATCTCGCCCAATGAACGTCAAGCGGGGAATAGACTTTAGCGCTAGCCCGGAGGAAAGACTCAACTCGACTCCTTATCTCTTCATCAACGGAGCAAGATCGAACAGCGAGGTCTGGTATCAAGTCCAAAATGCTCATGAGTTTTATAAAAACGTGTACGCGATAATTTGAGCGAGCAAGAGCTCTTCGTATTGACTGAGACACTCTCCCGAATTAAATGACGAATTATCTGTCAAAAGGGGTTAACTGGCTAGCAACGAGGCGCAGTATTGGTTAGTCCAGGAACGGGGCCGAAAAATTGCTTCAGGAAATTCAGGTCAAAGGAGGCGAAGCAATAAACACGAGGAAGCGAGAGCACGGATTACGCAATCCTTGCGCTATGGATTCGCTTAGGTGCCGGGGAAATAGGTAGCATGGGTCAAGCAAGTCTAGACTCGACCCTCATTTCCAGTTTATAAGGTTCCATCTTCTCCTTGAAAAAGAAAATCACCGGCCGAGTCATTCACAAGCTCACGTCTCTTGAGATGCTGTTTAAGTAGGCCGTTGGACTTATCTATGTCACCCAGGAGATCCATGTAGTAAATCAGGTCCAGTGGTCAATGCAATACCTGGATACCAGACTACTTCTTAAGATTAAAGTTCGTTTAATTAATGTCTCATTTTTTGGCGGTTAATCTTAGGATACGGTGCTGTTTTACCTTCAAGGAGCTGTCGTATAAAATCACTAGGAAATACGCGCGTCTAAATTACGCGTGGCCCGCACCCGGAAAATACCAGTCAGATGTTTCGAGATGGCCAATTGTGAAAATAAAAGACATTGATGTACCCTACAGAGGACGAATCTCTGATTTTATAACTACCTTAGCGGCAAAGGAAACTTGAAGATTTGAGCAGCTAGTCGTATGTCAGTTTATCTGCTCCTTATCTCCCAATTTTGCCATGGGAGGATGAACAGCATGGGATACGAGGAACGGAAGGCCAACAGGCCTGCGCTGGTCCAAAACTCACCAGTGAGGGTTTTTGGATGAGCAGACGCTATACAAGGGTAAGGCCAATTATGGCAGATTTGGCCAGTGACATAATATGCATACCAAGGGAAAGCAAGAGCACAGGATGTACGTTGCCAGCCAAGGCAATACCAGCAGGTCTATAGCATACACAAACTTCTACTATCGACATATCATTCCATCTGAGTTTCGCGCGCGTTGCTTCAACATCTCTACCAACTCGCACCGGCAGTCCCTCGCTATCCCACCGCTGCAACCCTAACTCGGCTACATCACCACTTCCCCAGAACCCTGCTCCGAGCAAAGGATCATTTAATTGAGTCAACCGAGATGCGCCAGTTCAGCGCCCTAGAGATCTCGGCTTCATCCCTTCAGCCAATTTCAAAAGTTGAGAAGGAGCTGCGTAGCTAGAGTACGACGTTGATACTGTAGCTTCCAAACTTTCCAAACCACTTGTGGAATATTGTCATGTATCAAAGATGCTTTCATCTCGTATCCCTCGCCCCAAAGCTGCTTTCTTGTGTTAAGGAGAATCATTTCGTACTATTTGTAACAATGGTTATGCGTCTGCATGCATTCCCGAGGATGACAGACTGTTTATTCTCGGAAGCTAGTGCTAGTGATAGCACACAACCCTATCTAGGCATGAATACATGCATATGGCTAGGGCAAGGAAGAAGCAATCAAAGTTTGATATCTGTGATGCATGGCCGGAAGAGGGTCACTGTTCTGCTTCTTGACGACCCTTTCTCCATTTCCAGATGGCTTTACACCAAACCCAAGTCTCAATGGTACCAAAGATGCTCAGAACTACCATTACGACCACCTTGGTTCTTTTGCTAAGACCCAGAGAGTTGAGACTAAAAGCTGGGTAGGAGGGATTAGGCTCTAAACTCTCATTTTGCGGAGCCTTGCTTTTTCTGCGCTCCTCTGTTATCCTCCTTTGATCAAGCGGTGATTTTGACGAAATGTTGATGGTTTGGATGGTTGAAAGTCTTTGAAGTGAGCGGAAGGTCGACACACGGGGTCGAATGGAAGCGATGGTGATCATGACGTAGGCCAACGGTTGAGTCGTCTGGCTCTGGTAAAATCGAGGAACTAGAAGGGCAATTGAAATAGCGGAAGATTTTCGACTGTTAATATTGACGAACTGACAATATAATACTGGAGACCAGCCACTGTTATTAAATAGACAGGCTGATCAAGTCAGCCTTCGTATCCCGTATCGCTCGTATCGCGTATTTGACCCCACTTTCACGGAGTAGTATGCCCTCATGTCAAAACGAATTTACCCAAGGAAGGGTTGTTGCCATGTTCAATATAATTGAATCCATTGAGATTGACCGAAATAATCAAGTCTCAATGGAATTAGGCGTCATGCCTCATATTTGCGATGTCATTCAAACTTTCGTTTCCACGTGCGAAAGGGACCAATCAGCCAGAGCACCACTAAAGTATCAAGAATGAGCTTTCAAGGGCCTGAGAACTCTTAGCAATCTTCAACGTAATGGCTGGCTTCAGCCCTATGACAGTGACTCAGATCTGCAGCGCCTCGCCACTCTCGTCCTTCATTGGTCGGCCCGAAGCATCGCGAGATCTTCCCAGCTCCACCTTGCTGGTCAAGTTTTATCACGTTGTCTAGCTAGTCCATACCGTGGTAGTCAATCATTGTGGCAAGACTCGCAATGCCTGTCGCTGTCTCTCTTCACGCTGCTAAATAACATCAATAAGCATGGACCCCAGAAATGAAGGTGCAACTTGGTACGAGCTTAGAATTGTCGGGTTGAAATGCTGGCAAGGCTTCATGAATGGTTTGAGTAGCCACATACTCATCGGATTATTTTCTCAGTGGGCTCAGTGGATGCAGATCTTTAATCCAGTCTTAACAACTTTGTAACGGAAGAAGCAGTAATAATAATATCATCATATATCATTCAATCGCTATATACTTGCTGCATAATATCTATATCTATAAAGTTCTTGACTTTCGTGTCTAAATGGAGTTGTCACCGCATGAGAAGACGCCACGAATGGAGCTCTTATCGTTCTCAAAGATGTTCAACAATTCGGTGATGGAAGACCACAAGCCTCCACCGTTCATGAACAATGACTGGACGATAAGCATGCCGTTAATGATGCAAAGGGCAATCTTCTTCCAGTTCTTGGTATACTGGCCCTTATTGATGTGGAACCAGAAGATGGCGCTGAGACCGAAGGTGAACCAAGCGATCGTGGTGGCGGAGGAGATGGAGAGGATGGAGTCGAAAATGGGGATGGCGTTGGAAATGACAAAGACAATGATCCAGTAAAGGGTCACACAGGCAACCCAGATGCTCCAAGACTTGACACTTCGGTCGGTGACTTGGTGGGTAGCCTTGATGGATCGCATGGCGACAACATACATGTACTTGATGCCGGTATGACCGAAAGCCATGGCTGTCGCGAACACGCAAGGAAGCACGACGCCGTAGGCAACCTTGGCGGGGATTCGGGGCGCGGATCCAAGAGCGGGAGAGGTAGTATAGTCGCCGGCAAGGCAGTAAATGGCGACGGCGACGATGGTGTAAAGGGTAATGGAGAAGACTTCGAGGCAAGCCAGAGCCATGGGGAAATCACGGCTGGGATTCTTCATCTCGGCCATGTACGAGACGAAGCTGATGTTTCCGGCATAGGCGTAGCAGATCTTGAGACAGGCATTGAGGCCTTGTCGGAAAGTTGGGTTACCGATGACCTGGATTTCGCGATCCCATCCGGGAGGGGCCTGGGAGGGAGTGTCGACACCCAAGCTGATCATGACGACAAGAGCGGCGGCTAGAATACTGATTGTGGAGGGGATACCAGACTGTGAGACGAATTTGACGGTTCGAGGCAGACAAAGGACCCAGCAAGCGACGACGGCGATGATAACGAAGCTGACGGTACAGAAGGCATGGTTGCTCAGGGTGTTGAAAGCAACCGATAATGTCACACTGGCAGATGCACAGGTCATCATAACCTTGATCATCAAACCAATACCCGCAATGACCTCAAGCGGTCTACCACCAATGATACCGCACATATCAACGACGTTGACAACGTGAGGATATTTTCTGTAAAATTGGAGGAGTTCATAGGCAGTGTAGGCAGAGAGGGAACCGAGGCCAATGATGGCGATGATACCGGGGACGACGCCGAGGACCTTGAGACAACCGGGGAGGGACAATACACCAAGACCGACTTGGTTGGTGACGAGGACGAAGACTGTGTCCCATTTGCCGAGTGTTCTGTAGTTCTTGCCGCCTTGATTGAAGATATTTTGCACGGGCTCGTCGGATTGCTCCTTGGTGTCCATGATGTCGCCGCCATCGTTGATAGTGTTGATCTCATCGCCGTCGATGCCGCGAATGGATGCAGCGCGGTGATGCTCGGGCTGAGCCATCTCAGGCTGAGTCTTTGTCGTCTTATCTTCAGCGCCCATATTCAATAAAACAAAATAATCGTACCCAGTAATAAAACCTCAATGCGAGGTAAGAAGGTGTATAGTGGCGGGTTATGATCAGCGACAGTTTGACGAGATGAAGACCAACCTCAACTCAACATCGGGCGATACCAAATCTTATATACATCCGCCAAGCCCAAAAGTCTCCAGATGTTTATCTTCCGTGGAGACCTTCTGAAAAACCCTCGTCTCGTTATCTCTTGCACGGAAGAAAAAAGACTCGCGGAGCCCCATGGGGGAACGTGAGTCTCTCACGTAAAAGTTAGCAAATCTTCAGAAACCATCAGGTCATTGGAATGTCCCAGGGCCGAGCGAAAAGAAACGGGGCCGTGGATTAAGAAAAAATAAAATGGAGTTGGTGTTACGTTATGTGTCAGCGATCTTTGCTCAATGAGAATTGGTTGGTCAAACGAGATGAACAAGAGATCTCCAGTATGAGGTGGAACGGAGATAAGAATGGCATGGTTGATTTAACGGTGTCTTGCATCAATTGTCTAAAGTGCTCAGTATATATGTTCTGCTGGAGAGTAGTCGTCGTTGAAATGAGGCTCTCGAGTCCTGGCTCGAGGTGAAAGATTCGGTCTAGCACACGGCTAAATCGGACGCCAAGTAACAAGCTTATTTCCGCCTCATACGGTCTCGGAGCAAAAGAGAGACGGAAAAAAAACCTTGTTGGAAAATCTGCCGGCGGTATTCAACGTAAAAAAAGGTTCAGCATTTCCGTTACGCGAAAAATGGCTTGTTTTGACACATGCATTGGCCATTTTGTGGAGTCGCCCAGTCTTTTACAACATGCCGTAGTATCCGACACCGGCGCAATAGATGTATTGCTATTGGAGAGAGATAAAAAAAAAAAAAGTCTCGGTGGTACTGTAATTGTGTTGAGTCTATCGCCATTGAGGCGGACGGTCTGTCCGTGGTCACGCATCGTAAGACTCTGGTCGGGCGGACTTGAGAAGTGCCGGTGAGTTTATTCCCGTTTATCTTGGTAAGAGGAGGATCCATGACGGGTACTGTATGTACTTTTTGGTGGGAGGGGAGACTGATCAGCATCCTACGTGTTCTAGAAAGTAGCGCGCCTCACTTTCCTGCATCCAAACCCTGACTCGCCCAGCTTCGCGCCCTCCAGAACAACAGGGCGCATTGGTTGGAGTAAGATTCAGGATCTTGTGGGGGCAAAGGTTGGGGAAATGAGGGGGAGAAACCCAATTTCTCACTGTTTTTGACTCAGATGCTCCGACTTTTCCTCTTGATTGTCCAAGATCGTGGGGAATTCTGTGTCTTGGCGGTATTAACCTTTCGTGTTGAATGACTAGCCGACATGCAACTGGCCAACGACGCGTCTGGGGAAATGACTGATGTTGACAGCACATATCCTTCCCCGTGTTTTGGAGTCTTCCAAGGAAGTGGTTTCCTTGGGGTAATTTGTAACTAGTCGCTTTTCTTGACATCACTTTATCCTTGGCGGAGGTGCTCGGTACCGAATTATCCCGACCATTGAGGGAGGAGTGTTATGTAAAAGCTCATCTTATTTACGACGAACCTGCTATATGTATGCTATGAAATAAATGTTATATAATCGACGCTACCCGCACCATCCCGCTGACATGTCAATTACTTGGGCAGCTCGCACTTCCAGCTGTCGGGGTTCTTGTAGTTACCCTTGCGGTCCCAGACATTACGGTAAGGATAGCGGCAGTGTCTACGCTCAACTTCGACCTTTCCGGTGGTAGCACCGTTGACGTAGCGAACACCTGTGATGGTCTCGGGTGCTTGGCCTTCCTCAACCCACTTGACAAGAGCGAGAAGAACGTTGTTCTTCGCCTCCTTACCACCCAGGTTGGCGCGGTTGTTTCCAATGCGATTCGCTCCAATTCCGCCGGAACAGTGACCGCAGCCGCTGACACGGAAGTATCGGTAGAACTCATCAAGTTCAGTGTTGCTGAGGCCCATTGTTGCCGAGACGTGGTTGTAGTACTCCATTGAGTTGTCGGAGCTGATGAGACCGTCCTCGAGACCATGCCAGTGAATGATCTTGGATCCACGCTTGCGGAACTTGGAGAGGTCTCCCTCCCATGTCTCAACGTTGAAGGGGTTGACCTCAGAAGCCTTCTGGTAATCATTGGGTCCAATAGTGTTGGGGTCCCACTTGGTATCGTTCCAGATAACGTACTGGAACCATTCCGTAGAGTAAGGGAAAGGCTGCTCGCCGATGGCAAAGCCGAAACCCTGATCGGCTCCAGGAGGAATTCTAGGGTAGATATATGTACCGTTGTTACCATACAGAGGACCAAAGACCTTGCGGACTGTCTCGATCTGGGGTCGAGTCAGGCAGTTCTTGGTCTGACCCTTGCTGCAGACAAGAGCCTCAGGGCGGTACTGGCAAAGGTTGGGATCCTCGAGAATACCATCTGCAACACCATCAAGTGGCTCGTCGCACTGAACCAAGACGTTCTTTTGAACCATAGCCCATTCTTCAGGGCTGAGATGTGTAGGTGCTCCAGGGGGGCCAGTGATACCCCAGAAGCTTCCAGAGCGGGACTGCAGACCGTTGAAGCGCATAGCGGGAGCACCAGCCACAATACCATCGAAATCATCAGGGAAGCTCTGCGCCTCCTTCCATCCTTGTCGTCCACCAGTTGAGCATCCAAGATAGTAAGACTTAGTATGCTTCTTGCCGTAGAACTTCTTTGTAAGCTCCTTTCCGAGAACAGTTCCAGTGTGAACTGAACGGTAAACATAATCCTCCACGACTCCCGAGTTCTTGTACATGGAGACAGCTGAAGTGCCGTTATGTCCGTTGTTAGCTCCGACAGTAGCAAAGCCAAAGCCAGCACCGTAGGCAACATCATCGTACTGAATACATCCAGCCATTCCACCATTTCCAGTGCTCAAGAATCGACCGGTCCAGTTGGAAGGAAGCCAAGCCTCAAGGGTAAGGTTTGACTTGGGGCCAGTAGTGACAAACATAGCCACACGGCAGATCTCAACATCAGTGATGGTGCTCTTGGGCGTGCATGTTGGGTGGTTGTCAGGAAAAGTGATGTTTTTCCCAGCAGGCACGTGCTCAGTGAACCAGACTTTGGTGTTGGGCAACTTCAGCGAGGTCTTGAAACCAGCGCATTTAGCCGCAAAGTCATCACCCTTGCCAGCAGCAGCACAGGCCCCCAACCCCGAAAAGAGCAAAAATGTAGGACGCATATTATCTTGCGGTAAACAAATATCGGTCGAGGTGTCGCTGAGAACCTGGGGAATAAAGCCCAGAACAAGAACAAGGCCGGCGAACAACATTATTTTATATCCGTCTCCCGCATAAACGTTTACCAAAACCCTGGCCCTTGTATTTTGCGGGGGAACCTTTTGATAATTTTGACGAAATACGCGGATGATTCCTGAAGCAGCAAAAGGCCGTTGATCCCTACCAGATCAGCAACCCTCGGCAATACCATGGGAGTGCTATCGCGGATTGAGGATGGCTTGGCAGGGCGGTAGTTGGGTTCGTGAGGGGAAGAGAAGGGGCCTTGAAACCTCGGCTGGCCTGGTTGGGAACTAGATCCGGGGTGCATGAACGGGGTAAATGGATTGGGGAGGAGTTTGCGAGTCAGTCGTTGTGAGGATGGGCAGAGATATCGGTCCGGATAATCTACTTGAGATGGAGACTAGTGTCGTTATGGGTTCTGTTATTAGGGGCGCTGCAGACTTCTTGGAATGAGGCCATTGTTAAATTAAATCTTGCGTGTTCATATGTGAAATCATGGGTCAATTAATACCGCCGGCGTTTGAAGTTTGACGATCCAAAAACCGCCAAGAGGGTGATTTCCTGGTGTATTCAACTGTAAATGTTAAAATCCAGGCCTAGTCTCACGGCCTCTTCTAGCACCGACAAGCATACAACCCCTGCTTAGCCGATCGATAATTGTCGCCAGTAAGAACCATTGTTCATCTGTTCAGGAACCGGATAACAACCCGAATCATTGCGCGTCAAAAAGGTTCCCAATGCAACATCCTTTTTGTTTATGACGGGTGAGTTGTGAGCATACGGAACACGGCAATTGCATCCCTGTAGATCTATTTCATTATCACTACTCCAAGAAAAGTGGCTGATATGTGTTCTTGCAGCCTCACGAGTTCTTCAGAAATTGAGTCAAGAAGTGAAGTTGTAAATTTAATTCTTATGTACAACCCCTGTGAACTTTATCGCCATTTCCATACATTCGTATTCCCATTAACGATGGGAATACCCCAGATCCACAACTAGTTCGATCATCTGAACTTTGTAGCACCTTTTTGACTTTTTCATATCGGAATTATCACGGCGGTGACATTCTACCAGGGTGTATCAAATCACGCCATGTCCATCCATAGAGAGTTAATGTCCATCCTGGCCATATCACCGTCGGCCTCGCCCTAGCAATTTCCGTTACAGTCTGGCAACACCATCTAATTCCAGATCAGCATCTTTATCTCGGAGTAATAAAAAGGACTACTTACTGCCCACATGTCAATAACAACATACTTGCCCTTGCTCTCAGCAGGTGGCCTCTGCAAAACACCAACGGCAAGGACATAATTCAACCACTCATAATCCGGGTGCGCCGCCTGAAAAACGCCCCTCAACAACGTCCTTCCATCAGGCTGCGTCGGACCAGAAGTTTGGATATAAATATCAACTCCATCATGAGTCCTGAGGTTGTATCGGGTATCGGGGAAGAAAACGCCCTTAGTGTCGGTGAGACCCCAGTCGGCACCAAGGTTAGTGACCGTTCCCGAAAGCTTGGGTCCCTTGAAGGTTCCGCCGGTGATGGGAATTACAACGCGGCTACCTTGACCGTAGTCGCCAATCGGCCAACGTTCGCCGAGGGTCGCATTGACGGTATAGAGATACTCGTAGGACGGCGTTCCCATGAGTTGGGACGCTGCCAGGATAGCATTGGAGGCGATGATGAGGGGAGTCAAGAGTCTCATTGTGTCAATTGAATTGTCCTTAGACTGTCTATCACAGCCGATTCATACTGGACCTTCTACGCTTTTATAAACTCTTTTTATCCTTCTTTTTCTCCAGATCGCCAAGTCGCTATGATGATTCACCGATCATGGAGAACGGTGATCGGCTCGAGGTGAGGGGTTATCACCCCGCATAGATCCATCGGCAATTGAATGCGGCACGCGCCGTTTACTTAGTTAATAATGTCCTGATCCTGTTATAAAAGAGGTTCATGTTTGGAAGTTTCTTTAACCGCTGCGCGAGTCAAGCGTCATGCGGGGAAAGCCGATTAGGGTCAGGGCATCCGAATGCTAGATCGGACAAGCCATCCGACATCACCGTCATGGTCCAGGGCTGGGATACCTTGCATAAACTCGCTCGGCAGTTTATGCTTCCTATCGTAACTCAGTTGCTGTGACATCATAAATCACGGGCTTTGTCTATCAATCAGGGTATCTTGTTGATCTCTCCCAGATCAGCCGTCGTCTTGAGCTGCCCGTTCAGCCTCATTCCTTTCTCTCCACATAGCAGCCCTATCAGCTTGTCGTTCAGCACCCGCCCAAGTCCTCCCTTGAAGGTGTTTCAGACATAGCTGTTTCCCGTCATCAGGGTAGTAAAGCCAAGTAGCCCATTTCGTGAACTGCTTGACATCAGCAATTGCTTTCCGCATGGCAGCAAGTTCCGCCTATATCCATGTGACAGGTTCACTTACGAGGCCTTCCTTCATCTGAGCGCGAGCTCTTTGTCCGATCTTGTCCTCAATAAAGTCTCCTCGCAGCATAGCCAACCGTGAGGGAAACACCCTTTCGAGGTAATGTGCTGTTGATGCAAGATGGGGTTTATCATGCCAGAAGTAAATCGGTGTCAAGGGTATCTTGACACCAGGATGTGTCGGATCTTCGTATCTTTGTGTAAGAGATGATGATAGCTCTCGCAGGACCGGATGCTGTTCGGATATGGCATGTGAGAGCATACGAATAGCAGCTAAGCAGATATACTTGATGGGAGTTTCTAGGTGCGAATCGTATGCTTTCATGATTTGTACAAGAGGTTCCATGGGTAAGTCTGCAACCAAAGCCCAGTCATGCTGCTGCACCCAGACGAAAGGAGTTTGAGTTACCCTCAAGGCTGATCTGACTGCAAGACCGAATCCTAGTCGTCTCGACGGCTCTATAAAGGTGACTTTCTTGTCGCTGGTTTGCGATATCGTGTACTCAACGGTGTTCTGGGGGTTGGGACTACCGTACTCCGCCGTAACACGCCGTTGGGTGAACTTAGCACCGAAATGGCGATATTTTGTGAGTATCAGTTCCTTGACATTCTTCTTGTATTCGTCAAAATATGCTGCTTGCTGAGGCGTGACTTGTCCTTTCTTCAATCGCGCTGTCGGAACTATCTGATCAAAAGTGTCGAAAACAACAATAACATTACATAATGTTAAAGCATGACAATGCTCTTCAAATGACTTGATAACCGCCGAGACAAGCTCCGTCGATGGCGCGGATGGAGTTGGCGAAGTTGTTATTATGACGGTGACCAATTTTGGCACGGTCGTATCTTGGGTCATTTCGCTGCGCTTGAATGACGTGAGGTGTCGCTGTCAATTAGGCTGAGCATTGGCAGGCATTTACCCTGTATGCGACGAACGTTGGGCTGTGTTTGAGATCTGAGTAAAGATAATCGATGGCGGTGAGATTGGGCTTGGATGTGATGGGACGGGCCGCTTGGCTTCTGACGCGGAAAATTTTGCGGTCGCACCATGACGCGATAAGAGTCTACAGCTAACGAACAGCAAGTCATCAACACTCCTACTCCGTACAACAGTCGCAAAGCATAGACTGTCTCAACCAAATGCGACATATTGTGAACCAACCTTCTCAAAATACACCAAGAACAATACTTAATACCCCGTATGAAGGTTGAGAACTGATCGTTGCTGTCTCGACGCGCGTACAGATAACACTGTGTAACATTGACGTGTAACCTCAATTGCATGCATCACCAGCCAAGACACCCAAGACCAAAACCCAACGGCTAGACTAGACTTGTTTAACAAATAGCAAAACACTAAAGCAAGTCATTGAAGCGTTTCATCTCGAATTCCTTGCTTTAACGAAGTGATAGACGCCCGTTAATCTGGCAATAACCGGGGTTTTGAGACCCAGCCATCAGATAAACGCCTGATGCCCTGCATGGCAATCCCTGGGAGCCAAGGGATGCATCTAGCCGCTGTCTCAGCACGTGAATCAATAACGGGTACAGAAGAACACTCTATTGCAGGCGATTTCAACGTGTATTCGATTAATAGATACGAAGCGATGCGTATTGCTGCATATTTCATCGCAAAAATAGAACGACACTGTCTCGACTGTACTGCGCAGCTGCAGTTTTAGTGGCTGGTGTTGTGCCTTCAGTGGGTCACTCAACCCCTGGAGCTAAGAAAACTCCCCAACCTCAAGAAATTAATCTGGCGACTCGACTTGGCTATGCCAAAACCAAGCCAAACCACCAACCTCGCCATTTCCAGCCATCGCCTTTCCAGACCCTCACTAAAACATGAATCAATTCCTGACATTGTCAGTGTAGATTCTCATTCCTTTCACTCTCTACCCGCTATTTTCATGTCTTGTTCGTAAGACATTCTCATTCTACTCTATCCTTTTTTTTTTGTGTTCTTTCACCGCCCCCCCAACATGGCTACAATGGCGGCTCCTCACCAGCCAAGATACAACCTCGAAGATCCGGGCTTTGAGCCTCGCACTGCTCGTGACGCCCGCGAGGCAGCTCGCGCTGCGCGAAGTGGCCAGAGTCCGAGATACAGACGTACTCAATCGCCCGAGCAACTCGATGATTTTCGCCCTCAGAGTGAAGAATTCGACATGCGCTCACCTACCTCTGACGTGGCATTGCAGGACGCCATGCTCGCACAAGCACAGCAGCAGCAACAGGTGAGTTTTTTTCAACCCGCGCTAGGAAACACTGTTTTTCTGCAACATCTTTTCTCCGCGCCAGAACCTCGCAATTAACCTTTTGCTTTTAGCGTGTTGTTCCGGTTGGTCAGGTCCCTCGTAATGCCGGGCAGCGTAGACAACCTCCTGGTCCAGGTCCAAACAACAACGCTCCCAGAGGTCCTCAGCAACCAATGCCTCCTACTTATCCTGGCGGAATGGACGGAGGTCCTCAGCAGCAGCAGCCCAATGGTCCTAGAGAAGGTGGTCGGTACAGACGCCAATCGCGCCGCGCTTCAGAGTCTGAACCCCGACCTCATGGAGAGTCGCCTCCTCGAAATGGTCCAAACACCCAGCAGAGTCGTGTTTCTCAATCCATGGCCTCAGATCAGCATCAGCAGCGTCGCGCACCTTCACCAGACCGACTAGCAGTTCCCGGCAACGACATCAACCGTCTCAACAGCCCCTCCATCCAAAAGAGCGTTCTTCTACCTCTTGAGCAGAAGATTCACGAGTATGATCATCTCATGCACGAAGCCCAAGCTCAAATGAACCAACTCGACGATGAAATCCGCGCTCTTCAAGAACGACGTCGCCAAGCCGAAGACCGCTTCATCGAAGCCAAGTCCAAGCATGACGAGTATGAGCGTCAGCATGCAGATGTCGGCAAAGCTCTCCGCGGGGAACTCATGCAGCAGCCCCCACCACCCACAGTCCGTCAGCCCGTTCAGCGCATGGAGAGCATTGACAGTTTCGATCATCGACCCGTCAGCGCGCAGAGCTCTTTTCATCAGAAGCCTAAGAAGGGGGGCATGCTGCGGATGAGCTTGTTCAACAAGAGCAACTGACTAGACAAGGGTTGCTTATGAAGTTATGCGTTTATGACTGGGATATCGATGGATAAGGGAAAATGGATGACTTGACTTGCTTGGTTTTTTGAAACTTCTTGATCGTCCGCGAAAAAGGACTTTTAGCTTATTTGTTTAATATGCTTGGATGTACATAGATTGAGGAGGTAATTTGTTGCACATGAACATTCGATACATCAAAAGATCTTGCTTTTTCAATGACTCTGTTGCTTGTTTATTTGACTCTCAGTGATGACGTCAGTGAAGCTTCAATCGTAAGATTGTCTGAGTAATTGTTTTGTACACATAAACACTGCCCTCATCCTTGGGATATCCACCGAAAAGCCATCGTCCATCCATGATCCGTGACAAGATTGCACTCCAGCTATTGTTCACGACCGGTATCATTGTGAAGCCTGCACTCCTGTCGCCTTCCGTTCACTTATCAAAGCTGGCCTGTCCATCGCTTACATGCTCATAAATCAATGTCTTAAACTCTAGTCCTTGCTCACTCAAAGCATCAACCACCCTCTCCAGTCCCTTGGGTCCTGCATCACAAAGTAGGATCATGTGTCCGATGAAAACACGGTACTCATCAAACTCATCCTGTTGAGCCGCGACACGTTCAACCTTCTCATCTGTGATGTAAATCGACGCCTGAGTTTCCTCGAGCTCTTTAATCAGCTTGCCGAGGTGCGCCTGTACGACCTCAAGTTCGTGACATTTCTCTTCGAGGGCGGCGGACGTATTCGACTTTGCATTTTCGTGGACCCTCAATACAGTTGACCAAACCTCAGGGCTTGCGGCTTCGATAAAAGTTTTGGCCCTCTGCAGTTTCCTCTCGTTCGCTACATGAGCTTCCGTTTCGGCCATGAGGGTAGAAGTGGCGTCTTTGAGAGGAACTGTGGAAATCAGTATTGTAAGTTTGTATAGGGAGTTGAAGTACCTCAGTGTTATCGCCTGCCATCGCTGAAACAGCAATCTGCTGTTGGCGCGGCTGCTGAGGGAAAGCCTCAGGAAGAGACTCGGTTGCAGGATGTTTGCGGGTCACGGGATTCGGTTGGGGTCTTTCAGGTGAAGGAATAGAGGGCTCGGCCTCCGACTTTTCACTCTCCACGACTGTGTTCTCATCCGTGGGGTCTTTGGTAGCAGGTGAGAAGCAAAGCTGTGCATCTTGAAGACGCTTTGGATACAGTGTGGGCTTCATGCCACGCCAAGCGTCTACAACAGCGCACTTTGCCAAGTAAACCTTGATTTGGCCAAATTTCTCTCTCCGCTGATTCGGGTCATGCATATCTCGAGTGGTGTCAGAAAGAAGATTGTACAAACTCTCGAGGGTACCAAGCGTCCAGTACTCGGTTCCAAGTTGTGATATTCGATTCAGCGGTTCATCAGATTGTCTTTGGGTCTTTGGCATATGGACCTTCAAATGACGTCAATGAGCCTTCAATCATAAGACTGCCCAGACTGATGTGATTAATGCTCAATTCCTTGAAAACTCTATTTGAAACATTTTCACATTTATTTCGGGAATGAGATGCAAATACACATTGAGAGAACAAAGAACTGATCTTGTTGGGCGTGGATGTCTTGGATGCGAGACCGCCACCCTATACCAATTTAGGTTTCCGACCAGCGTTCCGATTCCACTAATGGCTTCCCGTCATCTCAACAGGAGCAAACGTTCGCCCCGTAAGGCTGTAGTTTCCCGTAATTAACTTAGATAATTATAATAAAGCAGCCGTAAAGTCCAAAACTGTCAGTTCAGAGTTCTGTGATCTGCGATCACGACCTTTTTCCAGCGTAGCCATCATCGTAGTCCGCCCTACGGAGTCCAAACGCAAACGATGACGAACGCTAAAGAAGTCAGTGGGGGCACTTTAGCGGAACGCTTTTCAACTGCGGTCGATCTGCCGCATTGACTGTTATCAAGAACCTTTGCAATCAGACTCAACCAAAGGACCTTTGACGTGTTAATTCACGACTCATGCGTTCTGAGACATCATTAATTCACATGAAGAACTCTTCTCCTGAGCAAACTGCGGCGCAGAACCCTTTCCTCTGATTCCGATCAATCCCTGTAGCCTTCGGAAGGTGGGGCACAGGGAGCTGCAAGGAGGATATCCGGGGACTCGGTAGCCCCTGAAATAGGCGCGGGTCTTCGCAAATCCGGAGATCATGAACAAAGAAAGGAGAGGCTTTTGAGTTTGGTAAACCCGGTTACATTGTCTCAACAAGGCAAGTCAATCATGAACCCTTTCTTTCTGACTCTGTAGATGCTGAGTCGATTGAATAGAGCTGACACTGATCGTCGCTGATTGGCCTTTCGGGAACCGGGACCCTCCTCCCGAGACTACGGTTCAACATCGCCATGAACGATGAACATTCCTCTTCTCAGCGAAGAAACTTCAGGCGTAATATGAAACGCACGGTTCGTTGCCACGTTTTGACGCAATGTGATCATCCTGATTTACAGGTTTTATTAAGACTTCTCAAGTGATCTTCAGTGAAGAAATGACTCGAGTCGGCAGCTGAGAGGCCGATTTCTACACCAAACCCTTGGCGAATGTCGATCGTCTTCTAGCGCAGAATACTACTGCAAGCCTCATCCGCCTCTAATTCCCATGACATCCTCTCCTGGGCGCGGATCTGTGCCTCTTATCACCGGAACGATGCTGCAAGATAGAGTTGTGATTGGCGATGGACCCTCGGAGAGACGTACATGATCCATGCAAGTGGCTACGTGCTTTCCAGGCATTAACTTGGCTTTAAAGGCTTCCCCTCCCCTTGGGTCGTGACCCCTATGCATGTGTTGGTTTTTCGTATCGCTTTTTGTTTCTGCAGCCATGGGTAGTGCTACCTCCTTCGCCGCTGAGGCGTTTACACTGCTCTCTATTGGCATTTTGGTCATTGGCCTACGAACGTTTGCGAGGATACGACAAGTCGGTGTGAGGAACTTTGAGGCCGATGATTACCTGATGCTGGTGGCGATTATTCCGTATACGATCGAGACGGCGCTTGCGTATACTGTTGGAGCAAAGTTTCACGGGTTGACCAACAGTGGGATGACGGATGAGGAGCGCAAGGCTCTGTCACCGAATAGTGAAGAATATGGATGGAGGTAGGTTGCTTGACCCTGCGGGGGACGTGGGTGACTAAGTTTGACAGGGTTGGCGGCTCAAAGATCCAGATCGCTGGTTGGATCATGTACGCAACAGTGCTTTGGGTCATCAAGAGTGCGCTCTGTGCTTTCTACTTCCGACTCACGGTAAGCTCAACACGACATTAAGAACCGAATGACAAGACTGACGACTCCAGGCTGGTCTCACCGGATACAAAACTCGAATCTACATCGGCTTTGGCTTCATTGCCTCGACATACATCGCCATTGTATGCTGTATTCTCTTCAGCTGCCAACCATTTAACCGCTTTTGGCAGATCTACCCCGACCCAGGCAGTACGTCGAGACACAATTGGACTTGAGAGGCAAAATACTAATACCCTGTAGACTTTTGCCACCCCGCGTTGTCCAAGCTTTACATCTTCATCATCGTCAGCCTCAACATCATAACTGACGTTTACTTGCTCGCTATCCCCATTCCGATGCTTTGGGGCGCCCGCATTCCCAAGGTGAAGAAGTACGGATTGCTTGTGCTTTTCTCTGGCGCCGTATTTGTGATGGTCGCTGGCCTACTACGATGTATCCTCATCCTCAAGGTATGTGACTTTCCATCACCAGAGTGTCGTGAGGAGTTCACTGACGTCCCCAGAACCCCAAAACAGGACCCGAGGAAGGTGCTTCATGGGCCGTCCGAGAATCTTTCGTCGCCGTCGTAACGGCTAATCTCCCCAGCACATGGGGATGGATGCGCCAAAAGCTCAAACCTATCTTCGGCTCGCTCCTCTCATCCAACAATGTCAGCTCGAAATACAAGGGCGGTCCCGAACCCGGAAGTATCATGCTCGCCGACGGAAACGGATCAAACTGGAAGAGAAGTAACGGAAGGTCTATCAGATCAACGACTGGGCTTGGAAGTGTGAATGATCGGAATGTTTACATTCATGGAGGAGGTGGCGAGGCTAGTTCGGATGAGATTATCCCTTCGATGCCGGGGATTACGAAGGAGGTTGAGTTTACAGTTGAGGAGTCGGATGCCAGAAAATGATGATTGAGGAGATGGGATTTGATTTAGATATGTTATATACCCTGTCATGAAATGACCCAATATGCAATGGACAAGATTTCACTGGTTCAATCCTCCCTTTGATGACTTGGCCTGCCCTGGTATCTCGACTAATGCCGTTTAGGATGGTCTTGACAGGCACTGATACCATTTTCTATTTGAAAACATGAGTCTGCAACTGCTTGCCATTTTCATCATACCTCTTCGGAATGACGTTCAAAATACCATCAACGTCCCTCGGCTCATAATCCAACATCGAGGCAGCCAAAACCATGATATCCATTCCAAAGTTCTCCTTGATCCAATGCGCAAACATGTCCATTCCGGCAACTGCACCGCCCGCAGTCCAAATGTTCCCTTCGACAATCCATTTCTTCTCATCAGTCCACTTGACGTTCGGAAATTTCTGTCTGAGAGGCTGAATAGCACCGTGGTTGACTGTCGCATTCTTGCCGTCAAGTACACCCGCTGCCGCAGCGACGCTGGCTCCAGTGCAAGTGGTGAAGAGAAGCTTTCCAGCTGCGACGTGCTTTTGGATGAACTCGGCGTACTTGGGATGAAGCTCAAAGTTCATGGGATCCGGACCCCCGAGGAGAAGGATGTCAAGTTCGGGGCATTCGTCCACGGTTGTAGTCGGGACAATCGGAATGTTACTTGTTTCAAGAACAAAAGTTTCGCGAGTGATGCCGATGTGATGAAAGACGAACTCTGGGGCGCGAGAGATTGTGTCTTGGTCGACCTTCAAATGGCCAGATAGGGTTTGGATGTATGGCTTGGTGGCAGAGTTGAGGAGGTCTGTTGGGCCCAAGACATCTATAGCTTGATAGTCGTAGACAAGTGCACCTAAGTGGAGGGGAGCCATTTTGCCAGATTGGCTGGAATGAATTTAGAGTGATGACGGATGATGAGGGTGCTTGATGGTGTCATCCAAAGCCAATGGTTGTGCTTTTACGACCCTTTTATAGTGACAGCACCTCATTGTTGTGTACAGAAAAAAAAAATCGAACTGAAACATGTAACTTCCGATGGCCATCGCATGGAGTTCCACCAGTTTGTGATATATCCGAGCTGGAGTGGATGTTAGACGATCATGGTGGAGTTTTTGCTAGGGGAGTATCCAACAGGAACCCAGCAACTCGATTAGACTCATTTAGGTTCCTCAGATCCCGCCTATTGAAGCATAGTCAATTGCAATACTTCCATGATGCTTCGGAGCGAAATGATGCGTCGTGGCTGATGAGCCTTCTAGACACAGAACGGGTTGTAAGCACTCCGATGTGACAAAAGGTGCTGACCCGCTTCCGAACCGCAACCGGAATAAGGAAGAAATTCATGTGAATAAGAAACTAGAATGAAGGGGCTTGATTGCTTTCGAATGAAATGAAGAATGTTACATCGAGATACCAAAATAATTAGCTAACGGGAAGTGGGTTGGACATTGAACCCAACACGTGCAGTTCTTGGCTTCTGAATGCAACCGTTCGGCTGTCTCGGATGTTATTCTCATCGTCTAACCCGCTCTTATCTGCACAAGCATCCACCAACGTCGGCACTTGTCATGGATCTGGATAAGTCTACCACGCGACGACGCCATGTAATTAAAACGCGGGGAAGTAAAACGATGCGTTCATTCGTCGCAGCGGTCACAGCTCAATGTCACAGTCGAGACCGTCTCCATCGTCCTGCTCAAACGGGCTCAACAGCCGAGGAAAATCCCTCGATCTGCAACGCTTCTTGCAACCATTATCTTGACAGAGCGGGGAAATTATCTTGATAGATGCTTGTTCAGAGCTTGAACAAAATGAGGATAGGGAGTTGGATAACTGCAATCTATTCGCCCAACTCGGTAAGCGTGATCTACGAAATGTCGGGGTAATTGGCACCAAAGTCAAGAATTGCAATGTATATGCCATAAAAGGAAGGAAATTGGGCACGCTGATAAGATAGTGTAGCCTCGCTCTATCAGAAGACGATAAAGTCTACGACAGGGACATGGAACATAGCTGTGACGAGAATGGAAGGAGGTGAAGATAGTCGAATTGATTGCACCTAGGAGATAGAGGTCGGGATCAACAGGAGGATCGTCTAATATGAAGTCGAGAAGCATAAGTAGTTCACCGAAGTCCTCAAAATCATGCATGTTATTCTTCTGCAGACTCTCATCCTTCCCACCTTCCTTGGTCATATCGAGTTATCGTGACTTTCAAGATGCGACACTCAACTTCTCAACTCCTCTCAATATCCCTTGGCCTTCTACTAGGTTCAAGTGAGGCAGCATCGATACCACGCAAAGAAACCTGCACCAAAACCAAGGTTGCAATTCTGGGTGCTGGTGTAGCTGGCATCACTGCCGCACAAACATTACACAATGCTTCCATCCACGACTTCATCATCCTCGAGCACAATGACTACGTCGGAGGCCGCATGAAACATACCACTTTCGGAAAATCCTCCGATGGCAAGCCTCTGACTGTCGAGCTCGGTGCGAACTGGATCGAAGGTCTTCAGAATCCTTCAGGAGAGATCAACCCAATTTGGCGCCTCGCTCAGAAGCACAAAGTGAAGAATACGTATTCTAATGACAGTGCGATCATCACCTACGATGAGACTGGAGCTTCCGATTATACTGAGCTGATTGACCTCTTTGACGAGAAGTTTGAGATCGCTTCGCAGGAAGCTGGTTATATCTTCACCGAGAATCTTCAAGATACATCAACTCGCGCTGGTCTTAGTCTGGCAGGCTGGAAACCAAAGAGGGATATGAAGATGGCTGCTGCTGACTGGTGGGGCTGGGACTTCGAGACGGCGTATTCTCCAGAGGAAAGCGGCTTCGTGTATGGTGTCGCTGGAAACAATGCTACCTTCAAGCACTTCAGTGATGAGACGAACCTTGTCATCGACCAACGAGGCTACAATGCTTGGCTCGTTGGAGAAGCGAATGAGTTTCTCAAGAAGAATGACCCAAGGCTCCGTCTGAAGACGACAGTTAAAAAGATTGAGTACACCACCAAGGGAGTCAAAATCGATACCAACAACGGGTGCGTCGAAGCAGATTACGCTATCTGCACGTTCTCCGTCGGCGTTCTTCAGAACAACGCCGTTGATTTCAAGCCTACGCTTCCCCGCTGGAAGAGACAAGCCATTGAACAGTTCCAGATGGGAACCTACACCAAGATCTTCATGCAGTTCAACGAGACGTTTTGGCCTGAGGACACACAGTACTTCCTTTACGCTGACCCAGAGCAACGCGGCTACTACCCATTGTTTCAGTCACTGAGCACACCAGGCTTCCTTCCAGGATCGAATATCCTGTTTGGCACAGTTGTGCAACAACAGGCTTACGAAGTTGAGCAACAATCGGACGAAAAGACCAAGAAGGAAATCATGGAGGTGCTACGCTCTATGTTCCCCGATAAGCACATTCCCGAGCCCACTGCATTCATGTATCCCCGCTGGAGTATGGAAGAGTGAGTCACCCAGCCCCCCACGCTGCAATGTTTGCTAACAATGAGAAACAGGTGGTCGTACGGGTCCTACAGTAACTGGCCCGTCGGTATGACGCTGGAGAAACACCAGAACCTCCGTGCCAATGTGGATCGATTGTGGTTCGCTGGTGAAGCCAACTCAGCTGAGTTCTTCGGGTACTTGCAGGGCGCTTACTTTGAAGGGCAGGAGATTGGTGAGCGAATTACGAGGATTTTGAAGGGTGAGGAGTCAGAGCAGTCACAGCAGATGAAGAGGTACAAGACGTTACGCGGTACGACGGAGCCTGAGGAGCATGATGCTGCCAACGGATGGTCGACTCCTCTTGATGATTAGGAAGACAGTGCCTAGAGAGAGTCAATGTTCATGAGTTCCTTACCTTTGATTTCTGTAGGTAGCACGTGGCCTGTGTCCACCTATCGTAGTCTTGAATATTGGTTGGCTCCCATGACTGGCCACTTGATGTATGTCACTACTCCACATCTTCATGAATCGACCTTGTGGACACAGGGACAGATAGCCACCCCAACAACATGAACCTCATATGGAGTATTTTTAGAATCTACCCCAGAGCTATTGCATGGGTACATAAAACACAATTGCGAAACAACTGACTCGTCTCTCGTATCCTCTGCTACAACAGGTTTTATGATTGGAGGGATGGCCATATACAGACATTTACGACGCGACAACTCTCAAACCAGGCTCGTCCGTGTGCTTCAGGCTTCACCCCATGACATCCACCTATCCCTCGAGCTCCGCCATGGGTTCATCGAAGATAGCACCTACTCAGCACTCTCATATGCCTGGGGTGATGCATCTGAAGAAGAGTACATCCTCGTTAACAGAGTCCTATTTCGAATCCGCAAAAACCTATATCAGGCTCTTTTACAGCTTCGCGACAATGGCATCCGCGATTGGCTCTGGATAGACACTATGTATACAACAGAAGAATATCGATGAAAAGAGTTATCAAGTCGGGTTGATAGGCATAATTTTCAGCAATGCTTTCTCGGGTGTACTCGTGGCTAGGACTGGGCACATCAAATGCAGATATCGCGATGGGCTTTTGTGCTCGCATCAGATCATAAGCAGAACTGATTGGACTCGATCACGATGATGGTGATACTGACTTTTGTCTTCGGAAGCTTTTCAACCAACAAGATGTTTTGAAGCTGAGAGCCGAAGACAGTGAGCTCATAAGTGCTGGGCCAGAATTTGTTGCCTTTTTCGTCAGTCTTGTTCAAGAGCCTGACCTTCAAGCGGGAACGCCGAGTGGCGATCAGTTATTCGCAGGGAAAAAGAGAAGGTACGGCGAATATCATCGATTGGCGAATTTGCAAATTTGCCCCACGACTCTGGACCTGGCGAGGACTACGTTTGGCGAACTCTGGAATCTTGTTATGCACCTGTTTCACAAGATACTGATCAGGAAGTCAGGTCAATCATCCGCGCTTTAATGCGGCAACAGGCAATTAGTCTAGAAGAACTAACCACATCACAAATAGACTATCTGGACCTACTAACGCTACCAGTACTAGCTTCACTGACCTGGAATGTGACGGAAAAGCCTTCCAACGCGATCAAACAAATCAAAGAACATGTTCTCGTCAGCGAACGTGGAAGAAATCTGTTAAAAACACAGAAGGGAATGCTAGGTTTGGGTCATGAATTTGTGCAGCCTGGAGATACTGTAACACTTCTTTTAGGCGTTCATTCGTCTATTGTGCTTCGTTCGCGCTGTGAGGGAGGGTTCACCTTCGTAGGAGATGCTTATATGGATGGGATTATGCAGGGGGAATTCCTCCAAACGAACCCTGTTGAACAAGAATTCGTTATATACTAAGACAGACGCGGTGGCTTTTGGCCGGTATGGCTTAACATCTAGCTAGAATAAGACATGAATTTTATGCGTTCTCAGCTTCATCATCACATCAGACAATGACAGGCGACCGCCATGTACCAGAGAAGGTTTCAAAAACCGAAGAGTCTTTCTTGTCTCAGGCCAGGTCGCAAATTTGGCTTTAGACCTGTAATTCAGTACAAGTCATAGAGAAAGGGATTGGCGGCTGATGACGCGCAAACATTAAACATCTAATATCTGCTTCATCCGAACTCCTTTAATAATCTCGTGGTTCAAAGAGACAATGATACCACTAGGCTAATCCAAGGAATAACAGCATAGACTTACCTTGATCCAGCAAAGGGAACAGAGGGCCCATGTATAAATATCACAACTTATCCCACTAGATGGTCTTAAGCACACAGTTCTTCAGCATCGCAACTTATCTTATAGTCATCGGAGAGATTCTGCCTATGACAGCCAACCCAACCAAGCGCCGTGATCTGCCCATAGCCATGCAATTCCTCTCACTTCTCGTTCTCCTTGCTCCCGTGGCATCATCGTGCGGCGACAATACGTACCGTTGCAAAAACCCTGACAAGTCTACCGCCGAAGAGCAGGCAGTGACTACGAAAATCTGCAGTAGTCTGGGAAATGGTTACTGCTATTGCAATCACCGGGCGGAATGGTTTTGCGATACATTTGGAGAGGACATCAACAAGTTCAAAAGATCATGTGAGGACCAGGGCGAGAATTGGTATTGGGTCGATTGTTAAGCAGGGGCCATTGGTGCAGATTCTTGCTGGAATAAGTCCTTTGTAAAGATTGATTCTTGAGTTTTGGATCGGTCATTACTACTTTTGAAGTGTCTTATGAGTCTTGGACAATTCTTCTTCGGGTTAGTTGCTCTACCAGTAAGACGGGATATTTAACGCAGGCTTGTCTCAGCCGCTTACTCCTGCAGGATAGCTTCTTTTAGGTCAATGGTTAGTGACATCTTGGTATTCTCTCTCACCTAAGTGCCATTCATCTTGGCCTCCCTGAAGGAGGCTAGAAAGCCGAGGAGTTAGGACCTTCATCCCAAATGACAAAAATAACTAATCTAGAGATTTTCTGAGTCTACACTAAATTTACTAAATCTTTTAAGCACCTAGGATAGAGATCCTAACTTTCGTTTTGCTCCCTTAGGCCTCTTTCTGCTTTGAGTGCATTTTAATCTCGATCACAGAATCAAGTACTACCATTTCTCCCGTTCTTTCAAAGCCATGACGCGGTTCTGGGCTGTGCTTTTCTTGGGCAGGCCACTAAGCTTTAATGCAGGTACAGGTCGAAAACGGCGTAGACAACCATAAACAGAAGCTTAATGGCAAGCCACCGATCTTTTCCATTGGCCAAGGGTGTAAGCTGCTTTTGTCTTAGATGCTCGGGATGTCTCGCATCCATCACACCAAGCATGCTAAAATCCTTTGGGTTACAACCGTTCGATGATAGGAATTGGATCATCATCATCTTATTCCATTCTTGTCTACGGGATGGAGACTGTCGACTCTTGGCACGAGAGAGTGTTACTATGAGATCATTGAAGCCATTGAGTCTCAAGCGAGACAACATGAAGGCCATCGTCACCCAACTGGTGAGGGGTCTAGATCTAACTACCAGCCGCCGACAGGAGACGAGCTTGCTAGTAGCATAAGAATCCATCAAATAATATGTGATTATGTCTTTGACTGAAGTTCGAGATCAGCTCTGAATCAGCTTCTCCGATTAATAGCGGGCGCATGGGATGCTTGGAATGCTATGGCGTTACCTATTGGGTCATATGCGCTCTCTACAAGCCACGATCTTCTTTGACTTTTATCGGCATATGCTGGAGGAGCTTTATCATGGATTTGGCGTCAAAACAGGGTAACTCCTACTACAATTAAGCTATAGCGTGTACCGATCGAGACCGTTCTTTGGTGGATCAAGCTTCTGGGCCTTGGACCCCTGGCATTATCCGTTATGACGCTTTGACAGATGCCCAGATAAGCATGGAATCCTAAGCCCATTTATGTGCCAAGCTGCCTTTACTCTTCTAAGCATGCTCTTCTACCAAGATATTTTACATTCATGACTGCCCAGGTTCCTCGCATCTGAACACAATGATGTTACCCCATCGTGATAAATGGGATGCTCACTACTCAACCATCGATGAAACAGTCTACATTGGTAGAGATGTCTTTGTCGTTGTAAGTTGTACTTGGATGCCCCTCTCGGTAGTGGTATGTACTGACACTTGACCAAGGTTGCCTCGACGTTATCGCTTTACAATGCCATCGAACTACTCACCCTCATCTCTCTGACCTTCAAAAGACGATCGGGACTTTACTTCTGGAGTATTCTCATCGCATCATTCGGCATTATCCCATACTGTCTGGGATGGCTCATTGTCTACTTCGACCTTACGCACGATTACGTTGGCATGATCATTGAGACTGTCGGCTGGGTCCTTGTCATCAGTGGCCAATCATTTGTTTTGTACTCGCGACTTCACCTAATTGTTACTGATGTCAAGATTCTACGAGCCGTTCTCATCATGATCATTATCAACGGTCTCGTTTGGGTAAGTCATTCCCTCGAGTACCAGAGTCCCAAGCTGACCACGGCTTAGCATTCGACGATGACTGTACTTCTGTTCGGATCAGAGTACAGCCCAAGCGATAACAGACGCGGCTTCAACAATGTCTTCAACATCGCGGAAAAGATCTCGATGTCCATCTTTTATCTGCAGGAACTCATCATCTCAGGCCTGTACATCTGGAAGTCAATGGAGATCCTCAAGACAGCTTTCGGGAACACACGAAGCATGCTATACAAGCTATTTACGATCAACTTCGTCATCATCCTAATGGACATCGCTCTTCTGGCTATAGAGTTCCATGACCTTTACGTCTGGGAGCAAGGCATCAAGCTGGTCACCTACTCGATCAAACTCAAGCTGGAATTTGCTGTTCTTAGCGAACTGATTGAATTCGTCCGAAACCGTAGCGGAACCCGATCACGACCGACAAAGAACTCCGAGAATCAGAGCACTTTTGTACCATTGTCGTCTATGCACAAGGGAAATACCAAAGGAACTACGTCGAGTACGAGAGACTTTATCCACGCTGGCGATTCTCGGACCAACACAACTATTGCGGCTACCAATCCGATACCAGCGGTTCCGACGAATGATAGCATACATGTTTTGAGAGAGGTCGACGTGGAGAGTTTGTCTGCTTATCCAGGGAACAATCAAAGCACAGATGAATTATGGAGTCGTCTACCCCGAGAATCTGGCAAGGCAATGGTTGGCGAAGCATTTTGAAAATAATCGAGATAGTTTTTGTCGTATATTTATTACTTTAGAACATAGTGAGTCTGACCTTTGCGCACGTAGCAACCCTTCCCTGCTTCCATCATAAGCTCATGTCTTGATGTCTTTTCCCTAAATTGGCAGAACATGATTTTTCCAATCATGAGTCGAGGTTCACTCAGTACCTCGCTTCCTGACGATACACAGGACCAGTCAATTCATTTCTCGGCAAGGCCTGCATATACTGGATGAATCACCATATCAAACTGGGGCACCTTGCGCTACCTTGTATAATGTTGTCATCTCAGTCTGAAACTTGCCACCTCGCTGGCTATAACCCCTCAACAAAATTTTCATTTCACCTCGACCTCGACCTCACCCAGGTCACATTACTCACCATGGAACCTTTTTCGCTGGCCCTTGGGATTATTCCTCTATCTGTTCAGCTAGTTAACACGCTAACCGCTATCAAGAGCCTGGTCAACGCCTACAGGTCAGCGGCAAAAGAATTAGATGATCTTTGCCGCAAGCTTGATAAGCTTGAGGCTGACTGCGAACCTCTTTGCATCGTTCTATCAGAGACTAGTGGTTCGTCTTTCACGCCCGGACAGTCTCTCCTTTTCAACAACCTTTGATGCACCGTTAAAGAGTGCTATATTGAAGTATTCAATGTCTATCAGGCTATCAGAAAGTTCTCTACAAAGCTCAACAAGGTCGGAACCACTTAAAAGGCACGGGCTTCTGATATCTGACACATAGACGCCAACTTGTTTCTTGTGTCGATAGTCTGGACAGTTCACGCGATTTGCTTGAATTATCTTTGTTGGCGTTCTCAGCGTGAGTTTGCCGTTACAAAAGGTATCGTAAATCTACTCTAACAGCTCAGTGGCATGAAACTAGAACCCCTACAACCTCCGAGCCTGTCGCTCCCCATCAACCAAAGCACGCAGAACACAGGTCGCTTCCCACAGAACCAAGAATCTGATGTAACAAACTACTCTATGCAGCCAAACAGACAGCAGTCAAAAGTTTTAATCGAGAGATGGAGACGTTAATGCTCAAGTTTGGCGTTCCTCCAAAGACACAGAAATTAAGAACAATTCCTGGTACTGATACTCAAGTTTCGGCACAGGTACAGGAAAGCTCGACTATTACTTTTGGATCATCATTAATGAACATGTACATAAAATTGACATTGATGAGAGGGCCTCTTGCGCCTCTTTCTGTCAGCTTGCAGATTCCGAGAGTGCTCATGATCTCCAATCGCAGCAGCGACTTCGGTATAAGTGTCCGGAAGGCCTTTGAGTCAGACAATCTGCAAGCGATTATCGGGTTCGTCAGCCAAGGTCTCCTCACCCCAGCTATGACTGTCACATTCACTGAATGCGATCCTTAACACGAAGCATTTTTGTTGGGCGTAGGTCTTCTGCCATGTCCGTGTTACTGGTAAACTGACATTTCTCAAGCTTTCTATGGCATTCCTATGTCCCAATATTCTCACCTTTCTGAAATCCCAAATGAATCACAACGAGCAAAGGTATGCCTGAACAGGATGCAAGGGGGCTTCACCATAAGACTGGGTGCTAAAATTTACAGGAACTATTTAGGTCTTAACCGCTTTTTTATCCCAACTCCGATGAAGCCTTTTCATGTATCATTGAATACATCCATATACGTAAAAGGATGAGGACCCCAGCAGACTTTACCCGGGTGTTAACTGGTGTTGAAGGCCGCCTTCGTGTAAAAGCGTGTGTAGAAGCTTGCCGACAGCACTTTTTGCACGACTGGGACCGCTTTGATGATGAAGTTATCAGAGAGATCACCGGCTCATTCACTGGCACTGATCACATGAATAGTTCAGAGTTAGAAGACTGGGCGTCGTTACTTAGAGACGTCATTGCGCGGGGCAACGATGTTTTCTCTAACTTGGGGGTTTATCGCTTAACAGGGAGTTTAAAGACTATCCTCTCAAGTATCCGCGAATCTGATGATGCTTGGTACTGCGCATGCCTCTGGGTCGATATGCTGTAAGGAGCGCAGATCGATGTGTCAAGATATTTGGAGGTTGCGACAAAACATTGTTTTGAGACTTGGGTTGGAAGCAGCGTCTGGGCTCATAACGGTGTCAAAGATTCGGCCATCCGACGAGTACTCCTCACAGGATATCACAATGGGCGAATTTTCCCATATTGGATCGAATGTGCTGACAGCTCATGCCCCGTGCGCGAACTATTTAATGAGTTCCCAAGACTGCGAGATATAGACAGTACATTGCGATGTTACACCTGGCATATGTATGTTCGAAGGTCGCGACGTTGGAAGGATGGGGGAGATCTTGCTGCATCCGATCCAGCGATAAGCTTTTGGCCATTCGCACCTTCACTTGATCGATGGATTTTGCGACATCAACGCGGCGACGATGATGCGGTGGTGCCGCAGAACATTGAACTTGGAGAATGGGCTAATCGAGTTATTGATTTGAGGGAGCGTCGCTTTGAACGAAAAGAGCAACGCAGGCGTCAAAAGCTTAGCGGTAAAGGAAACGGATGACAGAAAATGCCTGGAGCATGGGTCGAATGAGAAAGGATTTTGGCGGATGAAGCATTTGTGCACGGTCAGCACTTGCTTCTTATATTAATACAAGCAATTATCATTTTGGTGAAACTCCAGGATCAAGTGATTTATCCATCAACTGTACCCCTCCTTATGTAGGCTGCGAGAGTAGACGAATCACAATTCAAGACAAGTTGGCGATGAGAAAACATCCATCGAATGAGATCGCGATGCTTTGCACAGCCCCTCCAAGGCATTCTGCGCAGCCCGATTTCTCTCGTTGCCAACATCAAAAGACTTGCCATTCATCCTCATATTCAGTACTTCACCCTCAACAACATTCTTACACACTATGGACCCTGCCTCTCTAAGTTTTGGAATTGTGTCCCTAGCGATGCAGCTAGTGCAGACAGCAAAAGCCGTCAAGGAATACATTGCAGCCTACAAGTCAGCGGCAAAAGAGCTCGAAAGTCTCGCCGACAAGCTTGAAGATATCGAGACTATTTGCTGCTCCTTGGAAATTATTCTTTCAGATGGAACACAGAGACTCAGCACGTTGGAAGTCAATCTGCTCAAGAAGTTGAGTCGTATCATTCGGCAATGTCTATCTCAAGTCTCAGATATACACAGCATTCTCGATACAATCTCAAGAATCCAGAAAAATACCCGAAATCCGTTGAAGACTGTTGGAGCCCTATTTCTGCGCTATAAAGATCAGATTCGTCTCGCCACGAATGGACTGGACCGTTGCCTTTCCTCGCTTCAGCTGCATATGACAGCCAATATTCTGTACGGTACACCCAGCCTACAACCTGCAAACTTCCTTCTAATCCTTCAGAGCTATGACTATGACGTCCCACAAGGCCACCAGGAGTCCTCTACCAACCACAGCTACTTCAACAGCTAGAGAAGCACAGAAGCCACCAAGAGTGAGAAAGCGTGAGCAATGCGACAAGCGTCAAACACGTCGAAAAAGTCCAGAAACTATCGTCGATACATGGAGACAAGCATGGAGCACAAAAGATTTTGTACAATGGACGAGAAGAACAACGAAAGAAGAAATCTCATTAGGCCAAGGCTCATCAACAATTCAGGACGATTCTATCTTCACGGTAGGTTCTTCATTACTGAGCCTATACGTCAAGGTATCACTACGGCGTGGCAACCTGGCCCCGTTTTGTATCTCTTTACAGATACCTCGAGTTATCTATCTCCAGGAAAGCCAGCGCCAGATTGGCGGGAAAGTTGAATCCGCCTTTATGGATGATAACTTAGGTCAAATCAAGACATATTTTACTCAAGGCATTCTGACACCTGCATCAGTCATTGCCTGGGATGAATACGATCCTGATAATGAAACTTCTCTTCTGGGCGTAAGTCGAAAAGCATTGTTTATTTATCGCTCTAACACGGCGACAGCTGGCGGCCTTAACAAAATCCCAGTCAGTTCTCAGATTTCTCGCAACGCAAACTTTTAGCCTATCCAACAGGTATGGGTGAGCTATGGGAAGATATCGAACGGATATGCTAACATTCCAGAAACCACATTGGCAGTGCAAGATATCTGTACACTTTTAATGGCCAAGATGGTCCCAGATTCGCCCTGGAATACATCAAGATACGGCAAAACTCCATCTTGGCGTCTGAGTTTCACACGATCTTACGGGGTATTGTAGACCCCTACAACGCCCAGATATGCATAGAAGCATGCAAGCCTCACTTCTCTAGTAATATGGTAGTCTTCAATACTGCGGTCTGGAGATACGCCATGAAGCAGTTCAAGCACGATTTAGCAGTGAACGTCGAAGGATGGGCAGGCCTTGTTGCAGACTGTGTTTCTCGGGGCTTGGATATCCATCAACAACTTCGACGCGATACTGACTTCAGTGCCTTGAAAGATATTCTGTTCTACAACTGGGACATTGACGAGATGTTGGAAAACGTGCACCGCTGGATAGACATTTTGGAGGAAGCCGGCGTCAACATTAAAGAATACCTCATGGTCGAGACGGAGTGTTGTTTCGCGACGTGGCGCGATATACCATATTGGAATAACAAGGAAATTGGTTATTCGAACTACAGACGCCCTCTCTGCATCAATGAGTCAAGGGGCAGACAATTCCCATTTTGGAACTTCTCCATTGAGGACGAATGCCCTGTCAGGGAGCTGTTAACGGAGCATCAACACTTTGCGACCCCGCTCACATTGTACCAAGGAGTTTCGACACAAGCTTATATTGCACAGCATGAAGCTTGGAAGCAACATCAGACCTTGGAGGTTCCGGATAGATCTGATACATACGGAAAAGGATGGCCTTTTTGGCTTCCTCTTCGCCATTACCACGATTACAATGCAGAGGAGGCGGAATGGGTGGATCGGGAATTGCAGCTAGCCCAAAACAGGTTTGACAGGAGGCAAAAGCGCAAGCAAGGGAAACTCAGACATGATAGGCAGAAACAGCGGATGCCGATGCCGGGAACTTGGGTAGAGGATGCTTGACGTTCGAACAGAGGATTGATCGAAATTTGTACCAGCAAGCTTCATAACTGCTGATATATGAATGATGAAATGGTCCACAGGCTTATAAAAGTAATTATGATATCCGTCTCAGTTATAGACGTCTGTGCTTATGTACGAAAAGTGTTCATCACCTAATACTCATCTAAGCCTTTTCATTTTCTGCCAGTTAGACTAGATGCCCTAGAGAAAAGGCTCCACTATGGACCCACATATATCAAAAGAGGCTTGTGATTGGCAGCTGACGACGCGTCTTGTGAGCTAGCGGCGCTGACGTCATCCTTAACACCAGAAATCTCATCAGGTCCAATCGATTACATCCCCTGAACCCGAAATGTCCTTTCAGCGGCCCAAAGAATGGCCACAAAGCGTGTCCTTCGGGGCAGTCACACACCAGAAGATGGACCAAGCATCATATCGTCACTCCTTCAGATACAAAAATGCAGAATTCCGCAGCAAAAGATGATATGGATCGTTGAAAATCTCGAATGCCTCGGTCGACGACAGTCCAAGAAGAGAAAGCTCATAGATGATGAGGATGAAAAGCCCGAGACGCCTTACTGGTTCAGAGAAACTGTCAACGGATTCACAGATAGTAATTTTATTGCGCTGTCGTACACCTGGGATGCTTCCGAGCATGAAACACAGAACCCTAGGAAGGAGGGTCATAAAATCGAGACAAGGGATGGACAAGAAGCTTGGCGCTCCTCGGTACGAAATTCGGTGCTTGAAAGGATCACAAAATACATGCAATGTCATGACGTGCCGCTTCTGTGGATTGATCGGCATAGTATCCCGCAGAAGAAATGCAAGCAGCCATCATGCACACATACTGAGTGCAGGCAGAAAAGGCATGCCCTCGATGCAATGGATCGAGTATACTCACTGAGCGATCACCCTGTTGCGCTACTCGGTCGGCCGATCCAAGATGAGGATGAGATGAGGACCCTCTCTTCGATACTCAAAGGTGCCCTTGTCAAGTACCATGAGGGCGGATTTGCGCTGTCGAAAGGTGCAGAGTATAACCAAGCTCGTAAGATGCTATGCCTGATATACGAAATCACCCGCGATAAATGGTGGACAAGAGCGTGGACGTTCCAAGAGAACTACCGAGCTGGTCTCAAGATGACGCTTCTCATCCATCACAGCGCCGATTTCGAAGACACAAAACGGTCGATACTCAGTGGCAAGAAACCAATGTTTGGTGTAGTACCTGGCGAGCTGAGTGTCCAGTCAGCCAGGTTCTCGGAAAGCGCTACCAAATTCTGTCTTGGCTTTCGCCGACATCACTTTCTGACAAGTGAGGATGAAGAGATGATCGATCATATACTTGCGACGGCGGGGAAGTACACCATATTGTTATCACCTTCAAGCTCCATGTCTGGGACAATTGTTTCCGATGTCCGAAAACGAGGCGTCACGGAGCCATGGGATTGTCTAGCAATCATTGCCAATTGCTGCCAATACGCGACACGTCTCAACAGTACGCGGCTTCAGGATAGCGGTGTAAACCTAGACCTCGCGATACTGGCCCTTCGTCTCGTAAATGGCGAGGTCCTCAAAAACGATGAGCCACCTGTATCAGAACATGAGCCAATGGTTGAGCAGATCAACAATCTTTTCTTCGATGATTTCCGGGCCCCGGAGGGCGCGCGAAGGTTGACTTTTAACAAGAGCTGTCGTTTCGTCGATGTTAACTTCACCAAAACTGGGATAGTCACAAGAGGTCATCTCTGGAAGCTGGATGATAACCTCCGAGCGCCTCGGTCATCACCGCGCTTATCGCAGCCAAGTCAGAAAGGCGACCAGCAACTGTCTGAATATGATCGCACGCGGTTAAGGCAGCTTGTTGAACTCGTCAAGGCAAAGAAAGGGCGCAAAGACGCAGAGATAGTGGAGGATATGAAGGACTTCCTTGAGGAAGATGCCTTTGTTGTAGATGAGGACGAGTCTTTCAGTCTACGCTATCGAAGGCTTATGGCGAAGGAGGTCGTCAGAGCCATGGACGCAGATCAACCTTTAACACTGGGCTATCTATGTGACCCATCTGGAGAGGCTACAACAGCACGGGCGATATTCGTCCGCAATCGAAATCTCGATGAGTCAGAAGAGCTGTTCAGCCAACAGGAAGATGATCTCACGTATGTCTTCACGTCGCTCTGGTCAGAAGACCAGCCAGATGAGGAGTATCTTGCAAACGATCTCGACCACCACGTGTCTCTTGGAGTTCGGCTTTCAGATGATGAACAAAACGGACCATTGCGCTTGTATACTAAGGAGTGGGTTCTTGGTTTGTGCTTCTTTGTCGGTGCTCCGACTTACGAGGTTATATTTCCATGGCCTCCACCATTATCGCGATAGCGGATGAGGACGAGGACGAGGACAAGAGGATGTAACAACACTGTAACACCAGGGACGAAAAATAATTTTAGTTAGGGGAAGGACTTTTGGGTCGGATCATGGGAAGGCATATCGGCGGCGCTTCCTAGGAAAGGCAAGAAAACTTAGGATCATTATCCCAAGTGACAAGAATATTCAGGCAAATTTAGTGTATCTTAGTGGGTCTTTAGATCAGATCAGTTGATTATAATACACCATCTTAATGTAAGAAGTCTCATACCCTCAGAGGGTTTTTAAATAATTCATTGTATTTACTAATGCAGTTCGTTCAAACTGGCAACATTCGTCTCCTTATGCAGTCGAGACATCATGAGTTTATAGCACGTAGCGGAAATGAGGATTCTGCGCAATGTCAGTGCCTTGTCGCAATTTTAGTTCGAATTTTGAATCTTACCTCGAAATCTGTCAAGTCAGCTCCATCCACTTCAGAGGGATCCTCGTTATTCGTCCCAACAGCCGCAGCGGCTGCGTCTCTTCGTGCGTTTCGCCTGGACAGGAGTACTCGAAGCATAATTGCGATGACCATCTGAGCAACCGAGCAGCTGAGAATCGTAATGCATCCGGATGGATACAAGGGGGCCTCAGAGCCCAAGAAAGCGTGAGGACCAATGACGTTGCCGACGCAGTAGGCGATGAAGACCATTGCTGAAGCTGTGATACGCTTGGTGTAGCCACCGAGATTGCTAGCGGGCATCTGCATCGCGAGGACCAAAGAACAAACAAAGGCGCCGATAATGTAATAACCGAAAAGTACGCCGATCTTGTGGTGTTCACGATCAAGCTTCCAGAGAAGACAGACTCCAATCATGGTGGGGATAAGGTAGACAGCCATGATGATGGTACGGCAGTTCTTGATGCGCGAAGCCAGGAAGGTGCCAGAAAGTATGTAAATGACTTGGAAAGCGCCCATTGGGATACCGAGAGCGACGGTCTCAAGGGGATCCTTGACAACACCCTTAATGATGAGCTTGCCGAAGTTGGCAATGCCTCCATTGATGGTTTCGTTGAGGAGCATGAACAAAACAAGAAGCCAGACTTGAGGATCGATAAAAGCTTCGCGGATCTGGTTCCACTTGATGGTCTTGTTTAAAACACCAGTTCGAGCAAGACGGCCACGGCCGATGAGCAGGGCTCGTTCTTCGAGGGTGAAGTGGCGAGCTGACATAATGCTGTCGGGGAGGAAGAATAGTAGAACGAAACCCCAGACGACCGTCATGCCTCCACAGGTCATGAAAACAGCCTTCCAAACGGGAAAGTTCTTGATCTGGCCGATACCGTAGGTAAGAATGCCGCCGAGCTATGAAATGTTAGCAGAGTCCGAATAACCAGGAAGGTTCTCCTACCATAGCTCCTACCCCATTACAGCAGTAGAAAATACCAGCTCTGAATGGCTGCTGCTCACGTGTGTACCACATAGAAACGATCATCATAAAACACGTCGTGATGGGCGCCTCAAAGACACCAAGAAAGAACCTACACGTTGCCAACGAACCAAAGTTATTTCCCGCAGCAGTTAACAATAACACACTTCCCCATGCAATAACACAGCCGCTAACAACCTTTGCCATACGCGTCTTCTGCGCCAGAAACAACCACGGGTACTCGGCAGCCATGTACGCAAAGTAGAAGATGCTAGCGAACCAAGAATATTGATCCGATGAAATTCGCGTGTCTGTGAACAGGTCGAACACGGCAGCATATGAAAGTGCATTCTTATCAATGTATTGAAGCATGTATGTCCCCATCAACATGGGGAGGAGGATCATGTCGACCTTACGGATGAGCTTCTTGTTGAGTTCCGTGTCGGTCAACAGTTCGCCGATGTACTCATTTGTGAAGTTATGTTGGCGCAGAAATGTTTCTGTAGCGTCAAGCTCGACGACTTCGCCTGGTGTTATCGAGTCGAGCTTTTTCATTGCGATTTGCTCTTCTTCGGCGAGTTTCTTGTCGTCGGGCAGGGGCCCTGCTGTCAGTGGTGATGACATGGTTGGGCTGGCTAGAGGAGGCGAGAAAACCTAGGATCTGAATCCTAAGCGATGAAAAGATTTAGGCAAGTTTAGGATAACTTGGGATAATTTAGGATGTCTTTAGACCAGTGGTTCTCAGCACCCCTACTGAATGTTGGAAGCTTTCTTGCTTCGTAAGGACAGTTTGAGAGTCATGATGATGGGAGGCCAAAGACCCATATAACCTTCCCTTCAGCTAAACAAACGATAGACAACGGTCCGGGGTACATTATTCTCGTATCAACCAAGCGAATTAACCCTATCAGTCTATCATGCAGATCTCATCCCAACGAAGCTGCAGTTCCTGAGTCAAGACAGCGCGAACGGCATTCTCACCAATGAGAGCCTCACTAAAATCACCAAGTATGCGGGGTTTAGGCCTAGTTCCAGTTGGCCGCTATCAAGCTCCGATACTCGGTCCTCAGATCTAATACCGGTAGCGATCGGGTCCATATTCAACAGGCGAATTCGCGGGGTAAAGCAAGTTCCCCGATCTGAAAAGGGAGATTCGCGTGTTTTATTTCTTGGATTGGAAAGATAGGGCGCGAATGGCACTTATCTCCGGTGATTGTGCTGCTGAAGCCGTTGTCGGAACTGAGACGTGGAGAGCGGAGCGGTTTTTGGACGCCGAGGAGATGCCCCTCATACTGATGGCGCTACTCCAACAACGAGTTTCGTCAGTGTTGAGTCTTGACTGTATTTAACCATTGTATTCTCACAATTCCTCATTGGCGATAGTAGCAAATCAAGTCAAAATGGGTAGCCAAATTTCTCCAGACACTCCAACCATCGCCCTTCCCCAGGGCAAGGTCGTCGGCGTCAAGCTGAATGACAGCCTACCCCAACCCGTAGATGGTTGGATGGGCGTCCCCTACGCTCTACCCCCAACAGGCGATCTCCGTTTCCGTCTCCCCGTCAAAATCCCAGGTTCACCCGACAAAGTCATCGATGCATCTGAATATGGCCCTGCAGCTCCTGGCAAGGGACTTTTGGTGGGACCAACGCTTGAGCAGAGTGAGGATTGTTTGACAGCGAATATTTTTCGCAAGTCAGCGGATAAACATGAAAAGTTACCTGTTGCTTTGTATATCCATGGCGGTGCATTTAACAGAGGTTCGGCGCATATGCACAAGACGGCGTCGATGGTGGCGAATGCGCCGGCAGCTTTTGTCGCAGTGACATTTCAATATCGGATTGGAGCTTTGGGATTTTTGCCCTCGAGTCTGAGTGCTAAGGAGGGTGTTCTTAACCTTGGATTAAAGGATCAGATTCTCATGATGGAGTGGGTGCAAGAAAACATCGCAGCCTTCGGTGGTGACCCCAGTAATGTCACATTGTTTGGTCTGTCCGCCGGTGCTCATTCTGTAAGTTCCATCGCTCATTTGAGCGTACAGTCAACTAACTTCAAGCAGATCGGTCATCATATCATGCACTACAAGGAGGGCGTTGCCCCTCTCTTCCACAAAGCCATTATTGAGTCCGGAGCCCCTACATCACGAGCCGTGAGACCTTACAATGCGCCGATTCATGAAGCTCAGTTCAAGGACTTCCTCCGCGCGGTCGGCGTCCCCGAAAATCTCCCAGAGAATGAGATCTTCCCTTATCTGCGCCAACAGCCCGAGAAGGTCATCACAGATGCGCAAACAGCTACATTCGACAAGTATAACCCTTCCCTTCGCTGGGCTTTCCAACCTGTAATCGACGGTGAAGTCATCGCGCGACCGCCTCTTGAGACATGGAAGTCGGGCAAGTGGCATAAGGTGCCCATAATGACTGGCTTCACAACGAACGAAGGTTCCCTTTATGTTAACAAGCAAATGTCGGAGTCTTCTCAATTTCGACATTTCTGGGCTGAGTTGCTACCACTGCTTACCTCCGAGGATTTGGACACTATTGAGGAGCTCTACCGAGACCCAGCCAAGTTTGAGGATTCCGAGTACAAGGAGACACGCAAGGATATGGGCTCACAGTATAAACGCATTGAGGCTGCTTATGCCCACTATGCTTATGTCGCTCCCGCACGCCAAACTGCGGAACTTGCCTCCCCGTCAGTCCCCGTCTATCTTTACCACTGGGCCGCCGTTAGTACGGTCAACAACGGTGCCCAACACGCTGATAACATGCGTTACGAAGTCTGCGATCCCAAGGTCGTCGCTGTCTCCGAAACACAAAAAGACCTTGCCAAGACATTGAACCATTACGTTACCAGCTTCATCACACGAGGAGACCCTAACGCTGTCCCTGGAGAGTACCCCCAGAGACCCAAGTGGGAGGCATATGATCCCAAGAGTCCCAAGGTGTTGAGATTCGGCGAGGGGAATGAGGAGTTGATAGGAGGAGATGCTGGCAAGACTGCTGTGTTTACGGATGATGATTGGGCTCGCAAGCAATCTGAGTTTTGGTGGAGTAAAGTAGACATCTCACAACAGTGAGCATAGAAGGAAACAAATAAACAGTACAACACTCTAACTACGAGTGACAACAATCTTCAGAGAGACACAGCTCTCTTCATAACTGTCTATGGATACTTCTATAGTAAGAACAATATGACTTACCAGAAATGAAAACTATCCATCTGTACTTGCCTTGGGACCAAGCAGGGTCTGAGCCGCTCTCAATCTTGAACCTCAGCGCCACCTTCACCACCAAGCTGAAGCATCGCAAAACTCACAAAAGCACCAGAAAATACAATAACAAAAAGATGTCTTGAGCCTCAGCTCTCTCATTGCGTAATCAGGGAATCGAACCCTGGGCTCCCCGACGCTGCTCGAATGGCAACGGAGAATTTTACCACTAAACCAATTACGCTTCTAATGATGCTATTTAGACGCTCCCAATGCAGACTAAGGCACGAGAGGTGGGCGAGATTTGAAGTTGTTGTCCTACATAGTAGTGACTTGATGCTTGAAGAGACTGTTCTTGGCGACCTAAAATTACATAGAGTCCTTTGGAGATATAGGCCTCAATAGACTCTGGACGAATGTCCATTTTCCCTTTACATAAGAACACCTCGCATACTCACAGACTGAGTCATGTTTGATAAACACGTATCATTTCAACAATAACCTACCCGTTGTTTCTCTCTTCTGTACCATGATGTTCACTCTCAGGAGGACTTTCCATCTCTTGTTGAAGGTGAGTCTGAGCGTGAAACTTTACTTCCAGGCTTCTTCGTCTCGCTGATGACTGTTGGTTTGCGTTATCATCAATGTTACTTGAGCTCGGGACGGAACTAGAAGGCTCTGATATGTCTTGGCGGATTGGATGTTCGCGACCTGTTGTGATGTTGCCAATGTTAGATGGCCGATGAGCTTGGCTGAGAGCAAAGTCTCCCGAGTCGAAATATTTTCTTCCCTTTAATCAACAGTGTTAGCTGGGCATATGCTTGACGAATAAATGGTTTATACGAACTTCTAATTGGTGATTGAGAAGGTTGCCTCGCTTTGGAAGAATGCCATATCGGTTCAAGAGACGCTTGTTGTCCGTATCCATCTCGGTTGGCTTGGCCTGGTTCATAATCTAGTACGAAATTTCGGATAGATGGAATGCTTGATCAAGAAAATGATCAAATGTATTTTATTCTCCGGTATTGATAATATGGCTCATTCGTGGGGACCAGAGGAACCCTTAAACGATTTCGAGAAAGACATGGTTGATACTGGACCAGCGTTCTAGAAGCGCATGACGTAGTGTAGGCTGTCTCGTGCCAGAGATGCATAGTGAACCCTGCGTTTTAGTATGGGTTGCCGACCCTTCTCGAACGGCCCTTGGGGGCCTCATGTGTCAAAAGGCTATGGGTTGCAACCATCAGTCACATGCCAATGCAAGTTTTGTTGCGTACAGTGCTTATCCTCACTTCACGAACTCGTTAAACATTCATGTTCAGACTGGTAGATCAACCCACACAAAGAAGGGCCGTTAATATGAACCAGCAACTGCGATGGTTGGGTGATAATCCGGTGCAAGACTCCCAATGCCATGACAATGGCCCCAGAGAATCAGCTATGGGCTGAAAAGCCCACTGTAAATCAAGGCCTCGCTTACAGACCTGTCTGAGATTAAGTCATCTGCGTCATGGTTATTGAGCCACCAAGGATAATACTCCTCGGAGTAACTAGAGCATATTGGAGCAGAAAGAGAAGAGAAATCGAGAGCAAGAAACGGAACATCAGGGAGACACGCGCTGGGATTTAAAACAGGATGTCTCTTGGACCCTGTATCTCATTACGTAGGGCGGTCAGTAGCGCTGATATGCCGAAGAGTCCGGATGCAACGTGGGGAGAATCACCCCGCAGATACTGGTTTTACACTGTCCACCTTCTGGATCATAGACTGCGGGGCTTCACCCAACGCCCCGTGGCAGACGATATAAATACAACGGTTATAATTGCGGGCGTGGTCCCCCAAACTCATTCAAAGGAGCAAACTGTCGCAGATCAATTCCAAATAACGTCCGATTGTTTCCAAAATGCCATTCGTTACTGAACCTACCTCTCCCTCCGAGACTGAAGTCTCCCAACAGACATCGTCATCAACCAAAGAAAAATATTCGCTCTCTTTATCGGAGCATACAAGGAACCAAATAGCGGTACTTCTCGAATCTCCAAACGCTCAATTGTCGCCCGACCTGGCCTTTCTGCCAAGCAGCTGCGTTATTTCATTACCGCGACTGAACTCAGCATCAAGTGCGGGCTCGAGCACTTAACTGGTACCCAAACACAACGCGCGTTACCCTGGGCCGATCACATATCCCGAACGAAAGTCGACCCGGTTGTGGGGAGAGTTATAACGCATTCCAAGGTTACAAAGGAGTTATTCGTGTGTTTCTTTTCGGCGAATCGGCGGAATGGTCGGGATCAAAATGGAAACATGTTGATTGCGGAGGTGGCAGGATATGATAATGCGGGTTCGGAACGTGCATGCCCGGGATTTTAGGTCCGGGGACATTCATCCCCAGGAGGGACTTCCTAATTAATATGAGATCAAGCTATGTCAAAATGACGATTTTGATTCTGAAATGAGATCAGCATTGCATTCTGCTTAATTTGGATAATAAATTGGCAGCTGGCCAACATCGACTCTCCATCAATGTCGATCGGCAGTTGACATCTGCCGAGCACAACGTGATCTGCCGGATATCGTGTTTCCCCAACCGATAGCGTGAATTAAGTATACTTACATGAGTCAGCATTTATATGCTATTCATTATACTCGCTTCGAGATGAGAGCAGTGGGCGAAATCGTGTGTAGGCGAACGCGATACCCCTGTGGATGAAGCTTGAGCGCAAGCAGTCGGGTCGTCGAGACGTCAACATCGCCATCAAATATAAGTAGACTAGTGGCAAGAATAATTCTGTCTCTGATCTGTTTAGTACGTTATTGTAATTGCTGGCCGGATTCAACAACTGGCCTTAGGGGCAAGGCTGTTGTACTTGACTGAGATTACATTACCGATGTGGCCCTATAACATCCAGTCACGGTATACATGTATTTCGATGCCTTCGTAAGCATTTCGGGTTTTTGTAAAACGAGTATTGAAAGAATTGAAAACCCTGGAGAAGTAACTGCAAGTAGGGTTTCAGGAAGAAGTTTCAAAGCTGAAATTATCGCAGATATGCCGCGAGCCTCATTGAAGGTCAATGGAATATGTAAAACCAAACATGCTCGACGCCAGAAACCGTAGCCACGAAAATTTTAATGAGTATAGTTGAAGGCTCTAATTGTTTGTCTTCACTGTAAATGTCTATCCTAGATTTCACTACCCTTGTTCGTTCTCATTGATGATGAATTTGTACCCATGGTCCAATCAGCGCGAGCCATCCCCAGGTCAAATTTTCCAAATCGGGAGAATCACCATGAGTCATTCTGTATCATCCTGTATCGAAGATGTCTAATTCCAAGCATCCCGTGTCAAATACATCTAGTGTATATTAATCGGTGCAGTGTACGCTGTCAGGGACCTTAATTTTGACAGCACAAGCTAGAGAGGCTTTCAGGCCGTCAACAGAAGTGTGAAAGGAGTATCAATATCACTCAGAAAGCTGTGCTGTGGACTCGCCAAGGTCTTCCATTAAACATTATGTATTTAGCTTTAGAATATCTTTGTAGACCTTACTTCACAATAATTGCATCGCTTGTGCCCGTATCTCGTTGTATGTCTCTCAATGCCAATGGTAGTTTGTATACGGAGTACTGATACATCCAACTCGATTGACTGTATTCATGGTGTGCCGGTAAACTGCAGACTTCAATTGAAGCCCCTCATCCAGCCAACGGGCACTTCATCGAGCCCGAGCCACTACTTTGCAGCATTGGGAACAGGGATGATTCTCACGCCGAACTCCTTTCGTCTCGGCGTGACGTAAACATCTACCAAACTATGCAAAATGATTCATCGTGAGCACCAAGACGTTATTGTATCTTGATACTATCAACTGGGAGACGATGAAGTGAGGCACGTAATGATACATAACGTAGCATATAAACCTCGACGAGAGTCTCGTAGCTTGGAGTCCGAAAATACTAGTCATCCACAGTCAAGCCCCGTCAAGAAGACCATTCATGAAAGGTATAGTATACTCTGATTCTTCTCTCCCACTTAATATTCTGTATGATGCATAATATTTTGCCGAACTGAGGTTACTCGCATGGAATACTGCGTCTTTGAGGACCCATTGAACCGACATCGCCTGACATGAGACTTTCCATCGTATCTTGTTTCAGTCTATCACAGCGTTGTTTGCTAACTTTTACAATGCTTGATAGGTAAATCCGAGTCTCCAAAACGCAAGCCTGCAAGGCGGCACGATGAAGGATGGGCGGACTCTTGAGGTGAGTGTTGCTACTGATAACCTTGAGCTATGAACGGGTGAATTGTTTGTGCTGTTTCTTATCTCAGCAATAATATCCTACACTATGCTCACTCCTGTGTGGTAAATCTCTCTCCTGTCCGTCAATCCTTATTTGGGCCTTAGTTTCCCCCTGACCGTTCTCTACTTTCCAAAGCATCCTCGAGCACTCAAACCAACAACGGAATATCATCCAAACCCCTAAAACAAGCCGCCATGTCCCACTCCTGATTCAACACCCCTCGCCGTTTCCACGTTTCTCGAACGATCTTCATAGCCTCAGTCAAGCCACCCACGTTACTCAGTGGCTTCGTTCTGCCAAAGATGCTCTCCACTACCGATTCCTGGCCTTCGGACACCAAACACCCTGTAACGCAGAAGGGCCAGGCCAACGGCATCAACCAGCTTGGTTTATCCAAGTCTTGCAGTAGCTTCAGGTTATCAGATACGAGCTCGTCAACTTCGCTTGTTCCAGGGCTCCAGCCCGAGAGTACAACGATGAGATACAGTCTGGCAGCGGTGGCCCATACCCGCGTAATGGTGTAGTAAGCGTCCTGTGGAGGACGCATGCTTCGTAGTAGAGTAAACTCTGCGAAAATCTCACCTCGCTGATGGGGGGCGTTTTGCGCTCGGCTCTCTTCAGCATTCAGCATGGCCAGGCCTCGATCGAGTTTTTCAAGAACCTTGCCTGCACGTTGAACCAAAGTCATGAATGAGAAATTCCCATTCATTTTCGTCTCTTTCTTCCAGGCGTCAAGAGCCACTGTGTCCGCAATGCTGAGAAAAACCCAGTTCTCGCACCCAGTCACATCTTTCATGTTCAGACTGGCTTCACCTTGACCCGACATCAACTTTTCGTAGTAGTCATTGAGACGTGGAACTTGCTCGAGTGCACTGCTAGATACGATGTCGGCGAGAATGGTCTTGGCAGCGAAAAAGCGTAAAGCCACTTGTGTTGAGGAAAACAAGTTGACGCCTGAGCAATCAATTCTGTTCGCTTGGTCGGCTGACATCTCCGTTGGATCAAATGTTACGCGCCACACAACATGCCTCAATTCTGGTGAGTCGAGAATTTGCTTAAAGAGTATTATCGCGGCATCGAGATGAGGTCTCCATGCTTGGGAATACTGAGTCATGGTCTCGAACTCGAGTAACAGCATGATGTCTCCAAAGAGATGCGTTCTCTCCCATAGATTCGCAGTGACGCCAAGCATCTCAACCCTATGCTGCATTCCCTTGAAAGCTTGCTCCGATTGCTTTTGAACCTGCTCCCAGGCAAAGGTCGAACACAAGGTATATCCTGCGCCAGGAACGAGGGGCACGACTGAGAAGAAGTACGTAACTAGGCTCACGATCAACTGTCTTGACTCGGGGTTTCTAAAGGCAGCAACCAGAAGCCAGGTATGGCCGCCTTCGAAGAACGAAGTGTGATAGAAGGGGTGAAGTAGTGGGAAGACGTAGTCCTTGTAGGTCATGAGGAAACGAAGGTCCTCTTCGCCATGGAGGTTGACGTTAAGCGTCTCACGAAAAGTATCGCCGAACAGGGATTGTTCGGGAGTCGCGCGTAGTGGTAGGTCGAGGGTATTGTGTATCTCATGCGCACGATTGTCAGTGTTTAGTGAGATATCACTGTAAATGCTGCTGGGCCAAGAAGCCGGTGTCGTGTCGTCCACCGACTCCGAGACAGTTATGCCAGGTGTTGGGTCTGGAGTAGGGACTGGAGGTGAATCAGCGGGTTCAACCAGAGCAGCCGGCTCCTTGTCGATTTGATGAGTAATCCTTTGGATCATCTGTCTCCCCCTTCTGTTTCTAGCATTTCGTTTGACCTGGGCCTTCAATCGCTGGCTCATCTGGCGCTGTCGCTCGCCATTGTCCATCCATTCCGGCTTGGCATTGCTGAAGTGACACGCCAGTCCGAGCGCGGCACAATTTTCGCAATTCGGACGAATCTCATCGCACTTTTTGTGGCGCACGCGACAAATCCAACAACTTCCGTTGTTTCTCATTGTTTGTAATCGTGATTATGCAAGTGTTGGGTGTCGGGAGATCCGAACCCAAGTCTCCGCGCGGAGATACTCTTTAGCGGGGATTGCGCTGATTCGTCTTCTGTGGGGAGGATCTGATTAGTCATTGGCGCGAGACTGTTAGAACCAATCGATCTCCGCGCGGAATGAGTTACGCGCGGAGTATTCAATCGCGAAGGTTTGGGGTGATGTCAAGGCTCGAGAGAGGTATGGAGGGCCAAAATTGTACATATAAACATCTACTTCGCACAACTAGAGAGCTATCATCCTTCATCCATCATCTTCTAATCAATTCATCACATCACTCATCATGTCTTCCTTAACCGTCCTCGTGCTGGGCGGTACCGGCCCTGCTGGTATCTGTCTTCTCCGCGAACTTCTCCACCGCAAACATAAAGTGGTAGCATACGCACGAAATCCTCAAAAAGTCCCTGAAGACTTGGTTTCTGATCCACTACTTGAGGTAACTTTCATATATAATGGTAAACTTGAACCAAGGAAATGACTAACTTTCTCAGATCGTTAAAGGAGATTTGTCCGACAAGGCAGCTCTCGACAGAGCCGTGGCCAAAGTCGACATCGTCATTTCGTTCCTTGGACCTCTAATCAGCGATCGTACCACGCCTCCAAACTCTATCCCCGACTTCTATAAGGACTCCCTCTTCCCCGCGATGCGCCGACATGGCGTTAAACGAATCTACGCCATGGGAACGCTCACCATCCCCCAGAAAGAAGATGCATGGACTATCCTCCAGCCAGCAATAAATCTCATGGTCCGCCTCTTTTTTTCGAACTCTTATCGCGCTATTACCTCGATCGGGAAAACATTCGAGACCGAGGCCAAGGACCTCGATTGGACCATATTCCGCATCTCAGGCATTCCTGGAGAGTCTGATAAGGAAAGCTGGTTGAAGGACAGGGAAGATGGAAAGCCGTTCGTGGGATATGTTGGGCAGAAGGGTTATACGTATTCTTTCCCACGAGGTGCGCTGGCGAGATGGCTTGTTGATGCTGCTGAGAGTGGGCTGCTGGACTGGGTGCGCAAAGCACCTGCGGTTGCCAAGCTGTCTGGTAGCTAAACATCTCTCACTCTGATCAGGTCTTTTCAGCATTATTTCTTCGGCATTTTTTCCTTTCTTTCTCACATATGGTTATTCTTCTGATTTCTTGGGCTGGCAAATGCTTGGCTTTTATTGATATATAATTATTGCTCAAATGTTTCTCCTAAAGTGGCCGAATTCACGAACCCAGTATTCGAGACTGGAAATCGATGATGATTGTGTTTTTGAACAGCCTTGTTCAAAAGTTCGACTGGCCGAAGCATTGCTCGATGCAAAATACGCTGGCTTAGCCAAAGGATTCTGCCTTGACGTCAGTGGTCAGAAAGAATTGGTGATCTCGTCAACGACGCCCTTGCAAGTCGAGTATATATAGGCTACTAATAATGATCAATCTCCTCACCCTAACTTAATATCTTGCTTATTAGAAACGAGAATACCCAGAAACTCACTCATATTAAATTGTTATTTGCTCTTCAGGCCATAAATCTCAACATGTCTTATCCTGATCTTACAACGTTCAAGGCATTGTCATTTGACTGCTATGGCACTTTGATAGACCAAGAGTCTGGCATGATCCGTGGCTTACAGCCTATCATTAGTCGCCTTCCTTCCGATAGCGACTACAAAGAGAATCCAGTTCTGTTGATTCAGCGCTTTCACGAGTTTACCCAGGTCCTTGAAGAAGGGGAGCCTACCCTACGCTACAGCAGTATCGTCTCGCGCTCGTTCAAAAGTCTTGCAAAAGAACTCGATATTTCTGTACCTGATGAAGAAATGAATCATCTCGAGTCCCTTCCCGGAACTTGGCTCCCTTTCCCCGATACAATTCCAGGCTTGCAAATTTTGAAGAAGCACTACAAGCTCATCATCCTCACTAACATGGATAACGTCAACGCGTCTTCAACTCTAAAGCATCTCCAGCCCGCTGAATTCGACAAAGTCTACACTGCCGAAGACATCGGTAGTTATAAACCCGCTAAGGCAAACTTCGACTACTTGTTTGATCATCTCAAAAGCGATCTGAGCGTTGACAAGGATCGCGGGGAATTACTACACGTAGCGAGAAGTTTGACTGCAGATCACGTCCCGGCCAAACGGTTCGGACTCCGAAGTGTTTGGATCTCTCGCGGCGGTGAAAAGAAAGAGGGAACAGGTGTTGGAGGTGATTATGAGAGATTGAAAGAAAACGTGGCGTTTGAATGGAGATTTGATAGCATTGGGAAATTCGCGGAGGAAGTGGAAAGGCAGTTTGCTCAGAAGACAGCTTAGAAAACTGTTTTGCGCTGCGGCCTGAACAATTACGACCTACGGTCATGGATCATGGATGAAGTAGGGCTGAGCGCTGAGTTATGCCGGCAGATGGCATTAAATATCACGGTGGTGAATATGCAACTCATCGAGATGGAGACCTTGCTTTGTTTATATGACCTGAGTTCAAACTCAATGGCAGCCATTTTTAGGTCTAAAGCATATAAAATTAGTATTGTTTCATCTTCTGCAGCAGCACGGCCCAGAGCAGTGGCATATGGCGCGATTCACTCATCCAGCCTCATTTCCCAATCGTGATTCAGTCCCCGATACTAACAAAAACTCAAAGACCTCGCTCGTTCTAGACCCTCTCAACGCATAAAATGTGAAAAATGTCATCCGCTATGACCAAAACTGCCGAAACGCCAGGGCTCGGTGCGCTAGGACACATGGGATGGACGCTATGTCTAGGCGTTTTACCAAGATTGTTCTAGCGAGGAACGTTTGAACACGAAACACTGACTCGCTCGACGCCACATCGCGTGCGCCGATCCTAACTTGCCGACGCCATGTCAGCAACAGAAGGAAGATGAATTCTGTGCCGAGGCTCGTTTTTGAGGTGAGAGAAATAGAGTTGAGTTTCGAAGTGAACTGGAGAGTTGTATTTTCATCCACTATTGATGTGCAATCGTGCCGTAGCAAGCGAGTCGATCTTTGGGTCGGTGGTCGGTGAAGACCCATTTTCTAAGCATATTTCTTTTGGGTTTTTCTTCTTCATCAACCTGAGACACGACATTTATCTCCACTATCTTCAAGGGTGATAGATAACGCTCCAACTGACAAGATGTCAAGAATGGATCTCAATTACGTACTGACCCGTAGAATAGCCAAATGACTTCCACGTTTTTCCTCTCACAAATCTGCAGCGGAAAAAGCCACATCCGTGAGAGACCACTAGGTTGGCCTAGCCTCGGCGTGAAAAGAGTCGGCCGAGAACTCTAGTGCTGAAAAAATGCCAGGATTCCCTTGATGCGTTAATACAGAACGGGCGTTCAGCTGCGAAGCGATGTCACATCGTGGATCTGTGCCTCTGGGCGATAAATCCTTTACATTCTTGGCCCATTCAGGGTCTTTTCCCTCTTAATACCCGTGGGGGGCTGTCATTTCTCATCTGCAGTACGCATCTCGTCCCTGAGATTCGACAGATTCTCTCGTTTAAGAAAACAAAAATGGCGTGGGGCGATCTTCCTGTTGAAGGGCGGACGTTGAACCCTTTGAACGATGATCTTCGACACGGATTGACCGCCGTTACTGTCCTCGCTTTCATTTCGTTCTTTTCTGCGAGTACTTTGTTCTTTTACTTGGTGTATAAGCTTACGACATGGAGCTTGTTCATCAAGTCGCAGCCTTCGGGGCATTTTCAACATACGACTGGACCGATTCAGAGGGCGATTGACTTTACGCTGGGTATCGATGGGATATTTGCTGAGAACAATGAAGACGCCAATAAGAAGGCTGATGGCGATGCTCCTACCGCCCCTCGACGACCGAATCAATTCCTTGTTCTTATCATCAATCTACTCCTCGCCGACATGCATCAGGGAGTAGCCTTCTTTCTCAACGCCGCGTGGCTTCGGCATAATGCGATCATGGTTGGAACTGCGTCTTGCTATACCCAAGGACTCTTCGTGTCGCTTGGTGACTTGGCTTCGTCCATGTTCATCACTGCAATTGCCATTCACACTTACCTTGCTGTCGTCAAGCGACGGCAGACACCGCAGAGGGTACTGTATGCAATGATCATCGCCATCTGGATATTTGTCTACGCCATCTCCCTCATCCCCATCGCCGCCACCCGTAATGGTGCCGAGTTTGGGGGTTTCTTTGTCCGCGCTGGAAGTTGGGTAAGTCCTAGATGTGTCATTGACTGTCAGCAGTCCTCTAACATTATACAGTGCTGGATGAACCGAGAGTACGAAAACCTTCGACTGTTCACACATTACCTCTACATCTTCCTCGGCCTCGGTACAACATCTGTCCTATACCTCATCATCTTCTTCCATCTCCGTCGTCAAGCCCGCTTTGAGTCCTCGGGGTCACCAAGCGAAGCTGATACCATGCAACTCCAACTCAGCCGTAACCCTGCTTTCCTGATCTACCCCGTCATCTACGTTATGTGTACTCTTCCTCTCGCGGCTGGCCGTATTGCGACGATGGCTGGCGCGCATGTGCCCAACGGCTACTTCTGCTTTGCGGGTGCCATGATCGCATCCAACGGTTCCTTCGATTGCCTGCTGTTTGGCACAACCCGAAACACCATCGTCTTCGCCTCAAAGTACGACGTCTCGTCTGACGATGTTGGCCTGAGCACCTTCGCCTTCCTCAAAACACCTAGTCGTCGGTTCGGAAACACCATCTCGATCCAAGGGGGCCAACAAACAGATGAGAACGTCGCTGGAGGATGGTGGTCATGGCCTGCTAGGGCAAGCGGTTCAGAGAACAGAAGTAGAAAGGGAATGACACGCACCATCAGCCAAGAATCTCTGAGAGGACCGGCTATTCAGATGGATACCGTGACATCGGTGGTGGTCGAGGTTGATGATTCGGCGGAGAGAGACCCAAGATACCCAGATACAGCAGCGAGCTCTAATCCTTCACTACGCAGCGCGGAAAAGGATTATACGAGAACGATACAAAGGAGCATGGATGCGCATAGATAAGACTTTAATGTTGATTAAGTAATGAAAATAGAAGCTTTAATGATATTGGCATTTCAAGATACACATACTGCAACTGGCATGATATGAGAACACATGTACTGAGCATGATGGAAGTCATAATAATAGGCAGTCTCTAGGTCGAAGCACTGGGTTTGATAAACATCTATGACAATATTAATAAACAATGCCACTATTCCTCAACATCTTTTGATGAGAGTGCTGAACACTTCATCGCCGTCTCAATCGAGAGGTCTTCTTCCATAAGTTGAGTATCTGTTAGGTTAGCAGTTGGGCTTCAATAGGTTATCCTGCACTTACACCGGCCAATAAGCATGAATGGTCCTGTCATTCAGGTCCCTTCTGACCTTTGCCAAAAAGACGGTAACCTCTTCCTGGCTCCACCCAAGAACTCTCGTCAAAGCTGCCATGGACAGTGCTTCAAGACCCTTGAAACTATCCATGTTGAGATTGTTCCACTCACCAATCTCCTTATACCTTTTATCCAGAGGCCAGCGGTTCGTCGGCCACTTAAAAACAGCCTCTACAATATCCACGAATCCCGCATCGCGCAGAATGTCCTTGTTCTTTTTATTATCCTGGAATGGGCGACCAATCTTGGTGGATGCTTCGTCAAGAAGGTGGATAAGCTTGGAGAGATGATGATCCTCGGTTAGGGTGCTGTCGTCTGAATGAGCGAAAAGGTCGATTTCAAGAAGCTCCACGTAACCACCCGGCACAAGATTGCTAAGGAAGGTAATCAGCCTCACTGTGCTCAACGTAGTCATAGATCTTACTCGTAAATGCTGCTCACAAGGTTCGGCCAGCTCTTGATGCTAAACGTCATCATCCTACTGTGAACGTAGTCGAATGGCTCAGAGAAGTTCCACGGCTCTTCGATATCATCGATGAAGAACTCCACGTTCGGAGGAACACTGATCAATGTCAGTACGCATCCCATAATATTCCGACCATATAGTACAAATCAGGTTGGATAGGCGAAAGGTCGACACCAATCACTTTTGCTTCCGGATGTTCGTCTGCGTAGTCGATGGCCCATATTCCTGTCCCGGTGCCAACGTCAAGAACACGCTTGGCCTTAGAATTAGGATCATTCGGAGGTGCGAGACCGAGTTTGTTATCGAGCATCAAAATAAACAAGTTATGCTGCAAGTCTAGTTGCGAAAATCAGCAGTGAAGGCGGCCTTTCGAGACTTTGCCATACCAAGTCTCTCCTTCTCGACGTCGTCATTAGGAAGGTTATACTCTGTTATCATTAGTCAACAACAGCAGAGCAGCAATTCAAGAGACTGACTCCCATCCTTATACCGATGATAGGTCCTGCCGTTTTCTTTTCGATAGTCCAGAATGGAGCTTCTTAAGCTCTCAGACGTGGACGCTAAGCTCTTTTCCACTAGGTCAGGTCGGCAACGACAGACGTTCGTGAGAAGTGACCTACCAATCCCATAGATGAGTCATGCTCTTCGTCAGACTGAAATTCGTGGTTAGTGAGTCTCCCTGTCCTTCTCAGCAATTGGTAGAAGAACCTGTTCATCCGGTACTAGGTCAGGCTCCGCGTTGATAGTTGGTTCTGCCATTTTGATGCAAATTATTTAATCACGCAATGTTAAAAACTTCCCCGCTCAGAGGATATCCGGCTGCTTTATGAGTAAATCACAATCCCAGTCGATATTTGTCATCCTGTTGGTTGAGTTCACTGCATATGCAGCTGGATGACCAGGGTCTGATCATACGATGTTCCAAGGCAATGAGTATTTTGAACAGATGACAGTGCACACTGATTTCTCTTTATTATACGAGCGGCGTGATGAATTAGAGTGTCATATCAAGGCTTATACAGACTATACAACTCTGCGCTTTTATATGGGTGGACTTACCAAAGAGGGGGGTGGTTTGGCTACGCCCCAACTATTCCGCCCAAACAAGCCGATGAGGAGCACTATAGACATGATGAATATTCTATAGGGGCCAATTATGTTCGACAATTCAGGTCACACTCTGATGATGCTGATACTGGGTTCTTAATGAGTCGCTCAGCTGCTAGGTTCATCCTCACGAAGGTACTCGTTCTATGCACAAAAGTTGCCAAAATTAATTCTCATTGGCAATCTATCTACATTTCTAATTCATTTCGCCACATACTTACCAGATATCCTACAATTCTGAGAAGCTCCTCCAACATTTCCTCCATTGTGATCTCTTATTCCTCCAACCAAATTCGCTTTTTTTGTAGACTTTCTTCAAATTTTCATTTTTTTCCTAGTGGTCTTTTTTCTTTTGCTTTAGAAGTTCGCCACGGTCCTGGTCGTTCATCGACTACTCACTGATACTCTTGACGACAGAAGGATGGGAAACTTACTGATGAGCTACCTAGGACAACCCCACCTAGTAGTGGTGGTGGTGACCATGGCTCTCACGACGACCGTGGGGACGGGGTTCGTTCTGGTGACGGGAAGGATGGCCCATCGGGAAAAACTGGGGAGATTGCTCACCTTGTTGAGAAGGATACTGCTGAACGGTGTGACGACCACCAGAACCGCTCTGAAACTGCTGGGGACTCTGGAACCGCGGAGCATCCTGGAACAGAGGTCTATTCGGGAACAGAGTTGTACTCTGGACACCCTGCTGCTGCTGGCGCTGGCCTCTAGGGGGAAACTTGCGCTCGTCAGTAGCTTTCGCCTCCTCACAAGGGGGGCAGACCCAGTAGCGCCACTCCAGCTTCTCCTCGAACTCTGGGCAAGCACCAGTAACCTCGGGGTCGTAGCGAGAGGCGTTATCCTTAAGGACTCCGCAAAAGACACACTCGTGGACCCAGAAGATAGTGACACACATGGTGAAGGATAATGAAGACTTTTGCTAAGAAGAGTTTCTTTTCTGCGTGTTAGGGTTGTTATTAGTGTTTCGTGAATAAATGTTGAGATCGGTTGAGATTGTATGTGAAAGTTGCTGTGAAGGCTGTTATGAAGGTGGATGAGATGGTGGATGAGATGGTGGATGATGATGGGTTTGGAGGTGATGGGATGGAGCTATTTAAAGGATTTCAGTCAACCATGCGTAAGGAACAAGATGTTCTCTATCACTCCTATGAAATGTTGATGTTCAGTATGACAATTAGTATAGTTTCACCTGAACTCTTGATTATGCAGTCTGCTGATGTTCGAAAATCTGGAACGAGAAAACTGAACATCATTCGACCAGCATTCATCTCGGATCTCTTGGCCACCATTGGATGACATATTGAATCTCATATAACCTCTTCAATGAACGTGGTTCTCATCAATGCTGCTCATCCTTTAGTCGATAGAACATGAATTAAATAAGAGTTTCAAAACAGAATGATATATACTACGTACCTCGGGCAAAGAATAAAAGGCTGAACAACTCACGTCAATGCCAACGCAGAGATAAGCTACAAGAATTGAGCACTATTTTGCCAGTAACAATAGCTAATATGAGATTGATCTACCGATGGTTCATCATTACCACATTGACAAAGAAAATGAGTTAACAGTTACAAATACCGAATTCCTAACCAGTACTCTGTTCATACACCCCATGCATCGCAACACTTTCATGGCATACCCTAGTAAAGCTGAATATGATTGGGCAGCCTGTCACGGGTCCTGGTAAATTCATGCAGCTTTCAGCCAGTGATAATTGCTGGTTGTGGGCCACTCACCTTCAGGCAGCACTTGATATCTCATGGATACCCAAACTGCTATGTTCACCTTACAAACCCAACATCAAAAATGGTTCTGTCGAAACAGACCACTGAAGAAAGGATCTGCTCGCGATGTAAATCCCTAGACCTCGACAATATTATGTCCGGTCGTTGGACCAATGTCGAATGCCGCGAGCCAGTAGCCTTTTTTGGCAAGCGAAGTGCTGTTCTTCAGGACGAAGGCTGTCCCCTCTGCCAAGCGCTGTTTTCCATTGCGGCCGGCGAACATAACACTTGGCCCCGCAGAAGAGAAGATAATTTCTGCATGTTCACTATCCCAAGCCAACTCGCCTATAGAGGAGCGAAACTAAAGTTCCCATCTGATGAGGAGATGGGTGATCGAGTTCTGGGACGAGCGAAAGATCAAAGAGATTCGACATGGCTAATCGTTTGCAATCAAACCAGATCTATTGACCAACCTCTCTGGTACAATATAATACCAACGTCAGCTCATAGCTTTGGTTGTTTGGCTGAACTTTCTGACACTTTTAACGGAGTCGGTCAGCGAGTTCGGCTGATTGACCCCGCTAACGTCGACTTCGAAGCGGTAAAGCGATGGCTTGCGCATTGCGCGGGCGTGCATGGAGAGCTTTGCAATCCTGGTGAAGGGAAGCTCTCCTAGCCCAAAGGCCTAGCTGTTATCAATTGTAAGACTCGGAAGCTAGAGCCTTTACCAACCGGTGTAAAGTTCGCTGCTCTGTCATATGTATGGGGAGACAGTGCGTCAACAAATGAGTCATATTCCTCCAGCTCTGTTTTCCCACAAACTATTGAGGATGCAATTACTGTCGCGCTACAAGTTGGTATCAATTTCCTCTGGGTAGACAGGTACTGCTTGCCACAGCATGAGTGCCCCGAGAAGCGCGAGCAGGTTCAGAAGATGCACAAGATCTACCGTGAGGCAGACTTAACTATCATCGCTGCAGCAGGCGACGGGCCAGACTATGGTCTTCCAGGCATAAGCACACCAAGAGTCAGCGCCCCTTCAGTAGACTTACGCCTTGGAGCTCACCGCTTAGCCTCCACAGGCCGGAGTGCACAAGAAGCTATCCGAAACACGACATGGGCGTCTCGAGCTTGGACATTTCAAGAGGGCCTTGTTTCAAGAAGGAAGCTCGTCTTCACAGATGAACAGGTGTACCTTCACTGTATGGAGCGTGAGTTCCGCGAGACAATTGAACAGAACTTCGATCTTTTAGCTCAGGCAGGTAGTCCTGATCTATGCAATCCATTTCAGTGCAGAGTATTACATCTTATCCCGGACAATGTCGGGGAGAAAGGTGTACACTCACTCACTGGAGACTTTTCAGAACGAAAGATTACATACCAGAGCGATACACTGAATGCGTTTCTCGGCATCCTTAATCTATTCCAAGACGCCTTTCCGGATTCTTTTCGTCACCTTTGGGGTCAGCCGATCCTATACAATAATGATAATTCAATCGGGGATGTCGTGGTTTCTGCCCTCAATTGGGGTATAATAGGCCCGGCACAGAGACGACCAGATTTCCCGAGTTGGTCGTGGATTGGCTGGAAGGGCAAGGCATATTCGACAATCAACAGATCTCATAAAGAAAATGTAACCGCCTCTCTGCTACTACACGACGGCACTGCCATTGAAGACGCCAAAGCCTTTAGGGATCTCAATATCTTCCAAAGAATATCACCAATGTTGAGCAAATACATACTCATCGAGGCCCAGACTGTTCACGTAAGAATACGGCGGAAGGAAGGGGATCATTGGAATCTTCGAAACATGTGGAAACTCTCTTTTGTAAAAGATGGCACCGAGAGATATGGGATCACTTATGCTGATGGGTTTTCCATAACACAGGAGTTTGAAGCGGGTGATAGCATATACAGAGATTTGGAAGCGGGGCACACTTGGCTCGGAATAGCATTTCTGCGCTCTGACATGGTCTTGGTCTTGAAGGATATGGGAGACCATTATGAAAGGTTTGGATATATCGATGTTGACTTTTCCGTACCAGATCTGGAACTGGTGGATTATCTTCTGGGACACAGGCTTATTCGTTTAGGGTGATTGCTTGAAATACTACTGTTGAAATCGTGGGTCTACGTGGTATATATGTATGGTAAAATCTGGGTGCTCACTTACTTTGTCGTGTGAGGATTAATCTCTCTCCGACCTCCACCATTCGCTCATCTGCCAGGAGACCTTCGGCTTTGAGTCTATGAAACGGTTCGGAAGGCTGCCATTTTCAAGTCCGATATATGTCGACTACTCAAACCCACTCCAAGTCTTCTGGACAGCACTCCAATATCTCGCCTCATCTTTTCGGGCATGCGCAACATGAAGAGACCCGTCAAACTTCTCCAGATGGATATCAAATCCCAGCTTCTCCGCCTCAGCAGCCTGGGCTTCCAGATCTTTATAATCGATCAACTCGTCCTCCTCACTATAAATGTACGTTCGACGAATCTCACGCTCCCTCTTGCCCTCAGCCGTATTATGAGTCGAACCCCAGAAAGCCAGCCAGTCTTTTGTAAGACCAAGAACCTTGGTGAACTGCCATGCAGCTGCAACGAAATAGACAAGCGGCATAAACACCCAGCGATATGACTTTGGAACAGTCGACTTGAAGAACGCGGCCGTGTTGGTGAGGCGCTGAGCACCCGGTGCTGAGTCAAAGACTGTTACGTGAGGCGGAAGCCAAGGATCTTCGCCTTCTTGAGCAGTCGCAGCGTAAACATCATACAACGATGAGATATTCGAAGAACCACCGTTCGAAAAGAGATGAATCATGATTCCTGGCTCAGCCGTTGATGACGTGGCGTCTGGAAATGAGGCTCTGATAACTGGCACTGCTGGCTTTACCGACTCCGCCAGAACCTTGGGGTCGAAAAAGTTCTTGTTATAGCTCTTCACAAGAACAAGTTGCGAAGTCGGGTATAACTCCTTGTGCTTATCGACGTATTTGGCAATATGGCTATCAAGTGCATTGGTCCAACTGGCGATGATGATGATCTTCGGAGAGTCCGGCGCGGTAGGTTCAGAAGGGCGGTAAGCGAAGACCTCGTTGGAGAGCTTTTCCATGTAGGAGAGAGGCTTGGCCTGTGTGCTCATGTTGGGTAGTGGTACAGAGATTATCAATGGCGATAGATTTGTAAGGCCGCATTTGAGTTTAAAAGGTATTGATTGCTGATATTTGGGTTGCTGATGATGCTTACGCGATCCGACGGCATGGGTGAGATCTGACGTGGCGGGGTAAGTCATAGCGTGCTTGACTATAGCGTCGGTGAATTATACCCGCGACGATTACCCATAGTCTGAGGAGATGAGTAAGTTAAGGCCAAAGAGCACGGGAAATGCAAAGGAACTACTAAGGCATTTCAAATTAACCCCGATTACCATATTTCATCTCATGTGATGCCAAATCCCTAAATCATGTTCGTTATGATAAGGTATTTGGTTATCCTTCATAAACCTCATTCCTCCACGTTCGTTTCGATCGTTGCTAGACACTTCTCTCGCATAACTATTCTTCTTGCATGCAAAATGCTTCTTTTTCGAATATCGCCAGAGATTCTAGAAGTAACACCATTATCCCTTCCGTGAGTGTTGTAAAAAAGACTTAGGATCGCGATCATGAATGACAACAACCTGGGGACATTTAAGATAAAGTCATCAGCCTCTTTGAGTACTTATCTTGTGATTTGCCAAGTCCCCATGCTCCCAGAGGCCTTCGCAGCTTCAGATCGATACAACGTTGGCGTAGACTGACTATGGCCGTGGCTAATTGTCGCCCGCAACTACTTCAAAGCCTTTGCACTGTATTGGCCAGTCTTTCTAGACTTGGGCAAGTCAAGTGCAAAGCCTTCCTCTCTTGACTAGTTCATCTTGTAAGCAGCTTTAAAATGCATGATACTGCCTTCGCTGTTGCTGCCAACGGAATCTTCCGCTTTGCCCTCGACACAGTACTTTCTAATTTCGTGGTGCAGGTGTACTCGCAGAAGGGCACCAACTAGGCCGGTAGCATGTTTACTTTCATCAACGATACCTCGCATACTGTTCCTGGGTCTTTCTTTCCTAAGAATAGAATGGCTAGGCAAAGCGGTTTTCATAAGTTAAACAAGTACTATCGCGTGATAATAGCCATTGCTAATGGAGGCGGATGCTTCTACGAGTCGCCATTTGTCCGGGTCTGCCGATCTCGAACACCCAATTGTATGGTTAAACTTTAGAATAATACTACACTGTTGCATGTCACCCTTGTCCTTGATGTGAAGTCTCGTGTTGTCCTGAGCCTCAATGCCTAAGCTCCATTTGCAATGTTGATCCGAGGCTACCAAACCTTGACCAGGGTATAACCCCCATTGTTCGCCGACGAATACCTAAAACAAGCAACTGCATTAACCCACAGCGTTAATCAATCTGCTGATCTCGGTGGCTAACTTACCGAATCATAGAATTTATCGCTCCTATCAAAAGATTGCCCCCGCATTCATTCACGAGCGAAATGTTCACCCTTGCTGGACTGCCGAACTGTTGTGCGTTGCCGATTGGCGCGCATCGACTTAAGCATGGATTCCTCACTTTGCGCGCCAATCATTTCCCCATATTCCCCAGATTTGTCACCAACACCCCAGACGATGGGGCTCAATTTCTCCGCAGCGGAATAGACACAATGACGCTACGTAAAATGACACTACCTCGGCGGAGATGTCATCGTATGCGACGGTTTAAGCGCAAGGTGACTATATAAGACTCCAATCTTGACCGCATCTTTTGGACTCAGCAACCTGCCATCGACAACGGAAGCAGGTCTCAAGATGCGTTTCGCCGCCATTGTTTCGTTCTTGCTGCCCCTCGTGGCGGCAAAGCCTGCTCAGAAGGGCAAGACCTTCAGCAACGTTGAGATCTTTGATCCTCCCTCCAACTACAACGACCCTCAAGTCCTCTATGCCCGTCCTCTTGAGCTTTCGGATGGTACCCTTCTGGCTACTTGGGAGAACTACTCCCCCGAGCCTCCTCACGTTTGGTTCCCCATTGTGAAGAGCAAGGATGGCGGCAAGACCTGGAAGGAGATCTCCAAGGTCAAGGATACTCAGAACAACTGGGGTCTGCGATATCAGCCTCAGCTCTATGAGCTTCCTCGTCGATTTGGAAAGTACCCTAAGGGTACTGTTCTCATCTCGGGCAGCAGTATTCCCACTGATCTGAGTGAGACTCTTATCGAGGTCTATGCTAGTCTTGATAAGGGAGTTACTTGGGAGTTCGTCAGCCATGTTGCTCTTGGCGGCGAGGCTAAGCCTGAGCATGGGCTTACTCCAGTTTGGGAACCTTTCCTGATGTAAGTGAAGTTCTGTTAATGCGATGGATGATTTGCTAACAATTTTCAGGACATACAAGGAGAAGCTCATTCTGTACTATTCTGATCAGCGCGACAACGCTACTCACTCTCAGAAGCTTGTTCACCAGACCACCACTGATCTCAAGAAGTGGAGCAAGGTTGTCGAGGACACCAAGTACGATGACTACTACGCTCGCCCTGGCATGCCCACTGTCGCCAAGCTCCCCAATAACGAGTACATCTACACCTACGAGTATGGCGGTGGCCCCAACCCTCCTGCTGGCAGCACCTACTGGTTCCCCGTCTTCTACCGCCTCTCCAAGGACCCTCAGAAGTTCCTCAACAAACCCGGCCAGCAGATCATCTCCACCGATGGTGCTCGACCCGCTGGTTCTCCTTACGTCGTGTGGACTCCTTATGGTGGAAAGAACGGTACCATTGTTGTTAGCTGCGGCACCATGTCTGAGATCTTCACCAACCAGGCTCTTGGTGATGCGTCTGCTTGGAAGAAGTGGAGTGTTCCTCAGCCTACAGCGTACACCCGCGCTCTTTTGACATTCAAGAAGGATCCTGATCTGCTTATGATCATGGGTGCGGGTATTCTTCCTCCTGCTGGTGGAAACAACACTGTTAGTGCTAGTGTTGTTAGACTTTCCGAGATCATGAAGGCTTAGACGAAGACGTACATAACTTAGCGTGATAATCATAAATTTACAACAACCATCTTAGACTTGAGCTAAAATCTTCCAATTTCTTACGAGGCTTTGGATGACTATTCTTAAATCGCTGCAAATTTGCTTTGCATCCAATGTAAAATACCCAACATGGGAGCTCCTCATTCGTCAGCGAGGCTCGATGCATAAAGCTTGACCATGCAAGCTATGGGATTTGATGTTGTTCGTGTCCTTAGACTTTATAATAAACTAACCTGGGCCAGATTCAGGCGCAGCCATCTTCACCTATTATTTGTCCGTCCTCACATTAACTTGAGAGCCCTTATCGTTCCTTGTTAAGAGTCCGTTTCGGCCTTGATCATTACAGCCGGCAAGGTTCTGTGCCACCATAGCATCACGAAAGCATATATTCAATGCACAAAGTATTCTCAGTCACACATTTTGTGAATATAAGTATCATCGCTTCGCCATGTCTTCCACTTCAAGAACTCTCACCAACCATTACATCAAACCAGCCTTCCGCTCCACCCACCTCATCCACTTCACGATGAGTGTCTTTCAATCACTAAGGCGCGCCTTTCCCACCAAAGGCCCCAAGTCTCACGGAACAGGTTTTCAATCAGGTCACACACCAGTCCACAGCACAGGGCCTTTTCGGCACGTTCCAGTGATACAAAAGCACTACCGCGGCGATCCACAATTGCGAAAGGATGAAGACGCTCCACGTATAGACAGAGATATCAAGGAGTTGGAAGGCGATCTTCTTGCTATCAAGATGAGACTGAAGGGATTGGGATACCGTGACAGCGACGTCCTGAACCAGTTGGAGGCTATGTATGGGGCATCGAGAGAGACTCTCTGGGCTCTAAACGACGTGAAGCGCAAGCTGAACGAAGAAAGGGAACGAAAAAAAGCTGGTATGTTTTCGTCTGTGATTAAAGTGCATTTAGAGGTGCTAACATGACTTGCAGAGGATTTGGAGAAAGAGCTCTGTTACTACAGGCGTTGGGGACAAAGAAGGCCTTAGATTATGCAATCTGACCTGCCTGATTATACCTCTTCAGAACTCCAGGCAATTGAGGTGCGTGTTCAAGTGGGAGGGGGCCGCAGCTTTGCGACGAATGACGTTTTCGTTGGTTGCCACGAGGCATGATGTAGAGGGGTAACTTGAACTTGAGCGTGTCACTGTGATCTAAGTGGCCTGGGTCTGGATAGAGTTTAAGTTTATACAATCAAGCTTCTTGCAAAGACAATATTGAGAGTCGCCTCGCTACCGGCATGACTCAGAGCTAATTGCTTGTTTGTGATACGATTTGAGACATGTAAAAGAATGCTGGTGCCGCTGGATACCCGACCAAGACACTGATGATACTCTTGTTCAACCCTCGCTGAAACCATCCACATTATCGCAGCAGCGAACTCACGATCACAACCTCAGACGATCATTTGAGCATTATCCTAGATCTATTGGAATCAGAAGTCAATCGCCAGCCATTCCAATACTCTCGCAACATGGCGATGTCCAAACCTGCCTCAGAACAAGAGCTCGCAGAGAAGCGCAAACGTGAACTTAAAGCTTCAACAATCTTGACTGAGTTTGCAAAGAGGCACAGGCGTAAGCTTTAAGCTTCAAGGTTCCTACTTAAGCTTGAAAGGCCATTGGACACCACGGAGGCTGTTGCACAAGCAGCTGGTATTTCATCGCCTAATGGATGTGCTATTTCTGCTACCGACTCGTCGGGAAAGGTTGGCTCTTTTTTCAAGATCAATGCTATCAATAAGACCACTATTGAAGCGTACCTTAGGGCAAAGCCGAGCCTCACTACCTTTGTTCCAACATTCATCCCATGCAACCCAGCAAGAAAGAGTCTTTCACCTCACTCACTGCATCCAACATTGGGCATCGAAACAACGCTACCTCATCGCCGACTAGAACACCTGCATGATGAACCACGCCCCGCGCAGAATGAGTACCCTGTTTGGTACTTTGTTTACGGAGACCTAGCCGAGGGCGATGTCCTTTTGGACCTGCTGCGGTGCGAGCGTCACTTGAGAAATTCTCAGGTTGTTGGAGGAATATTAAAGAGAAGGGGAGAAGACTGGGTACTATTAAACGACCCTAATGGGATAAGGTGCATGCCCTGGTTGGCACTCTTGGTCGAAATAAAGGGACAGGAGGATATGTTACGGGTGTATCAAACGGATGCTTATGAAGTTGTACGATGTACGATTGGGATTTGGGGCGAAGCTACAGTAGCTGGTTTGACATTCCGATTCATCGAGTAAATTATGGACTAGAGAATAGATACAAGGGAATCCCGAATGGGAATTGAAAAGAGAGTGTGTAACAAAAAGACAGTCGTCAAAGTGCAACCCTTAGGCCTTTGGCTTATAGTCCTCTAGAGCATCCCTAGCAAGAGCAAGGTTTTGAATTACCGCCAATCCATACTGAGCAACGTCATTCGTAGAGATCCAAGGTGCTTCCTCCCCAGGAATCAGTCCCTCATGCTCCGGAATCTCACTTGTAGTGAAAGTGGCGGTGGGTGCCTTGAATCCATCACTCTCAAAGAACTTGGTCCAAGCGAGATTGGCCATTGTTGTATTGTGCTGTTGGTTCGCAGCATATGCCGTGAGACGCGAGTGACCCTGGTATAAGTTCAGCTTTCCGAAGTCGACACCATAACGAGCCTTCTGCTCAGCAGCAGTGGCCTCGAAATAGTAACAGTAGTCCAGCCAAGCTTGCTTGAAGCCCTCAGGTAGATCATCTCCGAAGTACAGAATCAGCTCAGAGACAACTTCGGGAAGACCAAAGACGGCGTTCAGATGTGAGACTTCAACGTGGCCCTTGTTGTCAGGGTCAGAAGGAGGCGGCCCAAGGGTCCAGTTCTGGAGGTTGTAAAGACCATTGCCAGTGACGAAACCGTTCTTGAGCTTAGCGATGCTCTTGACGGTGCTGGTAAGCTTCGCCTTGGACTCTTCCCATCGAGGACCACGGCGCTCCCAGTCGATCAGCCATCCACCAGCAAGCGCACCCCAATCTGTGCCCAAGCTGAAGGCAACGGTCGCATTCGGTGTAGGAACCCAACCATCCTTGCGGACCTTGCGCTGAGGATCCAGAACACCATAGGTCTTGTCGGTGTCAAGGAGCTCCTCGAATAGCTCACCGATGCGCTCGTCACCGCCTGAAAGGTAATAGAAGTACTTCCTGTACTGGGGCTGTGAGATACGGGCCTGCTTCGCGCTGTCGCTGAAATGCTGCACGCCGTGTCTCGTTCCAAGACCCTTCCAATTACCGAGATGGTAAACATCAACTTCACCGGTATGACGCGTGAGAGCCTCGGCAAATCGGTAGATGTCTTCGCGGCCTGTGCGCAGGAAATACTGCCAGAAGAACAGATCGGGTGAGAGCTCAGAGTTGTCCCATGCATAACCGCCGATATCGTATCGCCACTCGTGGCGGTCGGGATCATAAGTGTGCATGAAGTCACCATAGTCAAGGAAGCCGTACCAACGACGGTGCTCAACCTCAGACTGGTAGAATTTGGCAAGGAAGTTGATGTTGTCCTCGAGTTTCTTGGAGGCGGCGGTTGAAGTGTCGGCGGGAGCCCAGTATGTACCGATAGCCTTGGTCTGCTGGATGTACTCGCTTTCGGGAATGAGGACAGGAGGTTTGTTGATCTGTGTGACGTGGTTGGCTAGCGTCTCCTGGGAAGGAGTCTTGTCAAAGGCAATCAGGTACAGCTCGCTAGTTCGCGCGATACCATAAGGCGTGTCAAAACCAGGCTCCCAGTCCTCGTAGGTGATCTCAAGAGCGTCGAGCTGATCGGTGTAGTTCTTCTGACCGAGACCATCATGGTAGGGACGGAGGTCAAGGGGTTCAGCGGATGGACTGTACAGCCAGAGGGTAATGCTTCCAGTGTCAGAGGCGGCGGAAGAAATGTCAAAGCCAGTGGGGAATCGCTTCCAGAAGTCGCGAAGACCAACGGCGAGACCTCCAACAGTAGCACCACCTAGGTATGCAAGGCCTTCGGCGCGAGTGCCTCCAGGGATGGAGACCCAGCTTTGGCCAGCCTTGGTTCGCTTCTTGAGAGTGAAACCGTCGGCTGAGAGCTGGCTCAAGCTGTAGTCGTTCCAGGGAGGAATCCAGTGAAGGCGGCTGGAGACACGCACATCCCAAGTCGAGATATCGGGCAGCTCCTTGCCATCAAACTGATCAGCTCGAACGTTGGCACCAGGGTCTCTGCGAAGACCAGTAATACCCTGAACAGCTTCACTAAGAAGGCCGCCATCAACACCGGCAATTCGGATGTGGCGGTTGTACAGCTCCTCACCCTCAAGAGGGACGTCAAAGCGGATACCAACGGCTGAAATGAAGTCTTTCTCGGCATCTCCATCGAAGACCAAGCTGTGAATTATCTTGATTGACTCAGAGCCAGAGTAAAAGTAAAAGCGGAGGACAAAGGGCAGCCAAGATTTATGGCCAGACTTGTCGCTCGCCGAATGCTTTCCTCGAACGGTGACCAGAGTTCGTGCAGAGTTCTGGTCGCTGACAGTGACGTTATCAATGCTGCTCTGGAAGCGCAGAGACTTGAACGACTTGATCTTATCATCACCGGGGTGAGAAACGTCGTTCTGCGACTGAAGAACGAGTCTTCCATTCTGAGCGATGCGCTTGCCGTTGGTCTCAATCTCCTTGACGATCACAGAGCCTGTCTTGGGGAAGACAGCCGTGACTTTGCCAGTATCGACCTTGATCTTGCTGGAGCTCTTGGTGACAGTGATACCAGCAGAAGCCGTGGAGTTGATGCCCCCTGATGAGGGAATTGCCTTGACAACATACTCATCAAGAACTGTTTCCGAGGCTCCAATTGCGTGACCGGTCCACTTTACTGAGCCATCAGCCCAGTATCCAGTGACCCACGATTGGAGGTCAACATCCTGGCCGGATGCACCAGAGGCAGTGAATTTAGTGTCCTTGGGGAAATATTTCGATTGAGGCCAGGGGAGACCAAAAGTAGTTCCTGAAGTAAAGCCTGGCTTTTCACCTAGCCAGTGGACTTTGGCAGATGAAGAAGTAGAGTTGCTAGGAGCAGCCATGGCTTGGCCTGCAAAGGCAGCAAGTAGAAATGAGTGGACGGCTTGTCGCAGCATGATGCAACGACTACCAAAGAATAATTAATAAAAAGAAATAGTTACTTTGAGAAAGTTGCGTGATTGAGACAGAAATCGCATCTGTTCTTATGTATAATGTCCTTCTTGTCTTGACGCCATAGAGAACCACAATGAGAATATGCATGTAATTTCGGGAGATATACCCTGTTCAGCGGCAGCAGCCATATCACGGCTTTCCTCCGCTGCACCTCGGCGCTCGGTGGAAACCCGCCCGAAAGGGTTCACGACTTCGGATGATCGTAAAATGCACGAATGACCTGAACATTGCTGGGCATGGCACGAACGGTAGGCTAGAGTCGCAGATCGCAGCCGAAATGAGGTTTAGCGAGTCCTGCAATTTCCTAACGGTCTGCGAGACAAGGTTCCCCGCGTCGATTGGCTTCACATTTGGTGTTGAACGGACGGAATAAATAATTGACAAGCGCGTTCGTGTGTTGCGTGATGTAACCTATAATGAGAATATGGTTAGATGGGCCTTTGGATGTCAGAAAGCTTGTGAAGCTTGCAATAGGTGGCGTAAATAATCTAGTAAGGAGCCTGCTAAGTTCAGTCTAAATGCATTTAAGCATTTTTGTCAACTGGGACTAAGTCCTGGTTTTGCCGCCATCCTTTAGGGGGTTTAGAGGGGTTTGCTGAAGGTCCTCTGCGGTGTTGGGGGTCCCGAATTGGGGGATCAGCAACGAACACCAACACCGAGTCGCGGAGCAATTCACGCGGAGCAACCAACGCGGAACCGGAGTTTGGCGCCAGCCCGCGATCACATTTAACACGATAGTACGTGAGAATCCTATCTTGCTGTCAAATTCTAGGATAAGAAACATCCTAGATGAAATCGATCATCGATATTCGTAAAACCTTTAACGATCTGATCCACGAAACCGGATCTATCCGAGGTTAGTTCCTCGACGCGTTGTCACTTTGAGGCGCGGCAAGGACTTACCCTGCACCTTGGCTACCAAAAAGTGTCCCAGCTTCCCAATTCACCAATCGCTGCAACACAAGTTTCCTATTCAAGTCAAACACAGATAGTAATACAACATGAAATATCAGTATAATCATGCCGTTATCATCCTCCATGACGATGTCTCGCTACGCAGATTACGCGGCTATACACAGCCTCATCCTGCACGTACGGAGTTCCGTGTCTCACGTGACCTTTCATTCTTCACCCTCGATCTTTGATGGAGAATGCTATCATCATGTTTGCAAAAGCAACGTGAAATCAAAATGACTTCTTCAAACAACCGAGACTCACCACTACCGTTATTGAAGACATGCCAGACATGTTTTTCATTGAAGATTCGCTGTTCCAAAACCCAGGATTCCGATTCCTGCGACCGATGCTTGAGGCTTGGCAAGACGTGTATCTTCAACCAAGCTAGGCGCCGTCAGAATGTAAATCGCCAAAGGTAAGAACTCAAACTTCATAGTTAGAAGAACAGAGCTTATGACTGGTATTTATAGAGAAAGGCTGGATGTCAGATCCAAATCTGAGCAATCATCCAAATCACCAACAACCCCTTATGAAAAAACATCTTCGAGCAGCAAAGTGCAGGACATCTTCAACCAAAATGCATCACTTGACCCCTTTGAACGGGGAATCATAACCTTCGAAGCTGCTAGAGACTTGCTCGACTGCTACAGGACCCGAATGATCCCATACTTTCCTTTTGTACTCTTTCGAAATGATGTATCGGTTGAGCAGTTGAACGCAGAGCGCCCCTATGCTTGTCTGGCTGCACTCGCTGCAGCTTCACATGCGGATGTCGCCACTCAAAAAGCACTTGGATACCTATTCAAGCAGATAGTGGCGGCTAAAATGGTGGAAGGTGATTTCTGTCAACTTGATCTGCTACAGGGACTTCTCATCAATCTTGCATGGTAAGTCTCGGCACTTGTTATACATCTGTCAGCTAAAGATTATAGGGCACACTATCAAGCCAAACCAAAGAGATATATACAACATCTTCATCTCGCCACAAGTATAATTAGTGACCTGCGACTTGATAAACCTCGAAGACCAAAGTTATGGAGCGCTGAAGGCGGCAAGGATAAGAACAAGCCAGATTGGGGTCCCGATGAGATGAGGGCCCTGGCGGGGACGTATTACTTATCCTCAAGGTAAGCCAGCTAGCGAATTTATTGAGACTTGGGCTAAAGAAGCAAAGTTCGTCTATTATTCTTCAGAAAACGCGCCAATTCTTCTATACGCCATATATCACTGCTTGCTGCGAGCACCTTGCATCCTGGAACGAGTACCTGACGGATAAATATCTCCCATACATGATTACAGTGCAGACGCTTATCGAAGGAGTTGAAGATCTTGTCAACAACACGGTGTCTACTAACAATGGTCTGCAATTCTTTTCTGGGTGTCAAGAGATTTCGCAAAAGTGCACTGAGATCAAAGAAACGCTTCCTTTTCCGTTGAGCGAAAGCCGTAAGCCAGGTCCTATATCATACTAAGTCTCTTGCTGATGGCGTGCAGCACCTCTGCTTCTCCAGATCCATATTCTAGAGCTTTTACTCAGCCAATCATCGCCGAGAGGAACATCGTTCGGCCTCGACAAGTTTAACAACCAGTTCGAACACGAAAGCTCACTTATAGACTGGCTCTCGGCAAGCATGTCGGCCGCTCGCTCTCTCATTAGTGTGATTCTTGTCATGCCGCAAGGTGAAGAGATGTATATGTCGAACATGGGCTGGATCATGATGAACTGCGGTCTAAACCTCGCTGTTCGCCTTGATCTTGTCGCTGCTAGAGGAAGCATATCTGGATCTATGCAGCATCTTCGTCGGTTCTTAGATATGCGACACACCCTTCGTCAACTGGTCTTACGGTTCGAGGCGACGCCAGGTCAAGATGCACCGTTAGATCACCCATTCTATGCTCTCGCGAAGCGAATACGTCGGCTTGAGAATTGGTACCTGTCGCAGGCGGAGCATCAGACGCCAGATTCATCAGTATCTATAAGTCCATCTGTCAATGACCAGCCGTTGCTGAGTGTCGGTACTGATGCCAGCGGAATGCCAGTTGGTGGGTCAATGCCGTTCGTAGCCGGTCCTTGGCCATTGAGCTCGGATTGGTATCAAAACCCTGACCTGGATATCGGCACTTTTCTCTTTGCAGATCCTGTTGAGTTTCCTATCAACTTGGGCTATGGAACTTAGATCTTTCCTTTTTTAATGGACATCTTTAGGTTACGCGGTTTCGGCGCTGGGTTCTGTTCATTGATGTGCCGTACGGAGTAAGATACGGACTAACGGTTGTAGCAAGCTGGCGGCATCCGGAGTAAGTCGGGCTAAGGGACTGAGTGGAGCCTCCAGAGGTGGACATCCCTTGCTAAACACCACAAGACAAGTGAATTGAGACAGAATACAAGTCAAAGGATTCATCTTCATTTAGCATCTCATCTAAGCCTCGTTGGACATGTCGTAATATAGCTTTTAGTCTGATACAGGGTGCTTCGGGCCCAGGTATAAGAAGGGTCTCTCAACGTCTTTTCTATCCTTCACAATCATCAGCACTTTCCTGGTTCACCCCTACCATAACATCTTACCGAACACTTTCAACTATAAACAATGCGTCTGCTTACCTTGAACTGTCTTTTGAGCGCTTTAACCAGCGGGACTTTCGCTAAAGATGACTGTATCAACAACGATATTCCCTTCCAGGCATGCGCTCCCATCGGTGCATACTATCCTCCGCCCACCATCGACAAATCCTCTGAGCCTTTCAAGAAGCTTACCTCCCAGTTCACTAAGACCTTTGACGACCTCATCAAGAACGGCGGTAGTGATAAATATGGTCCAATCACACCCAACACTACGTCCTTCTCCGTGGTCATCTTCGGTGGTGCTGAGTCGCTTCGAGATGATCTCATCTTCTTCGAGTATCACTATACATCCCCTGAAGATCAAGCCTCGAACGCAAACCTCACTTCGGACACCAAATTTCCAGTTGGTGATGTGAGCATGGTATTCACTGTTTATGCTTGGCTTGTCAAGATGGGCGAACAATGGGAGACGCCTATCACTAAGTATCTGCCTGAACTGGCTGAAGTCAAAGGTCCGCTTACGGTGAACTGGGAGGACATTACTATTGGTGCTTTGGCAGGCCAAATGTCAGGCCTCAGTCGAGAGTGTAGGTTATCGTTTGAAGTCATGCAGTACTCGAACTAACAAGTGATATAGCCGGAGCATGCGTTGTCGGCAAGGCTTGCGACTGGAAGGGTAAGCAGCATCCTGCGATACACCACTACAAGTATATAGTACTGACTTGAATTTCAGCTTTCCAAAAGGCCTTTGCGAAGAAAGCACCATACTTTCTCACGGACACAACTCCAGTTGTCTCTTACGCGGCTTTTCAGCTGTTGGCTTTTGTTATCCAACGAAGTGATGGCGCTGATTGGTCTTCGATTCTCGACAAGACCATTCTGCAGCCTCTTAACATGAGCGACAGTGGAGTTTTGAGCCATGGTGTCGAAGATATCTTTGCCATGAAGAGTCTCAACATTTCGGCGACTGGCGAACCAGGGTATGCTGATCAGCGAGAAGGACAAGCCCATGGCTAATAACCATTGTAGTGCCTTATCATTCGTTAGCTCCGCCAAAGATCTCGCACGCGCTGGACACTCTATTCTTGCTTCAGACCTCCTTTCGCCTGCTGTTACCCGTCGCTGGCTTCACCACAATGTCGACACTTCCAATCTTCGCAACGGCGTAGGTCGACCTTGGGAAGTTTACCGTGCCGGAAACGCTATCTCACCCATCCTCGATGCCTTGACGAAGAGCGGAACTATTGGCAAATATGCGAGCTACTTTGGACTCACCACTGACTTCAACGCTGGCTTCGCTATTCTGGCTCATGACAGCGGTGTCGAGGACCGAAAGCTTGACCTGAACGTGCACGCCGATATCGTCAGCGAAGTTCTCGGTTACCTGCAAGCCATTGCCGCCAAAGAACTGGAAGCGCGCTATGCTGGATCATATTCAGGCAAGGCTACTGAGGTTACTTTCAATACCACTGACAATGGCCGGGGTCTTGAGGTTCAGAAGCTTGTAATTGGTGGGGTGAACATCAAGGAGCAGACCGCTCAGAAGCTCGGCATTCAGGCTGATGATCTGGACTTCAGAATCTACCCAACGAATGTTCAAGATGGAAGCCGCCACCAGTTCATTGCTGTTTTCCAGGATAGGAGTGCTCCAATTGACATGGGCACTCCGACATGTGTTACTTGGCAGGAAATTGGTGCTGACGCAGAGATCAGCTTTGTTTTCGCCCTGGGTCGGGATAGCGAGGTTATTGGAGTAGAGGTCCCCCAGTTCCACGCCAAGATGGAGAGGGCCACATAAGTAGGTAGTTTGAGACTGACTCTCCATTGCTGAGCGATAGGGTTACCATAGAGTTTCATTCGCAACTCTTGATTGCCCATGGAGCTAGCTCAATGAAACATTAAGGGACTCACACTTCTTATAGCGGGGCTGCTGCCTAGCGTGAACACCGTGAATGTCAGCAAATGCGTGTAACCTCAGGCTAAATTCATAAGCACTACATTCTCTGACCGATATTCGACTCCAATCGTGAGGATTGATTCGCGTTTGCGAAAATGGCTTCTTCCGCGCCGAAAGTCGCGCCACCTGAACGTCGGGATCCTCTAGACGTTATTGACAAACAGGCAGATGAGATCGTGGCACTTATCAAAAAGAGCAAGCACTTCATTATTTTCACGGGTGCAGGCGTCTCGACTTCAGCCGGTAAGTCGACCACTGAGCCTTTTTCTGTGTAGTCCACCCGCTGATAGGTATAGGCATTCCCGACTTTCGTGGACCAGAAGGTGCTTGGACACTGAGAGCTCAAGGGCGAGCTCGTACCGGAAAGGCTACGAGCACGCTTCAAGCCATCCCGACACCGACGCATATGGCCTTGGTAGAGCTTCAGAATCAAGGAGTTCTGAAGTATCTTGTTAGTCAGAATTGCGATGGCTTGCATCGAAGGAGTGGCATCCTGCGGGTAAGGACTTGCCAATAGACTCTTGGCCGCTCTAACTGATCATCGCAGGATCGCATTTCGGAACTTCACGGTAACAGCAACCGGGAATGCTGCAAAGACTGTGGCAAAGAGTACATACGAGGTAAGAACACTATAGCCAGGATAATACTTCATATGCTGAAACGTCAAAGACTTCCGTGCTGTCGCCAGCTATGAAAAATCAGTGCATGACCATCGGACAGGTCGCAAGTGCATTGCGTGCGGAGGGAACCTCCTTGACACCATCGTCAACTTTGGAGAATTCTTACCAGAGGAACCGCTCAAGCTTGCTCGAAGTCATGCCAAGAAGGCTGATCTTTGCATTGCACTCGGGTCATCCCTCAGCGTTCCTCCAGCGAGCGGCATCCCCGAGACATGCGGAAAGAGTCGAAAAAGCAAGCTTATCATCTGCAACCTACAAGAGACTTTCATGGAAGGCATTGCCGATATGCATATTTGGGCTGAGTCGGATGTTTTGATGACAAGAGTGATGAATAGGCTTGGATACACCATCCCAAGTTTCACCTTGAAGCGCCGGCTTGTGCTCAAGATTGAGCGGGATGCACACGCTCGTCAGGTTATTGTATTGACTTGCGTCGACGACGACGGTACTCCAGTCACATATCTCCATTCTGTCAAGCTTGAGGACAGCAGACGTATAGTAAGGTCTGAGCCCTTTTCATTCGTCTTCCGAGAAGGTCTTAGTACTGGAGCCGAAGTCAAGTTTGCACTTGAGTTCATGGGACATTACAATGAACCCAATGTCGTTATTGACTACAGTGTTCCTGAGGAAGAGGGCGCAGAGACGGTGTACGATCTTTCATATGACCCAGGTACGGGGGAATGGGTGATCATGCGATGACAAGCGCATTTTACGCTTGCTCCTTCACGAGCTCATTAGCGCTACATCTAAGCATAACTTGGACTGCAATTAAAACTTTGGTGGTTTTTGCAACCAACAATCAACAACCAACAGCATGTAACATCAAGACGGTCGCTAGACCAGGATGTGGCCCCTGCATTTTGCCTGCAACCGACTTGGCATATCCACAATGCATTCAAACGACCTCGGGCCATTTATTCACGACTTTCATTTAAGGGATAGCTTTCCACCGCTCAGACACGCGATTTTGTGCTGAGAAATCACGGATACTCTTCCTTCTTTCTTTCACTGAATCACGCCACTCTTTTCGTCCCAAGTTCTTTTCGCTTTTGAATAGCTAGCAAAACTCACTATGATTGCCTCTAAACTCTTCATTACTCTGGGTATATCCTTGTGCGTCAATGCTTTCAGTCTCTACGAGTCTGGAACTGACAAAGATGTATCAAAAGCCTGCGATAAGGCCATGTCAGCGGACATCGATTGCAACAAAAAGGCATTTAGCTTTATCAACGGAGGTTGGTACGGCTCTCTCGACAGTGAAGCCTTAACCGACGCGGTCTGCACCAATACTTGCTCTCAATCACTCCAGGACTGGGTTACCAGTGTTTCCGAGGACTGCGAGGATAAGGATAAAGCCCAATACGGCCTTCGTATCTGGACAGGCTGGAATGCGACTTGTTTGAAAGACACCAAGACAGGACGATATTGCAATGGTTAGTAGCTGGCAGACTTGAGCAAATGTTTAATACTGACTGTATCCAAGATATCATCGAAGATTTCACTGATGTTGGAGAAGACGAGGAGCTCCCGCACGATGAGCTTTGCCACCCTTGTTATGTGAAGCGTCTCGAGATGTATAAACCCTCGTCGCACGCCCTCAACATTAAATGGCACGAAGAGCAACTTGAGCTCGTGCACAAGAAGTGCAGTAGTTCAACCTCCACTGAGACTGCCGTGCTCACTTCAAGTAAGAGTGAACCTTCCGGGGCGGCGACTATGGCAGAGGCCTCGGAAGCCTCTCAAGAGGCCAAAAGCGGGGGTGAGTCTGTAATGTCCACTGAGACCTCAGTGCAGACTACATCATCTGAACTGACTGTGCCATCTGCACCCAATGCAGGTGCCAAATCTGGACAGGGAGTGTCGTTCGGGTATGAGTCTCTGATGCTTCTTTTGTCGATGAACATCTTCTTTGTGTAGGGAGATTGTCTATTTCTATCAGAGCTAATGGACCAATACTGTTAGAGACTTTTGAAACCATATTCATTCGTAGCTATATTCTCACGACCTAGTTTATATCGTTATCGACCCTTCAAGGGTATCCTTTACCCACTGTATTGTCTCAACACAGGGCATACGACTGAGCATTTACCAGAAGGGGAAGTAGAGGCCAAATTCACTCAGGGTCAGATTTAGCGTATCTACAGATAAACAATTTTTAAGTGATCCGCCTTTCGCTCCACCTGAGATTCGTTGTTGAAGCGGCAAGCATGCGAGGTTCACTGGACCCTGCATGTTTCCCCACCGTTGCCTGTAAAGTTAGTCTACTCCTATGACATATTGTAAATCTGATGACATATTGTATGCCAAGCCGGATGCAGGCAAGAAATAAAAGAAGTGGATTTTTATATCAGCAGACTTCTGTCCGTGATCCATGTAACGCTGTGTTGGTTGATTGTGATGTTGGTTGTTGGTTTATGTTAAGCGTGATTTTCGAGTCCCACAACTCCACAAGGCTAGTAAGGTTCTGCTGGCTAACGTATCGGACAAGCTTACTTGCCTCGGTTCTTAACTGATGGATTTCCCTGTGCCTGGCGGCGGAACGATAGATGCTACTGCATATAGCAGGTTCACAGCCTCGTTTTGGTTGCTCTCGAACATAGAACACAACGCGATCTTCAGACGCTTCAACGTTCCTGCCCCTGCTCAAGAGCCATGAACGATTCTCGACAGGGATATTAGTTGCCAATCTCTAATCATTGACATTGGGTCCCTTGCAGTCCGTGCTGGGCGGTCTTGGCGACCTTGGCAGATATACAAAAGGCCCGTTATGTTTGCATTATGAATAATAAGTTATCTCACGATTTCATTTACCGCCTAGCCCAACCTGTTTATGTGGGCATATGGCTGAGGCTTGCCTCAATAAATGATAACCAGGACCCATCATCCTCGTTGTTCACAGTCCATCGCCCGTGTCATCCGGTTTCTGTCTCACCAACATTCACAATGGCCATGTCCAGATTTGTTGTCACGCTTGGTCTCTGCGTGAGCGCCAGTGCAATAAAACTATTCGAACCCGGAGACTTTAATCCTGAAGATGTCTGGGTTGGGAGCGCTTGTGAGAAGGTATTGAGAACTGAAATCGATTGCGACAAATACATTTTCGAATTCACCGTCCCGGAATTTCGAGGCCAATCATCTAAAGATCTAGAGATGGCCAACACGATCTGCAGCGACAGGTGCTCCGACTCGCTTCGCAACTGGTATCCTAAGCTCGTCAAGGAATGTGCTGAGGAAGATTTCATGTCCGACACTTACCCAACAAACTATTGGCTATACATTGGTAATAGCATGTCGAGCGGCTGGAATCAGACATGTGCCAAGGATCCGAAAACAGGTCGATACTGTGGCGGTTGGTAGTCTCGTTCTTATTGACGACGGCTCAACTAACTCTCTTGCCAGAAATCATCAACGAATTCTCCAAAGTAGAAGATGATGAGGAAATGCCCCTTGAAGAGCTCTGCCATCCCTGTTACGTCAAGATGATTAATATGAGGTCAACTTCATTTGCATGGCCGTCACTGGAAGATCCGGGAGGTAAGTGGTGGCCCAAGCAACTCAAGCTGGTCAAAGAGAAGTGCAGCGGCACGGAGTCAAAGGAAGATGCCTCATACCTCGACGAAAAAGAGTCAGCAGAGGAAGAAACGACCTCGGTTACTCCTCACAAGACTGCCAGCGCGGATGGTTCAGGTGTAGGCCCTATGCCGACAGCAAGTACCTCCACAACAGATACTCCGGTGTCAGGAAGTGCTGCTCCAGAAAGTAATACGGCGGAGAATATGGCAAGTAAGTACATTCTCTGTGATTGGTACGCAGTGCTCATGCTGGGTATGGTTTTGCTTCCTTTGTAAGGTTGAGTGAATCCTTACGTATTTTTACTGTTCACTTGGAGAAATAGAACCGTCAGAGAATTACCGAGCTCTTCTTTCTTGTGTCTGGGTGCTGTTTTACATATTTAAACTCTCTTACTTACATAGGCGAGTAACATATATATCCTACATCCTTTGCAGTCACAGATCGTCAACTCCAGATCCCACTTCCTGATCATATTTGCTGAATCATCCGAGAAGAGAAGTCAGGTGTTTTTCTCATCAATGCACTTGGACGATACTGTTTTATTTTCGCAGCAATCGCAGTTTAAAAGAATGATATAACTAGTTTTGCTCACTCAATTCTTCATAACTTCTCTTATTTATTTATTGATTTATTAATTACTCTATACCTTCAAACACTTATATCCTAAAACTGGAGGCTGTAACGGCAGGGCTATGTTTCGTTTGGGCCAGGACCCTAGCGCAATACTCGCCGGAGCTGCCCTCTGCATACCCGAGGGTCTCTGCTCTTTATCGGATTGTGTGCAATCAGAGTTGTTGGTACGAGGCCCATGACCGCTGCGCCCCATTGCAAATATGCATGTTGGTTCACTCCCTGCGACCCAACTGTTCGGATTCTACCAAATAAACTGCTCTGCACCCATAGTGTCCTAATTCCCTCATTTCTTCTCTTCCTCTTCATTGTATGAATCTCGCTCCGTAATTTGAAGTTGAACTTACGGCCTGCAACACCGCCATAACTGCAGTAACATATGACTGCAGGAAGTACTGATAATCTTTTCAACCACTTCACTCTATTCATATCACGATGGCCTCAGCCGTTTGGGATGCAGCGGATGTGTTACAGGTTTACCATCACCACAAATGCATCGGTATCACCACAAGAAAAGACCGCTGTTCGTTGAATATCAAGGAACCAAGCCTTTCGGCAATCGCTCCGTTGCTCGACCGGATGTCGCGAAACTCTCCGGAATTTGTTACGAAACAGACTCTGTTCCAGCTAGCTTATTTGTGCCTCTGTGAGACTTACCATGCAAAGGACGCGCACAAATTCGTGGGACATTGGACAAGCGTGGTAAACGAGGTAGTATCCGTGGAGCGACAGAAGATTGCCAAGCGAAACGAAGTCACGACACAATTCCAACAGATATTGACATTGCAACCGCTTGTTTTAGAACTCCAAGAACATCTTGGTGCGGAAAGACGGGCAAATACTGAGACACAGAAGCAGTACAAGCGGGACGTTAAAGGATTGCAAGATGAGATCATGAATCTAGAACAAGAGCTCCAAGAAAGCAAGGATCGTAACAATGTTGCGGAAGGTAGATTAGCAGCCACGAGAAGAAACCTGGAACAGCTTCAACGCCAGGCAATGAACGATTTGCTCGCTCGCAACAGGCTAGAAATGGAGAACAAATCTCTGAAAGCGGAAATGGTCGATGCGCAAAAGAAGCTTGATGACTATTTGTCGGTCAAAGAGCAGAATCGTGATCTTGGTGATCAAGTCAAATCCTTTGAGCAAAAGATTAAACAATACTTGGCCATCGTGGAGGATACAGCAAACAAAGCCAATGCGAGCGAAGAGAAAGTCACAACTGAACGTGCTGCAAAAGAGGCCATGGAAAACCGTTACAAGGCTCAGATTTCTGAACAAATGGCTGAGATCGCAGGACTCAAGAGTCACAGGGAGGAATTGGAACAGTCTGTTGCTCGATTTCAAGCAAGTGTCAAGACGTGCTGGTGGCATAGGTTCCGGGCATGGAAGGACCGGTTTCGGGAGAGGAACAGATCAGGGTCTTGGGTAAGTATTACGGATGAATCGGCCGAGAATGTCACTCTTAGGACATACGGTTGATACATACATAATGTAGAACAAGTCTTTGAGGTCAATCTTCCGGTGACTATAGTTCTTCAACCGGTCTTAGAATATGACGTTCACATAATAGTGATGACTAAGTCTTCACAGGCTAACTCATTAGCATACCCACGGAGGAGTTGGAATTTTTGCCGCCAATGACTGAAATCCCAAACTCTCTTCCATTCCCTCCGCATCCACGATCCGGAGAATCCGCAACTATAAAAATAGACTTAAAAAGCACCCTCACTTCTATTGGGGCGCCTTGCAACACCTCCACCCCCAATTCGAAAGCGGACCTTAAACTCCCGAAGTTTTGCTGGAGAATAAGCATTGCGGGACGGGCCTCCGCTGACACGATTGGACCGCATCGACATCCCGGTCATGGATCGGCAACCCCAGATCCCACTTCCCGGTCAGGCTCGGCGAGCCATCCGGAATGAGAAGTCAGCTGTTCTTCTGATCAATGCACTTGGACGATATGGGAAGGTTCCCCAGGCTTTTACGAACGTCCGGTGGTATACGCGGATAAGATGGTAGTCTAGGAAAGAGTTCTTTATAAGCGACGCTTGTATAAAGATTCCATCGAGGCCGGTTGGTCTTAGAAATCCGGCATTGTCAGTTACCTCAGTAGCAATCATGGTCTCTTGGAATAACATCTTCACACTGGCCCTGGGCCTCATCGGCTCAGCTCGTGCCTATACCAACCCCATCAGAAACCCCGGTGGTGGTGATCCTCAGATTACCTACACCGGAGGATACTACTACCTCATCTCGACAGAATGGACAAACCTGCAACTCTCTCGAGCTACCACCATTGAGGGCCTCAAGACTGCTACTCCCAAGGTCATCTACACAGACTCTGACCCTTCGCGCTCATCCAATGTTTGGGCACCTGAGCTTCACTACCTTGGAGGAAAGTGGTATATCTACTATACTGCTGGCAAGGCCGAGGACCTTACTGGTCAGCGCTCACACGTTATTAAGGGTAAGTCCCCCATCTTCTCTGGGTGACATAAAGCTAACAGTCGTAGGTGGTGCTTCTCCCTGGGACAGCTGGTCATATGGAGCCAAGCTCTCTGATGACTGGGGCATCGACGGCACTATCCTTCGCACCAACCAATTCGGCAACTACTTCGTCTACTCTTGCATGACCGGCGTTCAATACCAATCAACCTGTATCCGCAAGCTCGGCTCAGACTTCTTGTCCGTCGGTGCTCTCAGCATCATCTCTCAACCCGATCAAAGCTGGGAAAAGAGCGGAACTCCCGTGCAAGAGGGACCTAACGCTTTGTACTTCGGCGGCAAGACCTACATCTCCTACTCAGCAAACTACTGCTGGACCCCAGATTACTGTGTCGCTCTGCTAGAGTGGGATGGAAAGACTGATCCTGCCAAGGCTTCAGCTTGGAAGAAGTCCAACGGCTGTGTTCTCAAGAGCGCTAATGGAAGCTACGGAACTGGTCACAACAGTTTCTTCCAAAGCCCTGACGGCAAGCAGACGTTCATCACTTTCCATGCTACTTCTAAAAAGAATGGTGCATGTGACGATACAAGATATGCTATGACGCAGCCGCTGACTGCGAATGCTGATGGCACACCGAATTTTGGGTCTGTTCAGCCTTTTTCTCACCAATTTGCTGAACCTTCTAGATAAGTACTTTGTTATTGGTAATACTGTTTCCATCTATCTTCAGTGACCAGGACCACGAAAATCATGGAGCAGAACTTGAAGTCCTAGTTAGGCAACACCGAATACAAGGAGCCAAGAATTACTATTTTCGTTCGATATACATGTGACGATGCCAGATAGGTGATGACGTGACTTAATCCGATGTCTCAATGGTCATGCGGAAGAGGAAGCTACCTGGTTGCTATCAACCTCCTTTCGGCATCGGGGCGAATGGAAGCCGCCTTGACTTGTAGGCTTTTGACTCCCGCAATCATGCTTAAATAGCCATGGCGGCGGAGTATGCTGACGCAAGTGAAACATGGCAAGAGGCTAAGCCCATTGGATCGTTCAGCTTATCCGTTTCAAAACGGACGTGACACAACAAGGCATCAGTGACAGTTTCCGCTGCCTTTTTCCGGGGTGGCTTGAGCTGAAAACAATAGCGCGAAGCTTACTGGTGCTTAGAAATGATCTTCCAATCATCGATGGATGGCTGGCTGAGGCTGAGCATGAAAACAGTCTAGACTCCAGCATTTACTGCCTCTGTGGCGTTTCCGCCAGAGCGGCATGATTTAATAATAGCGCTCTGCCCTCATCAGGTCCTTGTGTCTTTCTCATCTAATTCCTAACTTCTTCTGCGTAATCCAGTAACTCAGTGCGCTTCGTGGGATTGCACTCAAGATGGAAGTGAATTATACCGCTATCACGGACTACTACATGATCAGGTGTTTCAGTGGAGGAAACTTCTACGTCTGCAAGAAACCTTCAACTAACTTAGAGTTTGTCGGATGCTGCGACTCGGATCCATGCGCCGACGGGTCTGGAATCTGCCCGCAAACAGACCTACGACCGATGAGCTACAGCCCGGGGCGAACAGCATACAAATTCGGCCTTGAATGTGGCGCTCTTCATAATGCATCTTTTTATCGATGCGATTTGTCAATGCCGCATTTTTTGGGATGCTGTGGTGTTGATCCGTGTTCGAGAGGATGTCCTCAAAACCAGTTAATCCCGGCGCAGTTACCAGCGCTAGAAGGATGGCGGAAATTATTTCTTGAACCGTACCGTGTGCAGAATGGTACAGCTGCAGATTTGAGGCCTGGAGTAGAAGCGAATAGTACTTTTGAGGCACCTGATTTCTCGAATATTAACTGGGATCGTGGTAAGCATGAAGTTGGACCTGCGACTGTTATAGGAATCTGTGCGGGTTTTCTTGTTGCAACTCTGCTCATTCTGGGACTTATACGGCATTATTGGTATAGTCGATTGATCGATGCTTGGCGAAACTCATGCTAATAATTGTTCAGGCCGTCCTCAACTTCACCAAAACATGAACAAACAGATATTGCACATGCACCATTTCTGGCCCACGACTCAATAGACGATGTCGCGTATTCGCAGATGGAAGAGATGATACCACATACAAGAATACGAGATAACTGGCATGGCGGCCCAAAGACGTTAGAGCACTGGGACGCGCCAACAGTGTTTGGTTGGATTTTCAGCGTTCTTCTCACATTCACGCCGCTCTGTTTCATTGGTAAGATATATCCCTCAATCTGAAGGGGAAAACTAAACCAGGAAAAGCTCTCGCTATCACAGCGATCCGTCTTGATAACCAACCTCATTCCGACTACGGCAAAACGGTCCTGCAACTAACGGTACTCAGTCCATCGTTGTACCCCATATTGTTTGCCGCCTTAGTCGGAAGGTTTTACCGGGTCTTTGGCCGATGGTGCCTTGAAAGCCGCGGCGGTGTAAGCCTCCCTGTTCTAGAACAGTTGATCGGCAGTCAGAACTTGGCGACCGCCATTGAGCGAATTTTCGTAATACGGACAAATGCCGTTGTTGGCATTATAATTCTCACTTCCTGGCTTCTCTCGCCTTTGGGTGGACAGAGTTCGTCGAGACTTCTACAAGATGCAAAGTTCGACTTGATATCGAATGGAACGGTTTACTACGCTGATCCAGCATATCAAGTGTCCCACTCAAGATGGATCGACTACCGACATAGCGTTGGCGCAACGTACGCTGCGAGTTTACTGTCATCGTCGAAGCAGAAAGCATCGCCGAGGGATATTTGGGGGTTGCCGAAGATTCCCCAGTTGTCGCAGGATAGACTTGACGATGGCTCATACGATCTCTATGATGTGAACGAATCGGACTTGGTCTCAGGCAAGGCCTCTTATGCTTCGTTGCTAGGTATCAAGATTCAAGGCCTCGTCAGACCTGACGAACCTACCAAGTTCAACTTTAAGATACCAACCTCATATTTCCACGTCAGTTGCGATTTCGTCGACAGCTTCGATCCTTTACGAGGGAAGTTGACTAAGAACCAAACGAACGTTCTTGACTTGTTCTACAAATACCCCAGCTTCTCTGCTTTCAACATCCTCCCTCAATCTTGGTTCAACTCAGAAGGGGAAGAGGATGACATTAGCTCGCCCTATCAGTTCATATACGTCAAGCAAATGCGCGGCTCTCAGCTTTACGTTGTAAAGTGTACCACTCACGAGGTCAAGGTCGAAACAACCATTCACTGCGGACCAGGAGACCCAGCGACGACCTGTGAAGCACGACAGCAACGGCGACTTTCTACTGAGAACCAGACTGGAAGCTCTCTATTTCCGCCATCGGTTACGCGAAGCGATTTGCGTCTCAAAGAGTTGAGTTATGCTCTGTATGCTTGGGCGCAAGCTTCCGGTGACAAGGACGGAGTTCAGCCGTCGCCATCCGAGATGTACCTGATGAAAGATGAAAATCCGTATGAATTCACCAGTCAATTGCCGTGGACGAAAGAAGATCTCGCCAAGTTTCCATATGTGTTTTCCAGGCGAATGACGACCGCTTTCAACACATATTGGGACGCCGGATTAAATCCTGGAGGTCATACCAACGTCTCATACGGCATAATCCCATCGCATAACATGAATGGTCTAGAGACCGGTCGGACCTACAAAGACTCCTTCATGAACACCACCATGGGTACAAGAATAACCACGATTGATGTTTACAGTGCGCAACGCGTTTGGGTCGGTCTGTTGCTATTCACAACAATGGTGCTGCAAATTCTTGCCATTTGCGGCCTCGTTCTCGAGATACTGATCCAAGGCCCGGATGTTCTCGGTTTCGCTAGTACTCTAACCAGAGACAATCCGTATGTGCCGCTTCCGGCAGGTGGATCTCATCTCGACGGACCTGAAAGAGCAAGATGTTTAAAGAATATGAGGCTTGAGCTCGTGGATGTGCGCCCTGAAGATGAAACTGGCTATTTAGCCGTGAGGGCAGTGTCATTGGCGAAAGGGCAGGATACGAGCATGATTGAAGGGAGCGTAAAATCGAGAAAGTGGGTGCACTTGAATAGGAGGAGGCTGTACGAATAAATGGACTAGCCTCGATAGAGCAGCTACAAGTGCCGGGGCCGAGATATCGTAACCGCAGAAAACAGGGGTGTTCAGGTCCCTGATAAACTAAACAAATTTATCCTGTCAGTGCCAGAATCAGATCTCGCCGGGTTACGTTTCGAGCTTCCCATAAAAGCGGTGCACATGCCCTCGTGAGGGGTTCCGATAGGACACGGGTGATACCGAGCGTTATTTACGGTGCGGTACCCCCCTAGACTTCCTCGAGACGCCGCTGACAGCGCCCTAGCAAGAGGGAAATGCTTGAATCACATCATGCCCCGGTCGTTGGGATGAGAAAAGGCTTAGCTTTTCACTAGTGACGCGTCTGTGAAATGCCATACGCTAACGCCGTACGACGCATCCAATAAATCTACCGAAACAGTCCGCGGGCCCCGCCTCTGTTGCAGGGATCTGTCATTGTATCGGAGCGTGAAAGCTTCGAGACTCTGCTCCTTCAGGCCTAAGCGTTGCCGGTTTTCCCGTCTGTTTGGAACCAACAGAAATACGAGAATAAATGTAATTTGACTCCCTCGTAAAAAAAGACTAAGAAAGCCTGTTGGGCTGAACTCTTATCTCCTTTTTTTTATCTCCCTCTTTCCTCCTCCTCTCGTGTCTTGTCGTGTCTTTTTTTAAACATATCAGGCGTTCTTCAACAAGGGCTTAAATTTCTTTTCCCCTTCGCCCGCCCACCAAAGTCAAAACGGAATTGTCCGAATCTTTTTACCTCATGAACTTTGTCTATTTCCAACCGAGGTGACACGTACGAAAAGCAATCTCGCCGTCGAGATGAAGACCTCAAACCTCACACATATGGCCAAGCTGCTGCTGCCACGGGCAAGCAGGCAGAAGGGCGTCCTTCTTGCCATGGGCATCTTGGTAATATTTGGACTGATAACACATACCTGGGGATTTTATTTCGAACCTCCCAGCCTTCTGTCGTATCGGTACGTCGCGCCAGTGGCTGAAATGCCTCCCAGCATTCCAGCGAAATGTCGCTAACAAAATAATCCGCTTGCAGGACAACACGAAGGTCAAACCCGCATCAAGTGAAGCTCGCGTCGCACACGTCGAATTTAATGCATGATCTATGGAAGCCTTTTCTTCTCGACATTAATGCGACAAGCTTTTCAACAGATGAGGGGTACCTTTACGAGGTGCCCAAGGAGAACGAGAACTGGGCGAAGCCATTGGGCAAGAAGCTCCTCATTTTGGATGTTGACACTCGATTGGACAAGGGACCTGGCGCTGTGATGAATGACTCGGCGCTGGATTACAAGGAAATGAAGGGACGAACTGGTGGAATCATGAACCATTATCTCTATGGTATGATCTTGTTTCGCTGCGGGGAGAAGGAAGCTCGGCTAACAGACTCCAGCGATGATTCATGGCTATGACTACAAATTTGTCCGAGCACCCAATTATCCTAAGCGACACCAGACATGGGTTAAGGTCCCAATGATCCGAGAAGCGCTCAAGTCCCACGATTTCGTTGTTTTCCTCGACGCCGACGCAGAATTCATGTACCCCCAGGTACCATTCGAATGGTTAATGAAGCTATGGAACATCACAGACAAGACACTTCTTGCGCTAGCAAACGATCCCGATTCTCCACGAAACCGCGACGAAAAGGGCAAGGTTATGCAGAACACCGGCTTCATGATCGCCCAGCAGAGCAACCGAACACAAGAACTCTTCGACGACTGGGAGCAATGTCCAAGCGAGAAGAAATACAAGGGCTGTCAGCGATGGGCCAACGACTGGGCACACGAGCAAGCGGCATTCTCCAATTACGTACGATACAGCTATAACCAGACCCAAGACATTGGCACGATACCATGCATGGACGGGAATGGCGCTCCGTATATTGGAGATAAGACTTGTGGCGGAGTCTTCATCCGTCACCATTGGTTCCGCAAGGATGACCCTGCAAAGGATCTCCAACGACTGATCCTCGAGGCTTTTGTGAGTCGGTTACATGCAGGATTTCACAATGAGATACGAGACAATTTCTTAGATGCGAGTCGACATACGTACCCGCTCAACCATTTAGTCTTTTAAGCGTTAGTTGCATATAGATAGATTTTTAATACGAGAAACGTTTTCATCAAGCACGCGACTCTTCTGGAGTGACAGACAATAAATGCATAATCAGGGGTCATGTCACGACGATGGCGTTCTCCAGATTCAGCCCAAGAGGGCCAAGACAAGCTTTCATCTGTAAGGTCAAACCGTAAAAACCGTACCTGAGTTAACGTTACACCTCCTCGTAAGGCTCGTATCCATCAACCCCCCCTTGACACATGCTTTCCTGCAAGGGAAAAGCACAGCCGCTGACATTATGAAATTGGAACCAGGCGTTGGCAAATCAAAGCCTCTGTCTGCAAGTTTCCACGGGCCGAAACGCCATGATACTCCACTTAGCCGGCATTATTTCCGTTCTGAAGTGCTTGACCGTTTTGTACGACGGCCCCTTGTCCCTGTCCCTGCGTCAGATCATATTGTGGACACGCGAGGGCTGAGTTCTGCGGAGAATGTCAGCAGGTTTGGATTGGTACGGATATATACGATGAATCAATGCCAAGTGATATTCAGATGAGTTGAAGAGGTTTATAGGATTGGAATGCTGTAAGTGATTGCGACGATGATTACGAGTCAGGACGGTGTCAGAAAAGGGTCATTGTGGCAGGTCATATTCCTCCGGAAGGAAGAAGGATGACTGCAGCTGATGACCTGATCCGGCGATTGCTGTTTCTGGTTGTTTACTGCCGCAGTCGTATAGCAAAGCATTTGGAGTTCTGTGACTGATTACATATGGCATTCAGAAGGCGGCTTCGGGTAATAATGAGAGAAGTGTACTGATATTGTGATTTGTATACAAAGTTCCAATCTTAAAATAACTCACAAACCCGAGAAACCTGACGCGCTACCGTGTATCGTTAAAGAATATATACAGACGAACTGAAACACCAACAAAGACTAGCGACTCCACCGCTCTAGCTGATAACAATACGAGGACCAGACTTAGCTGGGTTCCAGTAGATGGCATCAAGATCGTAGACACCAACAAGCTCAAGCCCCTCAACAGTACCAGGCTTCTTACAATCCGTCTTCTGGGTCATGTACGGACCATAAGTAGCCTCCCAGGTCGCAAAACCACCAACCTTGACATCCATGCGTCCCAGGTGGACATTGCGCTGGTTACCAGGACCCCAGCCGGCACGAGGTCCAGGAGCGGGTGCAAGGCTAGAGTAGAGATCAAGCTTCTTGCTGCCAATGACGTTCTCACCAGGAGCGAGGTAGAAAGCGAATTGGCATTGCTTACCCCTGGCTGCTTCAGGGTACTTGAATGTGAGGAGGGTTGTGATGTCGTTACCGCCATTGGTGGGGGCTTTGGTAACGCGGCCTTCGTCTGTGTCGTAGATTGCCCCGTTGTTGATGTTGTAGGTGTGGATTTCAGAGGGGGTGAAGTGGTCGTTGCTGCGGGGCTCGACAGGAGCAGCGAGGCCAGTAGTGGCGATGGCGAGGATGGAGAAGATGGTTTGAGCAAGCATTTTGAAGGTGAAGATCACACTTGGCGATGGAAGACTGGAAGAGTGGATGTGATTATTGTTTGATGTCTGAATTGAGAGTGTGTTTGAGATGATGAGAAGACTCAATTGACGAGGAAATACCGCATCTTCTTATACACGATGGCTTCATGCAGCAATCTTCAGCTCATCACACTTACAATACACAGCACTTCCTGCTCTGCCTCGCGACAAACTCAATTAGCCTAACAATCCCTCGAAATAGCATCCCTCGCAGTCTAGCAACACCTAAAAGAGAATAAGCTTAATCAATACAGCCCAGCCTCCCTACTCAGCCTTTCCTTCAGAAGCCTCTTCTTCCTCGAGGCGTCCAAACATTACGGCGCGATGACATTTTGGCGTGCGCCAAGCCAATCGGCGTCCAGGATATTTTGGTGAAAGTGGCATGTGGTCCGGTCTTTGACGGAGCTTCAACTCTGAGCTGAGAGCTATGGCTTGCATTTATTGATGAATGACCTGCGGGAGTGGGGAAAAGGTTCGCCATTTTTGGAACCGCTGTGGAGAAGATTGTTGGCTTGGCCTCAATGCCACGCTCAGCTCTACGCCTTGTTCTATGACAGCTCCAATGGTGTCGAAGAAAACGTCGATATTCCGCTCAGCTGCGGAGAGAAGCTTAAAAATGTCTTGGACTCGACTGTAAGGGTCATGAAATACTGTGAGTTTAGGACGTAAAAAGGACTTTGGTCTTGTTGATTGCAAGAAGTGAAGTTGGCGGTGAACTCTGATCTCTAGATGGCGGAGCTAGGAGGCTGGGAATTTAGTTGAGGGATATCTATTTGAAATAGAAGCCGTCTGTTTTAGCACAGACGTATCAAATTGACAAGTTCATCTTGTGGCGGCCCCTCCAACTAAGAACTACTTGAAAATAATTTTAGTGATAGGGCAGATCATAATGTTTATCAATAATATTCGTCGCTAATGTGCAACTCTTAGATAAAACCTGAAAGTAGTGTTCCATAATTCTGGTATATATAATGATAGGAAAGTGAAACATGTAAATGACAAAAACGGCATTCTATGTGGTGAATTTCTGGGATGGTCATGTTCAAGCTAAGTACATCATAGATCCATTACATTTTCCAGATCTTCAATCTTCAAATTATTAAAGTAAGCACTCAAGTTTTGAGATCAGCTTGGTTCAGCTTTAATATTACAGGATTTCTTTCCATTTACCAAAGAGCATGGAGAAGATAATATATAAACATCATATTTATATAGGGTAGTGATATTGTTTTATCGATAGCATGATAGACTGAGTTCCATGACGCCACTGATAACAGCTTCTTATCTCTTATCCTTTATCGCTTATCACTCTTGGGACCAAGAAATCTGATTCAGCCCAACAAGGCGCAGTTAGCGCACGGAGGCGGATTAATTGCCACCGATAATGCCGATCGGAGCGCTGCGTGACACCAGATGAGGCTAGGAAGACGACAGATCGGTGGGTCTTTACTTGTTTCGATGTTACGCTGACAAGCCAACATTCATGCTCACATTCCGCCAAGAATTATATATAAATGTCCAAGATCCCATGATAATATAGGTATCAGCCAAAGTAATTCATTCAAATTAAAAACAACCTTCTTATATCATAAATCTAAGTTAAAACGAGCAAGTCCTACGACCGTCTCTCAGCAAACGACAACATGCAGCCATCCAACACTGTCTTTGAAGTCGACTTCAAGTGGAAGAAGATGAAGGCTTTAGTGTCAGAGAAAGACCCTCAGACGAACAACACAACACCCAAATACATAGTCGACTATCATGCCTTCAAATGCACCACCCTCGTCTTCCATCCCTACGAAGACCCTACAGCTGTAATCGGCACCGGTACACTTCACCCCGTCACGATCCACGCAGACTACGAGCTCCACGGCCAAAAAGGCACCATCAAGGCACTAAAGCGCTTCATGACATCATACACCCACCTATCATACAACTACTCCAACAGTCCTGACGGAACACCGGCTGCCATGACATGGACCAGTGCCAGCAGCTTCAAGACATGGGACTTTATTTGTCTCGACGAGCAAGAGTCTGCAGTGGCCAAGTTTTCCGCCAACTGCTGGTCTCTGAACAATGTCGGATGTGTCGAGTTCCTAGGGCCCAAGGCCAATGATCCGGCGGCAAGAGAAGAGATCTTGGTAACTGGCATGACATTGTTTTATCAGATGGTCCTCCGTGCCACCAACTTTCTGTCTCTTGGGGGTGCTATCTTTGCAAGGCCTGGGCCACTGGATAAGGAGGCAGCGCCCAAGAGACCAATGGAAAATGCGGACGGCAAGAGTATCAAGGAATTAGAAGCGACTTCAAGGATAGATCATGGGCTTGAGAAATCATAGTGTTTATCCAAAACAAAGTATTCCTTTGTAAAATTTCTATCTTATCCCACATTAGCAGCCGAGAATGGTTATGAACACTATTAGGCTCGAATACCCTCGCCTGTAAACTCTGTACCCATTCAAGAGCCATGTGGGACATGGTTCTGGATATGGCATGCACGTAAATGCTCAGGGCACTTACCTCTGCTGAAATCGTGGTGAGATTAACCAGATACAGAAAAGAATATAGCGTTCAAGTTGAAGCGGCAAAGGGTATCACATAAAATTGACAGGCAGTATGGAACAAAAGTATTTGAACACCTTTATCTAATTTATCATGGTTCGGTCTTATCAACCAGCCGATTACTAGTTGGGATTGTTTATCTTTTACCACATAGCATTCCAGGCTAGACGTCTTGCGGTTACAGTTCTCGGGGTTTCCCTAGCTGTTATGATACTCCTCTGCTGGTAGATGTTCATAGACTGGCGGCTGATTCATGCTTTCTGTGTATCCATCTATATCTAACCTTGGCCGGCTCACCGTAAATACAGACATAGCATTAAGGTTCGAGCTGGTTCTGGCGTTCGTAGTAAGCCATTAAATTGTCAATCCAGCGCCCAAACGTTGGAGGGCACCTGTCTGAGATGGAAAGACAATCTCGACCCGTCGCGTTCCCAGTCCCGTGATTCCCATTCAAGACGTTCTTGGATAAATCTTTCGATATCAAGAGGCTGACCGGGATGGAAATTGGAGCAGATGAGAGGGACGCTGTCAATACTTTCCGAAATAGAGTGATGATCGATCAAGTACTTGAGTGCCTTTGAGAGGTGACCGCCCTGCCAACGGCGATAGGGAGGTGCCCCATTGAATTGGTGAGGACGCATTCGAAACAGCTCTCGACTGGCTTGAATCGAAGCGTCGTGACGAAGCAGGATATTCTGGAAGATGTCAGAAAAAAAGGTTTTGTCAGGTTCTCCATCGAGGCAAAGCGTGTACGAGTTGCTGGGCATTCCGGCGTCTGGCAATAAGATTGCTTCTTCTAGCCATATGGAAATACCTTTAACTGCATACTCAGGAATAATGTCTGCCCCATCGTTGTATTCAGTGCGATGGGGTCCACCAACACAGTAGTATCCAAGATGATCCCAACAGGGGTGGAAAGCGGCAAGGATGCGGCGGCATAGTTTGATGTGGCGTTGTATTCTCAGCCTTGGATTGTATTTGCAGAATTCAATGAGACCCATGGCGTGAGTTGAAGGGGAGCAGACAGCATATGCATCCTCGATGAGTGTGACACCTCGGAGTTGCTGCCTTTGCTCAACGGAAAGCTGACGAAAGAATCTGATTGCTACCGCAACGGCAGAAAAACGATATTTCGCACGGAGCCCATGATTCCAATCCTTGACGCGCCGCCACATAGCCCCATCCCTCAATAACCTTCCAACCCTTGTTAGAACGGCTTTGGATGGGATGTCCCACGGATCCAAGCTTAGACCAAGGAGCTTTTGCGGATCGTGGGAGGCTGTCCAGCCAGGAAATGCTTTGTTGAGGAGGCTAGCCAGTTTGAGGCCTTGACGCTCTCCTAGGAACCGGAGACTGAACGCGATAGCTTCCCTTGCCATAGATGCGTTTTTACCCCATAGCCTTACCCGTTCATCACCCCAGTCTCCAATTATGTCGCTTACATCACGACTTTCCTCCCAGTATTGAAAGGCATAGCCACTGAGGCCACTGGGATCTTTCTTGAAAAAGCCACGGCTGCTATAGACCCTCTCTAGACGGTTCTTAAAATCCGGCATCAAATGTGGAAACTTTTCTTGTAATGCCGATTCCAGTTCGGGAGGCATTTCAGTGCCTTGGAGATGATAAATGAGATCTGCCTTCAGAATGCAAAGAAAGTGCGATAGGAACTGGTGGCGGCCAGCCCAAGCCCTCCACTCAGGTGAGAAGAAGGTGGAGAAGGAGATGTTGTTAAGCGTAAAAGGTAAATGTTTGGTATCGTTTGCAATTGAGCGGCAGGTATACATCAACGAGAAGTCAATCAGTTGACCATCAGCGGTGGTGAGCTTTTCAGATTCGCTACTGAAGACATACCCTCCTTCCACGCGGAAGTAGTCCTGAAAGATCTTGATGCGCACATCGTACGGGAGCGTGACGAGGTTGGGGCGAGCCATGGTGAGCGGAACATACACGAACGTTGAGATCACAAGGAAGTGTCCGCCCCAGAAAAATACTTGGGCTGATTTAGAGGAATGAAGTTCGAGAGAGTGGGGAGAGACAGGTATTTATAAACGAGCGGCGAAGAATTGCTGCCTGGGGCTATATAGAACTCAGTCTGCAGCCAGCTCCACCAAGGAAAAGCATAATTTGAGCACCAAGAGGTCAAGTAAATTCGGGAACATCACTAGCTTTGAGAAATTCTGTCTGTGACTGATTCTAGTTGTGTTTCTCAAGGAGTCCGGCGGCGAAATCAAGGCATCAGAGGTTCGACTTCTTGTTATGCGGAACTGTCACGTATTAATCCTTCTTCTCTGCATCCTCAAAGGCAATCCTCCTCCATGTTTTGGGATAACCTTTCTCGATCCGCCACTTTTCTGACGTGTCCTTCACCGACATGGCGAAGTCCTTTCTCCAGCCCCTCTCAAAATCCCACTCTCCCATCATCTTTGCACCAAGATGCCAAGTGAGAATACTCTCCGCACGAGCGCCCTCCGGGGCATGTAACAGTGCAACAGCGACGTCAATAACCTCTGGACGATCGTCAACGGTGTAGAATACCGTCGCAGAGCAGCGCGAGCAGAAATATCTTTGAACGTCAGGCGAGCTTCGATAGATCGCGAGCGTGCCATAACGAGGGTCTCGGTCGGGATTATCAACTGCACTCTTCAGATCATGTGTATTTCGCGGAAAGTTGGATCCAATGGTCTTCTTGGGGAAGTCAATCTGTTGAGGCATGACAAATGTCCAATTCATTATGTCAACGCCAACTGACAAGCGACATGAGGGGCATGGATCGAGTGTCGCAAGGTGTTTATGGGACTTTGGCTCGATATACGACGGAATCGCATCAGCCTCCATGGTAGAGAAGTCCACGTTGCCGGGACGGAAGACAAGATCAACTCCCTTGCAATGGCAGCGAATAGGTATATCTGTAACTGGAGGAACTTCAGACCTAGCATCTTGATTGGCGGCTGGCCAACCTTCGTCCAATTCTCCACCATCCTTAGGTCTCTCCATCCACCTGCGAGGCTTGTCCCTGTCACCATGCACATTCTGAAGCCACGGAGAAACGCCTCCATCGACCGTATCACCAACGAAGATTTGCCTCGTAAAGTTAATGAGGTTGTCAACATCAACATTATTCAAGACTCCCGTGAAAACGCCAAAGTTCTGGGGCTGATCTTTGTAGTGAGCATCCCAGAACATCGGACATGAACATGAGCCGCAGAACAAAATTTCGCAATTGGAGGTAAATTTGTAGGATTTCAGATCAGAGCTGTGAATCTCATCTGCTGAACCAGGCCAGTCTATGTTGCTGTTGTACATGGCGCCGGTAGCGTTTCGGCATGAGGTGCAGTGGCATATAGACGCAGGTAGAGGGAGTTTTGATCGGGGCACTTTGGTGGTGAAGGTATGCGCTTTGCAGAGGCACTGGGCCGTGAGGGTGATATTTTGATCCTCAGTAGTCATCGTGTTTGTATTTCGAAATACTCCAACTGATGGGATGCTTTGTGAAAAAAGTCAAAATATGCAATTGAAGAGTTCTTTGTGAAGTCGTTAACGGTAGGCAGCATTAGGGACCGTGAACTTTGTACCCCGCCCCCAAGGGCGTGAATGATGACCAGAACCGCTCTTGTCGCACAATGACGTCGTTTGACGGTAGCAGCAAATTTCTTCAAGGCTTACCCGTAGCTCATAACTATGCAGCCCCCAGGGAGCAAGATAACTTCTGATATTAAACTAAGATGCCATAAATACCTAATCCAAGATCTACTAAATCTATACTAAATTATACTAACTTTACCTAAGTCTTTTATTACTGAGGATAGAGGTCCTAAGTTTTCTTGCCTCCGCTTGGCGGCCTGATTGAATCGATTTCCTCCAGGCAAAGCATCGAGCTTTTAAGTAGAGCGTTATGTTTTGGTTCGTGTGTAGTTTGTGACGCTTTATTGGCTTCTCCTGCACAGCCCCTGCACAGCCTCACGATGCTTTACTGCGAGGATTCCTCGCCCGACTTCTGTGGCTGACGTGATGCCGCCCCCAAGATAATGATAGCCTTTTAAACATCGCCTTGATGGAAGGTTATTTTAATATATAAATCTCAGTCACCCGCACCTGAACTCAGTAGAAAATCTGATTCACTAACATGTCACCACCAAAATGTCTGAAAAGACCAAATCCGCGTTCTTCGACTACACCGAAGCCTCATCCGCTGCACCGCCACCATTTAGCCAAGCCGTGTCTAACGCTGGGCCATCAACTTTCCAGAGTCGCTTCGCATCTATCACGAGACATGGACTTGATCGCATCAGGCTTGTCAACTTCTCCGAGGCCGAAATAGCGGCTGTCCACGAAATTGTAAGGACATATTGGGACCGCGGCATTGACAAGGTCTATCCGCAAGAGGCGTCGCGGGAGTTCAAGTTAGGAGGCTATGCATGGGGATATGACCCGAATGGTAACGAGCAAGCGATGATGTTGACGCTTCGGATACTGGAGGGTATGCATAGTTTGGGGTGGGTGATTTATTCGCCTATTGAGGTGACGAAGAGAGTCTCGACGAAAGGTGAGTAGACAAGGCATGTTTGCAAGCTGGGCGAGATATACTGACGTGTTAGATGCACTTATCTTTCGCAAAGTGAATCACATCCCCCCTCCCTGCGAATGGATAAACGTGTCTTTCCACGGCGGAGACAAACTGAAAATTCTCAACTTCCCGCCTTCAGATCTTGTCAACGACATCATGGCGACTTTCATGATTGACATACAACGACATGAGGTTACACCAGACCGCGCTAAGATCAAGTTTAAAGGATACCCGTGGAGACCACTGGAATCCGATGGAGCTGAGACTCAGCTGAAGCTGCTGGCGTTGCTTGAAATCTTTGAGCGCCACGGTTTCACGTTATACGCGAGGACGAGCGCGAGATTCGCTGATGAGACGAGCGAGTCGAATGTCTTGGTGTTCCAGAGACGAAGGGACTGGGCGGCGGGGAAGTCTCTATACGATCAACTCTGACTCATGCATGAACTGGCGATTGTTCGTATTTACTGCTGTTCGAGACTTGATCTCACGAGATGATTCATCATGACCTGTAATAATTCTTCATCATTTCCTTTGTAGAACGATAGATTGCCATTTCCTCATTCAACATTACGTCGTAGTCGATATATATCAAGTCTGTAGGAAAACTACACAAAGTCCTTGTTCCTCTTCACAGCCAAGAATGTCAAACTCCACAACTGCCGAACATTACTCTCCGTTCCAGAGCTCAGTCCCGGAGGGGGCGGCAAAGTGCCTAAAGGCGCGAACTTGTAACCATTCTTCGAACTGTAACTCCAGCTCCAGACCTCTGACTGCAACCTCTCGCCATTATCCTCGATGATATCCCATAAACGATTATATGCGCTCTTTAGAGCTGTGTGCACCCCAGTATTGCTGCAAAACGCAGGAACATTATCGTCATCCTTGGATTGTGATGATGAACATCTTGCAAGCTGACGCTCAAGACCTTTAGCCATGAGGGCGAGTTGCCAGCTCCAGACTACAGTGCCGTGATACGCGGCGTTGGTGAAGTTGGCAGTGAATATCTCGTTGCCTGCTAGTGCTGGATTTGCAACCACAATGCCGAGGGGAGTACTGAGACCGGCTGGGAATGGGCGGAGGATGGCGTTGGCTGTTGCGTTCAAGAAGGTCGTGAGCTGGGAATCGTTGGTTGAGTTGAGAAGAAACAGACGGAATGCCGTGTCAGTGTGCGTGATGCGTATCTTCTCCTCATCCTTGGTAGTGTTGATGGCCAGAGCGTAGTCAACGACTTTCCCAGAAGTTGAGTAGTTAGAAACTGAATCTGCATGAGTCGAGCCGTCGTAGAAGGTGTTCTCCTTGACGTAGTCCTTCAAGTTTGAAGTAGCCGTATCAACAGTGAGATTGTACTGGAACAAGTGCAGGGTATGGTCCTCCCAGATCTTAGCCCTCTTCGCCGCGACGGAACTCCAATCCTTGGTCACAGAATTATTGGGATACACCCCTTCAACCTTGGCCAAGTTGGAAATGGCGTACAGTGCCGCTGGGACGAGAGCGCAGTTTACGTCGAAGGGTATGCGTCCATTGGCAAGACCATAAGTTGAGTCTCTCCATTGGCCTACCAGCTCACCCTTCTTGAGCTGGATCAAGTTCTTCACCGACTGTTCTTTCTCAAACGCTGCTGTGATGTTTATAATCTTCTGTGCGTTGATGTAGCTCAAATTGCCCCATGTCAGATTCCGATTCTCGACATCAACTTCGCCAGCCTTTGTGCTAAGCAATGGTTTAACTCGCTTTGGTGTAGCGCTGAAATAGCGATCCATGAGGACTGGCAAGAAGTAGTCTGTATCAATCATGGGATAGGTGAACCCTGGTGCCGTCGAATCAATGCCGTTCTGTAAGTTCAGAAGTGTTGCGTAGTCCCCGATGGTCTCCTCGTGGCAAACCGACCCGTCGGTGCGATTGATCCGTTCCAAGACCGCGCCGATGACTGCTTCCAGAGCCGAGCTATTCCCCGCACTGAGGACGGGTTCGAGCAGAAGCGCGGCGATCATGGTGTCGCGGCCAAAGTACGTTAAGAAACGCCAGCCACCTGCGAGCAGCTTGTCGGTATACGAGAAGAAGGACAACGACCTGACCTCAGACTGCTCTTTTTCAGCAAGAGCCTGCGACTGGTTGTTGAGGACCTGTTGGGGAGATAATTGCTTCAGTTGAGGATAATTGAAAGATGCCGAAAATTTGTAGAAACCTGCACCAAAACTAACGGTGTCGTTGTAGATCGACAGGCTGCTATCCTTATTTTGCCATGGCTCCAGCAACAGGCTCGTCGTCGTCACATTATCCAACCATAGCCTTGAGATGAGCACACCACCACTTTTCACTCTCGTGACGTTTGTGGCATTCTGTATCACCGGATTGATGATACTCGGCCCCTCAGTGAAGTCTCGGATGTTGCGGATACTACCGAGGATAGCAACTGTGAGGTTCGCCGACGAGTTGAACGACAGAACGCCCTCGACTCCAACATAGGGATAGTCGGATCCTTTTTCTTCACGATTGATCACACCGAGTGGCGATCCGAGAGTCGAATTGATCAGCTCAATAGCTAGAGTTCCATTCTTCTCATCTTGGGGTTGGAAGAAGGTGCATATACCGCTGTTCCCCGCAGGCCACGCAACAATGAGCCGTGGACCGATGATTGACAGATTACTATCCGGAAGAGGGCTTGTTACAACGACTTGGGCGTCGGTGTTGCAGTCAGAGTAGAAGTAGTTCTCATAAGGTGGATCGCTGAGCTGTTGTGTGATAACAGGGCATGAATCGCCAAACGCGAACGTGGCATACAAGACAGCCAAAAGCACTGCAATGAAGGATGTCATTTTTCCGGGTAAGCAGAATAAGACTTCAATTAGAGACTCAAAAGCCCAAAGGTCAGGCTGGATGGCCATGTCATGCTTATAAATTACTCAAGATCGACATACAGACTGCGGGGTTGGCTTGGGATTTGAAGCTAGCAAAACAAGAAATGGAAGCCGTTGGCACCATTTCGAGTTACTGGGCCTTTAAAGTTTGGGGAAGTTGTAAACGATGACGACAACACAGGGCAACTTATACGCGGACCCAAAACTCGAATGGCGATGCACTTGCTGTCAGGTTGCCCGAGACGACTGAGATACACGTTCCTGTCCTTCATGCTACACCGGAGTCTTTAAAAGGTGACAATCGATATGAATTCTTCGGTGCTATTGCTTATTATCAGCTTTGTCAAACCATATCAAGTCGCCAACAAGTGACTCTAGATCCATTCCCATCTTTACCACGCTGCCATCCTCTATCATAAACTCGGTCCTCAGGATTTCATCGCCTGCCTCAAATGCATCTCGCACATGCGCATCATACACCGTTTGGCCCCGTTTGTGTTCAAGTCTAGCCGTGAATCCCATTGAGCGATCTGTCGCATCGATGAAAAGCCCGTTGTCTCTGATCTCTACCTTCATGTTGCGATAACCGGGGTTCCAATAGTCGCCAGCATATTCTTGAAGACTCACATTCCTTTGCAAGGTAGCACTCGATCCAACTATAGTTGAAATGTCGTCCTTTTGGTCCTTTCCCTTGCCACCGTTGGTCTTGACCATTCCACATGGGTGGCTCTGCGACTCTGACTTCGGCTTCCCGCGCACTTCTGGCGGCTTCGTGTGCACATCTCTGTTAGATATCGCGCTCAATGGCTGCCACCTCATATTAGACTTGATGACTATCTCGATGAACTCACGAAACAGTTGTGCAGCTACTGAATTGGTCCCCGAAGAATTGCCCATCACAACTGCTCCAAACTTAAGATCCGGTAGAAACACAAAGCGACTACCAAAGCCTGTGATATCGCCGCTATGCCCAAGAACTATGTGTTCGTCTTGCCAGTATAGATCCATGCCCGCTGTATAGAAGAGGCGGTCAATGCCGGCCTTCCTTTGGCGATGGTTGGCACCTCTTTCAGACCGCGGTCGAGCCAATCCTTGGTATACATCATCACTTATTGGCCCGTCGCGATCCATCAGCGCTTTGAGAAACTTGATGAAGTCGCTGGCGCTCGAGATTACCGACCCTGCGCCTTGGCCCTCTGGACAGCTCACTGCCTCGAACTCGCGATATGACGTGGTCTTCCTCTCCCAAACATGCCCTTTTGCGAGACGATGGCCGTGACCTCTAGCTTTGGCGCCTTCGGGTTGCAGACTGCTCGACGTCATGGCAAGACGATCAAAAATGCGCTCTTGTAGGAATTCGTTGAACCTTTGTCCGCTCTTGACTTCTATAAGATGTGTCAGGACGGTATACATCATGTTGCAGTAGATGTAGCGTGTTCGAGGTGGCGCAGCGACAGCGAGATTTCGCAGATTTCGCGTAATTGATCGCGAATCATCAGGCACAGCAGCGCGTATCCCCATGTATGAATCATCATGGCTACACCGCTGTTAGCCAAGTCTATCGGACGCAAGTGATGCTTACCCAGGCATGCCAGTGTGGTGCCCCAAGAGATCATCTACAGTGACGGTATTGGTGTGCAGTTCATCCGACATGACAAAGTCGTCGGGTAGCAGTTCAGATATGATTGAGTCATATTGGACTTCTGGAAAGCTAGAATCTTCAACTAAAAGAGCGATTGCTGCTGCAGTAAGAGATTTGGAGGAAGATGCAATGTCAAACAGCGTGTCTGGAGTGCATGGTTCTTTTGCCCCGATAGAGGCAAAGCCATAGCCTGCGGACTTGACCTGGTCACCCTGGATGATTGCGATAGAGAGGCCAGGAACACGGTTCTTTTGCATCAAAGTCTCGACATGATGACTGAACTTTGGCGAGTTGAAGAGGTCCATGTTTTATTGCTTTGTGAGGAAAAGATATAGCATTCCGCGTTGCTTGAAATCATGGTCGGAAGAGTAGCTGAGGCGTAAGCATTGATGCCTCGGCTGGTTTATTAGCCTTGCTGACTGTGCCAGGAGCCCAATGTAACTAGTGGAAATAAAACTAAACATGAAAACCAAAGTAAAGTAAACGAGAAGCAAACTACGATCTCGCGTATTCAAAAAGATTTTTGACCCCATCCTCCTCCAGGTCCTGTCCAAATTCCCACGGATGCAGGAAGAATTTGCTAATCCCTTCTACGTGGGCCTGTGCGTCCTTCTGCCCGTGCTCATTAGGACCCGCCATCACCTCACGAAGCTTCTCCGCTCCAACTTCAACGATTTCATTGCCGAGAGCGCCAGCACAGATAGCGGCTCCAACCCGTAAAGTTAAGGGTACGCCTAGTAGGAGAACTTGTGTCCCGATTGCGGCAGCGGCTGCTCCGACCCCCTCCTTGTATCCCTGAATTAGGCTTTCCTTGGCAAGTTCGGTGAAGTACTGATCCAGGGTGTACGTTCCCATTTCCCTCATGCGTTCTAGGGACATGCCCGACAGCCGAGTTTGTGCTTTCTGTTCCATTATCGGGTTGTCTGCCTTCTGGTTGTTTAACTATTCATGCTCATTTGTGATTTTGGCGTTGTCCTGAGAGCCGGAGATGAATCTCGAAGAGGTTTGAAGAACTTTTGATGGCCAGGATCGTTGATAGGGCTGAATACCTGGTGTCATTTTCGTTATTTTGTTCATTCTCAGCACGTTCTTGAATACTGGCATAACTGCCATTTGCATTGCTTTTAACAGGCTCGTTCCGCTGGGATCAGCGTATTTCACCAGATCGTTACCGCAGTAGCAGTACAAGTTTTGTCCGTCCTTGGTTCCAATAGGATCTGGCGACATCCAACGCCCAAGCCACGGAGCATAGTACCGCGCATTGCAGTAGTAGAGCCCAGTCTCCTTGTCCCTCTCGTAGCCAGCAAATTTGTACCTATCCGTCTTTCTTCAAACTTTACGCGGGCTTCTGAAGAATATGGAGGCAGCATATGATCTGTGTATAAGGCTTCGGAAATACTCCGCAATATCTGGAGGCTACCACTGGTAAATCTGGCGAAAGCCAATTCTATATTATCGCTTGAACAGCCGATGCCAACGATGCGATACTTGCGAGTGACAGGAGGCATTGGCTTCACAAAGATCCCATTGCTCTTGTCGAGGACAGGCAGGCAACTTTCGTTCTCTATGTACGGCTAACTCCATCCGTTTCCTGCTTGGTTGAGATAGACATGTAAGCGCCACTGGCAGGCATGTAAATAAGGTCGTTCGTGTCCGAGCCCTTGATATTCACCAATCCTATTCTCTCATCAATGGATATATCGTTTTCCAGCGCTGGGATACCGTACATGCAAACAGGCTCGCTGAACCACCCGTGTGATAAATTCTGCTAGTACGTGACATATCCTGAAGATGTACAATGTCTGGCCAACCGTCACCTGTCATGTCAGCAAAGGTGATCTGTACTCTGGGGTCATCACACATCAGCTGCGGAACATCCGTCCTATTTTCAGATCGTCTCAGTGAATCAAACCCGGCTGTGCCGATATTCCTTTGCCACATAATCTCTCTGTTCACGACATCGACCGCCACGAGGTCCGCGAGACCATCGCCTGTAAGATCAAGTTGTTTAAGGAATGTAGCCGTTGTATCTCGGTTTGTAATCGAAAAGAATGTCGTGTAACCAACCAAATCCTCATTGTGCTGGTGGTAAAGGCCTTCCAACCCGTTCGCATTGTCTAAACAGACAAGCTCAAGATTTCCGTCCTGATTCAAGTCCTCAAATCTGCTGACTTACCCAAGGTTCAATTATAAGTACTCTATAATAATTTAAGCCCTTAGCTACAAGTCTTAACTATAAACAATATATCTAGCCTATAACTTGAATATTATATTAAAATACTTAATTAATTATTATAATATAAAGCTAATGTAAGGAAAACCTAAGTTTTAAATTTTTAATTAAACTCAAAGGTATATAAAATAATAACTCTTATACTAATAAAGGTATTTTTTATTAATAATACCTAAATTTAATAAATCCTTATGATAACATATATAGATTTAAAATTAAATTACATATTATAATATAATATATAACTTCTTTTATATGTTAACTAGCTATAATAAGCTTTAATAATATAAAGGTTAACTAATGGTTTTATAAAAATATATATATTAATACTATTAGGGCTAAGAAGAAGGTTAGACCAGTTATAAAAAGGTTTAGGATAATTACAAGCTTATAGCAGCATTGAGTTTATGAGTTAGTTATAAGGTTAATGGATTCACTTTTCCTCTAACAAAATAGCAAGGTTCGGTTCGGTCGGGTCTGTATTATCATATATGATCCAAATTGTGGGGACGATGAATTCTCTGTGACATTGTAGTTCTTACGGAAATTCCAAGGGCCGCCTGAACGCTGCTCAAGGAGACCATGGGCTGCATCTCTAAACATATCCACCCACTGCCACTCGTTCCCAGCAGGGGTAGGTAAGTTTGGTAAGTGATCGGTATTTATGTGTCTAACTTTGGCGTTAGATATATCGATGGGATTGTTATACTGGAACTTGTATCACGGTAGCGCTTGGCTTTTCATCATCTGTGTTTCGTGATTTAGCCAATTGTCCCTGTTCTGCCAGTGCAGATAGGAACGAGGCCACGGGTAACTCTTCATACTACATCGTAACAAACAGAGATGGCGGGAGGAGATCCTAATGAACAGGCTCTCTCTTGAACTCTGCAATTAACTTCCATGGTTGCATATTTGACCTTGGAACCGGCACAGAGATGTGGGCGACTAATAGTTAGCTATTGATTGTAATTAGACAGAGAATAAGACCTAGTAGCAGATGACAATACTAGTGCCACTGTGATTGGAATTAACCTCAGTCCTATGTCTATAGCCTAAATGGATACCACCATATTGCAATTTTAATAATATAGTTAGATGCTATAAAATAGAATTTCCTCTTTCTACTTATTTACCAGATAGAATTCACTTCTGTAACATCACTATAGCTGTTAAAGATAAGGTAAAGGTTCTTGAGTAGATTGAGAGGTATGGGCAACCAGTGTAATTTGCACTTATTTTATTGAACTCTTGTGCTAATCCAAAGACATCTGCTTATATACTTTTTATTGTATTGTAGAAAATTAAATCTTAGAGGTTATGGTAAGCTTTAAGACATGCTGTGATGTCTATATATCCAAATCAATAGTGTCATCGAGCCCCATACATGCACTAAAGTAGAGCTTTTCTAATACTAGCTAAGGCATTTAGTGACTTTGGTATCAGGCCTAATGCACTTAGATACCTACAAACCAGGCCAGAGCCAGCTGGGCTCAAGAATCTTATTTCCAAGGAATTTATTATCCCTCTGGGCTAATGATTAACGAGTCCTGAAGACAAAGAGATGGGGTTTATTCTTAAATGGGTTCTGCAGCTTGTAGTAAAGCCTGTGACAAGCCGTGTTCTTCGGATCGGGCTCAACTACGATACATATGAAGTCCAAACGCTGGCTCAGAGTTCAAGGGGGCGCTGAAAGATTGCTTTAAGGATAAAACTATGTTCAAGGTTCTTGTTGTCCATGATCAGAAGTGTAAAGCATTGGGGTATAAGAGCGCGACTTAGGAACGCCTGTCACTGGTAGCCTAGCTTATAAAGAACTGCTTTTATAGGTGATGATGTATTGATTTTGCTATCCATCATATGTATTATATGCTCTTCGGTAGTGTCCTTCTGTTAAGTAGAAATACTTGTTTTATTTTATTTATTACCTCTGGAAAAGTCAGAATTCTCTTGATATCTCCTCCTAGTTGTGGCTCCACAAGATTAGTTGTCCCTGAAGGCTTAATAAAGAAGCCATAACGTTTCTGCGCCCTTTGTAATGATATGTCGTGATCTAGCCACCACTGGTCAGTTGGGACAAGATCTCCTGAAGCCATCATAGCCACAGTCTGGTCGTAGACCTGTTTATCTTTCATGTCCCTCTCTAATCGTACCTCCAGTGCATCATACGTTTCCTCTGCCGGGGATATATCACTCCGGTGCCCGTCTCGGTAGATACGTGCTTCATACACTCTACCCTGCCGAGCCAAAGCCAACATGATATTGTAATGGGAGACATTGAAGAGGTCTCGGACATTCTTAGCCGCCAAAGCCTCTTCTGGCAGTTGATTCAAGACATCGAGGGCTTCCCTATGCTGGGCTTCGGCAAGCTCAAACCTGCCACGGGCCTGTAACATGACGCCAGCTGCATTGGCTCGACCCGCAGTATACAAAGATGGTAGTTCCTGTGTCATTTTGCATACTTGCACGAACTCAGTTCGCATTCCCCACAATCGTTCAAAGTCAGGTGATTGAAGGAGCTGCAAAGAAGCGTTAAGATTGCCCAAGAAAGTCCACAGAGCGCATTGAAACTCCGGATGACATGCTCTTCGTGGTAGACCCTGCTTGGTGGCCAAGGAAAACAGCGTTTCAAAAAGCTCTAGCGAGGTTAATTGTACCCGCGAGTCTCCATCTAGCGCCTCGAGTGCTGAGAGAACATTGTTCACTGCGACCCATGTGTCAAGACTCCCTATACCATGCGTGGCGAGGGTGGCTTGAAATACAAGGTTGAATATTTCCAAAGCTTCCATGTGTTGGTTCGGCGAAGCGTTGTCCTTGTCCGCTATAATTTGTCCACGAAGATTTAGAAAGGCATGGTAAGAACGGCGATCCACTTTGACAGAACCATCTGACCTCAACGAGTCTTTCAGAACCTCTAGATTTAGGACCTCTGCCTCATCAAATCTGGCCAGCCGATGTAGGCTGTGGGCTTGGTTGTGACGGGCAACCAACTGCGCGGATTCGACCGAAGGGCTTTGCGGGCCCATCCTTTGTATTTCTGTGAGGATGTCGACAGCCTGGCTTGAGACGTCAAGTGCTGCTTGATGATCGAACATCTCACTGAGGATGATTCTCTTAGTAGAGAGCAAATTACCAATCTCGCCCAGCCGCTCAACCTCCTCTTCCATTGAGCCATGTCGTGCTGATTGCAAGTACTCTAAGCCTCTGTCTATATCCTCTAATGCTTTTTGGTACATCTGGCTGTTCTGCAAGCAGTCAATCTTGGTTTTGCGAACATAGAATGTGGATATGTCATGAGGCCCCCACATTGCCGTTGCCAAGTTAAGAGCACGGGTAGATATCAACAAAGCAGATTTTAGGTCTCCAAATTCGTTTAGGTAACTGCTGTATACTTGCATCAACCGAGCCAGTTGTTTGCTTTGTAGACATAAGTTCTCGGAAACAGTAATGGCTCGGCGGCAATGAGATGAAAGGAACGAACACAACGCCCAGTCCGGGGAGTCGGAAGAGTGGCTTGTTGTAAGGGGAAATGATATGCAAAGAAGGGATACTATCTCGTCAACAAACTTGCAATCCGTTGATCCGACTTGACTCCAGGCATACCCATGCACCAGGGGGTGCATTTGCAGTACCGAAAACCGTCCCAAGTCGTGTTCTTGGACGAGAGATAGTTGAAGCGCTCTTGCAATCGTTCTTCTGAACTCGATTGGACTAAAGTCCCTGAACTTAGGCAACTTGCGCATTAAATCGACAGGAATCCTGTCCCAATGTAGGCAGGACATGTACCCAAGCAGCAGTACGGTCGAGGGCGAGGATTCTCGTAACCTATTCAAGGAGACACCCCACGTCTTGTTTACTGATTGCTCCGCATTTCTGGGGTCCCGTGCGTTTCTATCCCGGACTGGCACACGGAAGCTGCTGGAAGGGTCCATGTCGTCATGGAAGAGCTTGATATAGTCCCGAAGGGATACCTGCTGGTCCCTGATATTGGCAGCCGCCTGCGCGATAGCAAGGGGAAGGTTGCCCAGCATGTTCACGAGATAGGACGGAGCTTCTTCTGTCTCGCTGGGGATCTTCCGAAGTCGCCCCGGGATAGATTTTGTCAGGAGTTCTATACTCTCTTCTCTTTCCATAGGCAGAACATTTATACCATCTTCTGCAGTGGCAACGTCTCCCTGAAACCTTGGATCTCTGCTGGTGATAAGAATACGCCCGGATTTGGGCAGGTAGGGGTCCATGGCCTGTCGGTACTCGTCAAAGTCATCCGTATTATCCATGACAAGGAGCCAGCCTGCTGGGTTGGCCTCCAACTCGGAGCATGTCTCTTCAAGTAGGGTGGGAAGGTCCTGTATCGCATTCGCTAACTGACGGTCAGGGTGAATCTGGGGCAACAACTTGGCATAGCTTTGATTAAAATTGCTAGGCTGATCTGCGGGGATCCAGAAAACCTTGAGCCGAGTCTTTATCATCTCAGCGAACTTGAGTGCTAGCTGGGTTTTCCTGACCTCCAGTTAGAATCTGCGGCAGAAACTTTCACATGTGGCATACCCAACACCAGCAAGGCCCCAGAGGACAAAAATCTGCGGTTTCGTGCAATTAAAGTTCCAGAAGTATTCGCGAAGACGGCTTTGATAAAAGTGTCTCTGCACAAAATTATTGCATGGATTGCTAAGTCTTGGCTGGCAATTTGAAAACAGGGGCATATTGACTATATATAGATCAGCTGGCAGATCCTGCTCACAGATGCCATTATAGGAACTAGAGTACTAACGAAGTGCATCTGGATCGTTGAGAGCTTGAGCACACAGCTGTACGAGGTTACCCGTCCCCGACTTTGACAGATACTCGGTCGTTGCGGCATTAAGTTTCTCAGTCTCCTTCCACTCGTCGAGTTTCAGAGTCTGCAGGCCTTGAGGCACATTAAAGCGGAAATACCTCCCAGAGCTCTCCAACTGTCGGCCAAACGGAGACTTGACAAACTCCTCCGCCGTGTCTTCAGAGTCAGTCAAAATCTTAACTACAGCCTTGATAAGTGTAGTAACTGAAGTTGAAATCTTGGCTGCTTCAACAACACCAGTGCCAATGCTGACCAGGCAGCCTAGCGACCGCCCTGACCATCCTCTCTCGAGCTCACGGTTGAGTTCATTAACGGCTTCGTCGATGGGATTGTTCCGGCGCATGCCTCCATCGCAGAATAATTCACCTCCCGCGAGCTTGACAGGATCGAAGAATGTTGGAGCAGCGGCGGTGGCGCTGGCTGCCTCCCAAATGGAGCATTTATAGTTCTCCTGCGTTGGATGGCTGCTGATATAGCTCCGGAGAACATCGGGGCGGCTGTTGATGCCCCGAGTGACGCATACCATGCTATCAAGTAATCAGCAATTGGTTGCGCACGAAACCGTGTGGGTAGGGCTGGACTAACACCTTGCAAGAATTTCCCCGGCCGTCTTCAACAAACTGACTGTCCGGTTCCATGTTGCAAGACGCAAGCAATATCCGAATCTCCTCCTGAAGCTTGTTGATATCATAGAGCGCGCTGCTGGTCGCCTGTTTAAACATTTTACCTAATTTGTTCTGAGATATCGGTTTGTCGAACACAGCCTTGCCCGTCTTCTCGTACTGAAGCAGGCATTCATCGATGGACAGGCGAAGGCGCCCGAGCATGATCGCTATCAGGCCACCGGTTGAAGTACCTACAATGAGGTCGAAAACTTCACATGGCAGAGGTTCTTTGTCGAGGCCGCCTTCTGTCACCATTGTTCGGAAGATGCGCCTTAGAATTAGAAGAGAACCGTATCCCTTAACACCACCGCCGTCCAGAGAAAGTATGCGGAGTCCCATTGGATTATTGGCCATGATCCCCTAAAGGCTTCACTATAGAGCCTCAGTAAGTCTAGGCGGGAAAGAAGAAAATGCAGGTTTCGGCAAGGCGTTTGGGAACATCTGAACTCTGATAGATAACTTCATATGTAAGGTTTAAAAAGCGGGGTTGGGTTGACACCTGAAAAGTTCACAGAGCTGAACCCTTCTGGGTAGACACTGCAGAGTACTATGTATGTATCAAAGCGTTTACTCGCGCAATTCTATTGGGCTCAGAGGTTGAAATCAGGCGTGGCCTGAAACGTAGCTTCTAAGTGGCCAACCGTACTGCAGCATGGTCGGTGGCATACAAAATTAGCCTATATCTTTTGATTGGTATTCTTGCCGCTTGTTTATGTAGAGCTGTGATTACCCCTCCTATTTCACGTGTCTCGGCCATGGCGCTCTGACCTGAAGAGGAGGAGATAAAGGTGGTGCCTGTTTTCCAGGCGAGATACATCAGATCATAAAATTTTCTCACACTTACAATCACTCACCACCCCGCTACGCGACGTCGCAGCCAGCAGAATCAACAATGAGGTACGCCTCTCTTTTCAGTGATTGATCTTTTGTCTCACTAGTAACCTTTGCCTATGAACAGCTTTTCTTTTGGCTTTGTTCCTAATCAGAAGAGTATAAATTTGAACGATATGCCGATTTAAATGGTTTGTACTAATGGACAATGAAAGGCGCTAATAATACCGCGAAACTTGGTACATGGGACAAGCCAGTACCTATCGACTCCTACCGAGATCGCATACACAATGAACTATGGGAATTTAAAACGTTTAATTGTCACCCGGATTATCAAGATTTCAGCGTCGAGGAACATAGGCTCGAGGACTATAAGTACGGCAAGGGCCGCAATGCTGCGCACATTGTCAATTCGAATGCTGAGAGCCTTTTCGCGCCCAACTCGGAAGTTTTGACCAAAAAGACGTTAGGTGACAGAGGCAAAATGCAACTGCATGTCACACTATTACACTAACTGAAATATGGCTAACTCAAACAGACTTCAAGGCAGCGGAGTGGAAATTCAAGTCGGAACAAAACCACCATCACCGAGCTGGGATGAAACAAAGTCATTCAACACATGGTGTCTGCCCATAAACTTGGTCTCACATTACTCGCCTTACCTAAAAGAAATCTGCTCCTCAAATCTTCAGGAATCCAACAACCGAATTAGGCTTCAGGACCATCAACCTGATGTGTTTGGCCTTTTTGTGGAGTGGATGTACTATGGAAGCTATGACTATTCCTCGTTGGCATTGATTTCTAATGCTGATGCGAAATGTTGGGCTCTTGGTGACAAGCTTCGGTCCCTCGAATTCAAAAACTACTCAATGCGTCGTATTTATGAACAGCACACAAGGCCTATATTAGGACGAACTATGACCCGCGACGACGTCCAGTACGCATGGGATAACACTGCACCCGGCTCAAAGTTGAGAAACTTCTACATGAACTTTGTCGTAGAACACTTTGGCAGTCCAGCCAAATTGCTTGGTTCTTCGACAGATTGGGATACATTCCTCCAAAGCCAGTCAGAAATTCGGATTCCACTATTAGAAAAATTTAGGAAGAGCACCTTTTCGCCGAGTCGTGTGGGAAGCATTGATGAATATCTGGAACCCAACAATCTTCCTTTCAACTTACCTTCGCAGCGGAAGAGCGAGCCGATTCCATTGACAACTATCGCAAAAGCGGGAAAAGCACCAGTTTTCAACTTTAATGAAAAACCTGAAGGACAGGTAAGTTGTGAGCGGAGAATAAACTTATATAAACGGTAGAGAATGTGTATGAGGGTGCTCCTTGATTGACAGAATGAAAGGCTTACCGAAATTCGAAAAGGAGCTGAAGCTGACGCATTATCAGAAAAGCAGTCCCCAGCAGAGAGAGCCTTTCCAGTTGGCTTCGAGGACAAAGAACTATGAAGGAGCGGCACTCAAATTTGGATGGAAATTTGGAGAAAGTGTAAGTTATGAGCGGAGAATCAACCTATACTAATCATAGGCAAAGGGTTATAACAGAACCCTCGAGTCATCTGACAGGAGAATTAAGGGAAATAAGAAGAGACTTAAGCTAACGGATTATTAGACAGCCAATTCTGCAAGTCCCAGTATCAAAACCGTTCAGCCAAAACAAGACTCTCCTTCAGAGCTCAATGCCGAACCCATACTAGGACATGCGAATCAATGCATTACGAGTGTTGGCAAATCAGATGATGTCAACAAATCGCCTGGAGCAAGAAAGGAGACAGAAACTGCTAAAGGAGGAACTGACAATAATAAGAAATCGGGATTGGGGGAGGCCAGCACTTGATTAGGTCGATGAAACAGAGAAATGCAATGCTGTGGGGAAGAGGCAAATTACCAATAAGCCTTGAGTTACTATTGATAGAGTTAGATATAGCCCGAAGTTTTGCAAATTATAAGAGAAGTATACTTTGTATATTTAATATCTTGGAAAATTATGAAGAGTAGAATGCCGCCTGGATTAGAGCTAGTTACCCTGGAGAACAACATCTGATGAGTAGCGATGCGGTTCTTCTTCCCTGCAGAACTCGAGATGACGATAAAAAAGGATGAGATAGAGGGGATAATTTGACTTGCAATCGATTGAACACAGTAATTCCTATGGCACATTTAAATCCTAGGAATGAATGCATCAGCTTGAAGCGATAATGGCGCGCTGTCTCAGGTTGAGGGTGAGCATTGGATGCTTTTGGGCTCATCATTTGCCGTCTGTGCCGCTGTGACAAGGGTGTCCATCGCCAAGATTCTGGCCAGATTGCGCCAAGATGGCAGTGCCGACGACAGTGCCTCACTCTTGGTCCATCCCATTGAGCCTCATCGCTTCCACATCTCAATTAATTGACCTCAATCCGCCTTGACACGAGTATTCCCCTGCAAACCAACCCCCATCAAAAACGCGATCCTTACAGCGCCCTGTCCCCACAGACTCCCCAAATTGGCCCAATCCTCCCATCTCCACGCCGCCGGGTTCCAAAACACGTCTGGGATCGCAAGCCAGCTCGCGTACAGATGCAGCGCATCACATACCAAAATCCCAATCAATACAGTCCTCCAAACACGAAGATCGTTGGTAGCGCGTAGAAGAATCGCTTCGTTGTAGGCAAAGAGCGTGTATGTCGCTGCGACCTGATTGTAAATAACGCGATTGTCGGGTGCAAATTTGGCGGTCGGGGTCATTGTGTTGAGAAACATTTCGGGGGAGAACCAGATTATGAAGGAGCCTGCGAACGCGGCAAATGGTTCGAACCAGAGGAAGAGGATGCGGTACGCGAGGGGAATGTGAGTTAGCGTTGTTCTGGCCATTGTGTTTGATGTTGCTGTGCGTGATGTTGAGGTGCGATTGATGAGAGCTGAGAAGTTATCCATGCCTCGAGAGGGCTCCCAAGGGAGGACAGGTCTTGAAGTAACCACGGCAGCTACAGCTGAAGAGCTAGCGCGTTTCTTCAAGAGCCGGAAGCTGCGGATCGCGCCAGTTACAGGCCGTTGCATTGGTGGTGAAAGACATGCATGATCCCCCCTTTAACTGCCGTAAAAGCTTTGACATTAATTAATACCCTTGGTGGGCCCTGAAACCTAGCATCTTGATATCATTTGTTCGGGCCCCGAGGGTCAACTGAGGATAGCGCATGCCATCGATAAATGCCGTGTCGCGACACGCTTGGTGCGTCTTGAAATGCCTGACTGTGACAACATTCCACCCGGTAAAGCATAGTCAATTGATCGCACCGTAAGATGAGTTCATGTACCTAGATAAAACATCTAAACCACCATTTACTTCGATCGGCTACTTCCGGACAGAGCCCTCACCACGTTTCGCGTTCTCAGGGAACCGCCCTGTCTCCTCCAACTCATACCAAACTCCACCGTCTTAAACTTCTCATACCACTTCCTCAACCTACCAAGCTCCTCATCTTCCAAAATAAACTCACGCCAGCTCAACTCCGTATGTCTCACCGTCGCAGCGAGCATCACGTCAGCCATGCCTGGACCTCCGTCAGCCGCAGGCGTAAGCCAGCCCGTTGAGGTAAGATTGCCAGCAGCCACATTCTGCAGCGTTTTGAAGTGCCCTTCGAATTCACGTCGGGCGCGACGTCCAACGGGGAGACTGAGCTCAGAGGCGGGAATGTTCCAAAAAGCAGCCATGTATGGAGCGCAATTGACAAGCCAGATCCGACCGGCGTCTGTGGCGAGGGCGATGTAGCTGAGGACGTCTTGAGTGATGGCTCTGTCGATAGGGTTCGTAGACCACATTTGACGGTAGTTGTTACCATCGAATACTTCTTCGAGGTAGTTAATAATGCTCCACGTCTCTTGGATCCAGATTGACCCACCGCTCTCAGTATCATCAAGACGGAGTGCGGGCACTTTGGTGCCAGGTGGCAAGGGCTCTTCAGGATCCTCAGAAACGAAGCCATCACCAGTAAAAGTAATGGGCACGATTTTCAGATTGCTCTCGTTCGTCTTTCCATCATATAGCTGTTCCACAGAAGAGCAGATGCCCTTGGAGAGAAGGTAATAGGCGATACGCTTTGGAAAGTAGCCTTCGATCCAGAGGAAAAGTGTATGTTTGTAAAACGCAGACATGATGCTAGCTCGTGACAGTAGGGTTGAGAATCTTGAACCTGCATGATGGTATTGAATCTATCGCCTATATATACTAAGACATTTCACTTAACCCACGTACGTGCCTGTTTAGGCAAGGTCATTTAGGCATTGACAAAGGACTGAGCCGTAATTGCTTCGCCTCTCTTCATTCACTTACTGGTGGCCAGACCTCGCGCGCGCTGACTGTCACCACCCTTCTCAACTCCGTCGGACGAGTGGAACGGACTCCTTAGGGTCTCACTACAAAGAGAGCCTCATGTATCTTGCCCAACTTGTCAGAGTTCCCATCTCTGGAGAGGAATTCTACTGATAGAAAGGACCATCACGTCATCATTCCAACAGCTTCACACGTCAGCCACCCGCACATTTGATTAGTGATGACAACTTGGAGTAAAAGGATCAACACGTTAGTCTAGACATGAAGCTATTCTGAATTATAAATCCTCTCTGGCCGGTATCTACTGTTCTCCATGGCACCCAGTTTGACTTGCTGATGACAAACCTGACAAACCTGAGCTACTCAAATGCAGCATCTTGATAACTGTTTAGACCTGCTTCGTTGCATGAAGATATGTAGCGACATCTAGACAGAGAATGCCATCTGCGAACAGTTGGTCCGCCGACTCAACGATCCATGTCTGGCAGTTTCTTTGTACGATTCTCTTCTTGGGAGCTTCCTATGAACAGTCAATCCGTTAGTCAAAGATTTGCCAATCTGAGCCTTCTGATAACCGTGATCAAAGTTTAAATACGTACACTCTCAGTCGTGTTATTAAGCGTCTTCTCGGGCACCTTGACTTTATGTAGGCTTTCCTCGAAGATGCACACCGGAATGGACCCTTGACTATTAAGCATCAACCCTTCGTCGACAAATACACCCTCAATCCACTGGAGCGGAATTCGGGATGAGGGTGGATCAGAATTCAGGTCATGATTCCTCCGGATCTGGCGTTGGAATCCGCTGCGTACATCGCCAATAGCCTCATACACGGTACCAACAGAAGGGCTCGAGCTAGATTGAACAAAGTATGCCCAGTGATCATTGAATGGTGCGCCGTTATGCTTGATTAACTCCAGTAACAGGCCTCCAGCTGGAACGTTCTCAAGAACAACTGGCGCTTGTGGAGTTGGGCGGTCGCCAGTCGTTGGGGCTCGAAAAGTCGGCGGTGGAGGGGGAGGCGGTAGCATCTCTTGTCGATTGAGCATGAAGGTCTTGGTGAAGGACGTACCGACCGCAAAATATGACTAAATAGATGAGTTGCGTGCGAGACGCTGAACAAGTAATAATGAAAGAAGACGAGTTGCACAATTATGGCGGCCTCTTCGTTCTTGGCCCGCCGCATACCCCATGTCATTGGTGTGTTGGTTCTGTCCTCGCCTTGTTACTTGGCTGCCTGAGACAAGTGGGCCACCTGAATTGACTGGGAATCGACAGGCCTCACAAAATAGTCCATATGCAAAAACTATCGATAAGCAATTTCATGGACTCCTCATTATAATATCTAGACTACTGATGCTACTTTTCCGAGCTGCTATAGTTGCTACTAATTAACCGCTGAGGGGGCAAATCCCGTCCGAGATCATCATGGGCAGCATCCCACTCAGACACCTTAGAATTAGGCACCCGTAAAAGACGATGTGTATTGGCGCCATTGTCATCGACAGAAATAACTTGTGATCGAATGCTGTAGTTGCCCCAGCGGGGGAGGACCTTCATCCAGAGGTAGTAGTAAATACCGCAGGTTGCCATGATTCCAATTCCGACAATCATGTAGGTACACCATAGGCTGCGAAATGTTGTCAGTATCTTATCGTAGTTACATCTGAAGCCAGCACTTACAGGCTAACTGTTCCAGCATAAATGCCACCCTCTGGAGGAATCCAGGGCATGACGAGCAGAAAGACCTGAGCTAAGAGGTACAGTATAACAAGAGCCCACCATGCTCGGAAGTCAGATCTGGGCGTACCAGAGCGAGAACGGCGGCGACGGATCAGTAGAAGACCAACACCCATGGCAGCATGGAAGATGGCGCCTGGGTACGTCTTGAGAGAGACGACGAACTGAAAGGCATCACTTGCTGGAGGTGCGACGATCATCAGGAAGGTGAAGCCCCATTTGAGCAGATATGGGCCGATGGGAGTCCCGAAGGGTTTGGTTGAGACCCAGAATTCTGTCCAGGGGAGGACTCCTTGACGCGCAATCTCGCGAATCTGACGGGACTGACTGATAAGAACAGCAAGGAGATTACCAAAGGAGCTCAGGAGGACACAAAAGTTCAGAGCAGATTCGGCAGACGACCCAAAGGCTGTACGAAAGAGGACGGCAGCGGCTAGCTTTTTTGACTCTAGAAAGATGTCCTTGGAGACAGCGGCAAAGGAGGCAATGTTGCAGAGGAAGTAGAGAGAGAAGACAATGAGCAGTGATGCAGTCGCATTTCTCTTCAAGGTGGGTATTGGGTTTTTGATCTCATTAGCCATGCTGAACGCATTTTGCCAACCTGAGAAGGCAAATGTGATGTTAACCATTGTCTGAGACAGACTGTAACCGCTCGATGTAGTGCCTTGAAAGCCATGGCGAAAGTTGATGCCCGGGTTCTCAATCCTGCCGAAATGACCTCCAAGGATGACAAGGCCCGAGATGGAGATGAAGAGTAGCAAAAGCAGCTTCAAGGCTCCAACGATGTTGATCGCCCAGAGTGAATACCTGTTATGAGCGATAACAGTAATGACAGCTAGCGTGTAAGCCGCAATAGCAACGCCCTTGAGTTCCCAGGGATCCGGATCACGACCAACAACACGCCAGAGGTAGTTGGAGAGGACAATTGCGTTGCTGCTACTGAATGATAGTAGCACAGATTGAACAGCGAAGGCGACGGGAAAAAGGTGCTTGGGTCGGGGGAAGCCTTGCACAAGCCATACAACCTCGGACCCGCTGCGGTTAGGAAAGTAACTGGTGAACTCCATGTAGACAGCGAGTCCGGCGACAGCCAAGAGGAATCCAATGACCCAGTAGACGAGAGCCAGACCGACTGAGCCTGTGAGGCGTAGGATAGGAGCTGACGTGGAGAAGATGCCGGTGCCGACCATGTGATTGAGATTCAGGAAGATTATAGTCAGCCAGTTGACGTGGTATCCTAACGGCGATCGTGTTTCGACGGGAGCACCGACAGCCTCTTGATATCCCGAGGCGCCATTTCCAGCTGTTTAACGCACGTAGGTGAGATCGCCGTCGCGAATGATAGGAGCCTCGGAGTCCGACTGTGAGTGCTCTGGAACTGCCTGGCTAGTACCCTGCGACTTCGGACTGAAAGGCAGTCCCATGCTGGGCTGTCAAGATGTAAATGCGTGTAATTTGAGAAGTCTGGCTTGGGTAGAACGCGAAATGAGAACATTTTATCGTTCAGATTCTCCCTGGTCGCCAAGAGCTCGTCAGTTGTGGCTCCAGCATGATCGATGCATAACATCACGGCTAGGGTCCGAAGTGAAGACGTTTGACTAAAAGACTGTCTAACATGACCACTTTATTCCCATTAAGGTTAAGTTTAAAGTTGCGCCTTAGCTATTTCGGCGCAGAACTCAAGAGATAGATACAAACGTGACAAGTCTATAGAGTTGCACCACCTGGGATATAAGTAATTCACTGAGCTGCTGTGAGATAATGGGATCTCAGTTCACTCCCGCGGGTATTTCTGAGAAGCATTATAGGCTTCATTGATCGATGAGTTGGTAATGTCTCCCGCGGGAAGAGTTTGGCCAATAAGTGGTGATCTAATATATGGCGTGCTCACAACCTAGCATTGCCGTGATACAGTTTGAGGAGTTGACTTATAGGACCGACGTCTTTTAGTGACCGTCAATAATGATAGCCGTTGCTATCACTTGATCACCAAAATGATTCTTTTATGTAAGTGAGGCACATAGTTACTTCGTGTGTTTAATTCCTTCTTCACACATTTGTTGGTGATACCACGCCATTATCCACTGAATGGCGTGATTGCAACCCCCTTGTTTTGTTCGGCGTTTCGCCGATCTGCCACCGGGAATACACCCAGTTCTTATAAAACTAGGAGTATTACCACTTAGTACACAATCTATAATCAAGCGAGTAGAACATCTTATTCATCCTTGAAACAAACCCTCATTCAGGCGTTATCATCCAAGCTACCATGGCCGCTACAGCTACTATCTCTGCTCTCCCCCCTGCGTCCACCCCAAGCTTTGGTATTACGCCCGCTGCTTTACCCCCACCTGGTCAACCGGATATCTCCTACCACCCAGATTGGGACAAATACCAAGCGCGTGTAGCTCGCCGGACCCAGACAGAGGATCTCACTAAATCCCTCCCCGGGGGTTTCCCTAAGGAGCTCAAGGGAGACCTCGTTTGGGACGGAGAGACTATTGCCCAGAAGTTTGACTGGACGTACGTTCTATCGACTACCCAGCTTGAGGAGATCGACAAGGCCCTTGCACACTTTAAATGTCAGTGTTCTCTACTATCTAACCATGTGCACCATGACTGACATGATGCTGAGAAATAGCCCTCAACATTTCCAAGGGCTACATCACAAAAGAGACCTTCCCTCTACCCACGCTACATAACGAGCTTCGCCGTCTATCTCGAGAACTACACTTCGGCCATGGCTTCTTCGTTCTTAGAGGCTTAGACGTTGATCGCTACACCCGTGAAGAGAACATCATCATATACGTCGGAGTGTCCTCCCACATAGGCTCGATACGTGGCCGCCAGGATGCTTATTTCCAAGGCGAGCGTGCCGATGTCGTTATTGGACATATCAAGGACGTTCGCTCAGGCCTCGGCGAGTCTAGGGACAAGACCAAGATCAAGATTGGGACGCCTGCCTATACCGCCGACAAACAGGTCTTCCATACCGACTCTGGAGATATCGTTTCTCTTTTTGCACTATCCACGGCCGCTGAGGGAGGTGCCAGTCGACTGGCTAGCATATGGCGCGTCTATAACCATATTGCTGCTACGAGACCAGATCTCATTCACACTCTGAGTGGACGCTGGGATGCAGAGCTGTAAGTTAAACGTCCCGGTGCTCTTATGACCCTGTGACTGATTTCTTTCGGCTTTATAGCTTCACGAAGACAGTCAACGATACCGACAAGTTCATGAGCCGCCCTTTGATTCACCACCAGCCTGCCAGTGCCGATGGCAAGACCCCCGATAGAATTCTCCTCCAGTACGGACGCCGCTACTATGTCGGCTTCGGAGAGATACCCCGTGGCAAACATCTACCACCAATCACCGAGGCACAGGCCGAAGCTCTCGATACCCTGCACTTTCTGGGTGAGAGATTCAGCGTATCGACGAATTTTGAGAAGGGCGATATGCAGTATGTCAACAATGTGGCCATATTTCACGCCCGTGATGGTTTCACGGATACCGAAGATAAGCAGTGAGTCATTTCTGTAGACATTTCAGATTCCACAGTGAGAGCAGAGGCTGACGGAAGCGCCCCATTCAGGAGACATTTGCTTCGGTTATGGCTTCGTGATCCTGAATGTGCATGGGAGACGCCAGCTGCACTGGCCTCGAGATGGGAGCGAGTCTATGGTGGTGTGACACCCGAGTTGCAGACATTTCCCCTTGAGCCTCACACTCGCAGTGAAAGCACAACGGTAACAAAATAAGCGTCTTGGTTGTAGATGAAGGTAGTAAATCAAGGGCCGGTCAAAGCTCCAAGTTCAGCGACGGCTGCATCGGTTCGAGGTAGCTGGAAATCTACGGCGAACTCAAAGAGCAGTTGTCGTAACTCGAGCGAGAAGACAAAGTGAGGCTCATCTTCATATCGCGATAATATCATGGTAATCAACAGAATATGTAAGAAGCCATTCAGACCCCCAACGTACCTCTCCGTGGCGGTGACCTATGCTCCAAAATGGACAAAGGGAACCCACACAAGTTTTTCCATCTCTTCATCGCCCTCGTCACAAGAAAGAATGTCTCTTGACTGTATCTCTTCTCTCTCACCGCTGACCACCCGGTCCAGTCGCTGCTCTGGTGTGCTTAACCACTTGTCTCGGAGCTGCCTCAAAGCTTTGTGCAGACCCAAGCAAACAGATCTGTCTGAGAATCCTTCATCTCTTATCGACTCGTACACAGTCCGTGATATTTCAACACATGACTTATCGCTGACTTCCCACAGTGTACCGACTACATGCCGGAATCCCGAAAGCTGACACGCGCTGATCAGATGGATGCTCTCATCGAAGAAAGCATCTCCTCCAATCTGACCTGTTCCGCAAGCAGAAAGATATGCCAAGAAAGGAGCATGCTTACGAAGATTGATATCCATGAGTTCAGATACTGTCAATATGCCATCGCTAAGAAGCAGCCCGCTTTGAGAAGGGTTGCCGTCCGTTTTACCATGGCCAGCAAAATGGAAGATTCTGCAGCTTTGGAGGTGCTCCAAGACCGCTTGCTTGTGTTGATCTGGAAAGCAAGACTCAAGGTTCATTGACTTGCAGAGGTTAGCGATAGTCGAGACCTCTTCTTTGACGAATGGAAGGTTGATCTGCCCGGTAGTATCTTGCATCGCTACCAAGATGGCTTTATCTTGGGCCGGATCTGAGCGACGCTTTCGGCCGTTGATAAGGGCTTGGATGGAAGAGCTGTATGATGAGATGACTCTATCGAGCACCGTCTCGGTTGATCCTGGAAAATGATGTCCGAAGGCGTGGAATGGGAGCCTACTCAGTCTTCCAGTTGGGATCCACCAGATGCGAGGCCAGTCATTGTCTGCTGGAGGTCCCCGAATACCAAGCGCCTGGAGAATAGGGTTGGCAGCTATATCCCAAAACAATTTCAGCATAGAAGGGCTCGTCAATGAACCCTGGCTCTCTTTCTTATTCATTTTGTCGATAGTCAGGTCGGGCAACGACAAGGACCTAATTTGATGTTGTTCGACAAGAATGGCATCGCAGCGAAACTTGCTCAGGTTGATAAGTACGACAGGTCCTAGACTGGCTGCAGCTCGAATCTCATCCTCGTTCGGTGATTGCAAGAAGTCACTAAATCCCGGGTGCTTCCGAATCTCAACAATGAGGTTGTCTAATTCGATACTGGCCTCGCCTCGGCGATTTGTGATTGCCTGAGCTGAAGCAGAATCGCCACCTGGAATGGGCGCATCGAGCATCTGGCTGAGTTCGAGGAATCGTACAGCAAGATCAGGATGGTTCTCTTCGAGATTGAGAACATCGACGCGAATCTGTTCAATTGCTGCGGCGAGTACTCCGCGGCCCTTCTCCAATACGCTTAGCGCAAACAACGGTTCCTTGCCGGCGTGAAGTGCCACGGCTGCGGTATCGCAAGCAAGGTCTACTATCCGACCGAGCATACGCTGCTTATCGACGAAGCCCAGCGATCTCGGTGTCAGTTGCGGCAGCAGGTCGAAGGCTGTTTGAGAAGCACCAAGAGCATGCTGCCATTCAGAGGCGTGTGCAAATGTCTCAAAGAGAAACTTTCCAGCGGCAATTCTTGTTTGGATGTTGGAGTTGGAGTGATCCAGAGCAGACCGATAGAGATTCACGGCAGCGTCGAAGTCATCCGTGCAGTTAGTCAAAGTGTGGCGATTCCAGTAACAATCTGCAAGGTTACTCATATACTGAGCTAGACTGGGGTTTCCAGGTTGAGAGACGGCAATAGATTGGTGTCCCATCTTGATGGCTTCCTCAACATCGCTTGTTTCCCGATTTCGTATATACCGTTTCGCGAGCCAGATGGACAGGTTACTCGATAGGCTAGGAATATCTGCATGGCCTGGCGGCAGGGTGGTCAATGCCTCTTGTGCGAGTTGAATTGCTTCATCAAGATCATTCGTGTCGCCTGTCCTGAGGTAGCGATCTCCAAGATGACCGGCAAGGTTGGACTTGAAGAGAGCTTGATCGGGAGAGCCGTCTGAAGCAGCTTTGGTGATGCCACGACAGATGTCAATAACTTTGTTGAGCTCTTCAAGAATCCCGGTTCTTCCATATCGTTCGTGTAGCTGGTTTGCAAGAGTATTAAGTCGCCCTGGTCTCTTGGAGCTATCGAGCGGAGTCAAGTCTACGGCTGACTGGGCCACTTCTATCGCCTCTTCAAGATCTATCGAAGACCCTGTTCGCTCGTAGCGCTCTCCAAGGTGATTTGCCAAGTGCGTCAGCCGGAAGGCTCTATCATTATCTGAGTCTGCTACCACATCGATCGCTTGCCGTGTGACTTGAATAGCTCGTTCGAGATCAGGTAGTGATCCAGTTTTGGCAAATCGAATCGCCAGGTGAACACCGAGGCTGTCCAGGAGAGCACCTCGATGAATGTAGTCATTTGGAGCAGTATCGATTGCTTCTTGCCCCACCTTTATTGCATCCTCAAGATCAGCGAGTACCCCATTCACGGTAAAGCGACGACGTAGAGTATTCGCCAGCTCGTGAAGCCAGATGATGCGATCAGGATCATCTGTTGGCGCTAACTCAATGACTCCCCGGGCCATGTCGATGAAAGAATCCAGATCATCCATAAATGATCTATTCTCGCCCTGCTGTGACATGGAGATGAATTTCCTGTTGACTTTGTCTATTTGCGGACGGATAGAAAGACTCTCGCAATGGTCTTGGTATGTGGGACAAACGACAACGAGATTAAACGATCAAGAGACCCGTCAAGCGACGATTTGGGATTCCTGAAGGACGATGCTGGGGGACAATCTCACGCTTACGCACTCATTCTGCAGCCTTTCCATATTTGCGGCTTATCTTTCACCACTCGGAGACAATGGTAAAATCAGGCTGTAGGCAGCCTTGCCAATGTTATCTCTTGGTTAATGCTGACTTGCATCTCAGGAAAATGCAGCAAGAGGCCTATTTTCTTTCCAAGAGAAACTAAACTCGTATTGAGGATTGGCCATGAAAAGGTCTGGTATATAACGTTAAAGAACTGAGGCTATATAGATCTTGAGTAACTGATCCCTTAAACTTATGTTGACATAGCGTGTCAAGGCTCCGTTCCGGTACGTAGACCCCGCAAAATATCACCCCCGCATCCCCGCCGATCGACTCTAAACTCTAAATTATCCCACCCGGAGTGTTTATAAATCATGAATTGGTAGCATTACATACTATCACGTTCAAGATAGAGACTTCCTCAATGAGGGAGCTCGGGTGGGCGTCTGCTTTCACAATAACTGTATCCTAATCTCACAGCGGGAGTAGTCGCTTGTTCAGCAAAAAAGGCACGCTAGTAAATAAGATTGCTCAAGAGCAGAGCTCATGCACGCAATATTCATTCTACCTATCATGTTATTGGGAATTGATAACCCTATGGCAGTTACTTATCTCCCGGACTAGCTACAACAATCGTAGTTCATGTGGGATCCTCTTAGTAGCCTCGGTTGGGGAACTTGGGGAAGAGATCTTCCCCTCCGACTTGACTTCTTCGAGAATGATCTCCGCATTTTGAAGTCCCGCTCCAACTGCCGAATTTGCATCCGGTACTTCAATGAAGTTTGGAATCAATGCTGGTGTCTTGTTATTTAGGTCAGGCTTCGGTGTATGTAAGTCAGATGTACCATCGCATTCACTCACCATATCTCATTGTGACAATCAGCTTTCAGGAGTTAAGATGGAAGATTTCACTACATTTGTCAATACTGTAAACGGGACTTCCGTCGCTGGAAAGTGGACGCAGGGAACAGATCCATCGACAACACAGAAGCTCTGGGATGTCCCAGTTGCATCGTCTGAGGACATCGAGAATGCAATTTCTGCAGCCAAAACTGCCTTCACACAGTGGTCTAAGACGTCGTGGTCGGAGCGACAGAACGCCCTACTTGATGCCCGAGATGTCTTGATCTATCATAAGCCCGCGTTGGCGCAGTTGATCACGAAAGAAGGGGGAAAGCCTGTAGGTAGCACATTTCCTGGAACCATTCCAGCTTTTCTGACTGTCGCAGATTCAATTTGCCACTCTCGAGGTTGAGCATTCGATCAACTTCTTACAGTTCAATGGTAAGTCAGGTCTTCGCTGCCAGGAAAGCCAGCCTAATAAAGTACAGCGAATCAGGAGCCACTTCAGGAACAAGTGATCCAAGATGACGACGAACTACGATTGACGATCCGAGAGAAGCCACTAGGTGTCATTGCCGCTATCTGTCCCTGGAATTATCCCCTGGTCCTCTCCATCGCCAAGGTCGCCGCCGCCCTTATAACTGGAAACACAATCATCGTGAAGCCTTCGCCTTTCACGCCCTACTCCATCCTGAAGGTCGTCGAACTACTGCAGGGTGTTTTTCCAGCCGGTGTTCTCCAAGCCCTCAACGGTGACGACAAGCTGGGACCTGCACTATGTCAGCATCCAGGAGTTGATAAGATTACTTTCACTGGCTCAACTGCTACAGGAAAGAAGATCGCGCAGGTGGCTGGAAACCTTCTAAAGCCCGTCACATTAGAACTTGGAGGCAATAGCGCTAGTATTGTCTGCCCAGATGTCGATCCGAAAATCGTGGCACCTCAAGTGGCGCTTGGATCTTTCATGAACTCAGGTCAACTTTGCGTTGCTAGCAAGCGCGTTTTCGTTCATGAGGACATCTACGATGAGTTCTTGGAGACGATGGTCAACACGGTCAAGGAATGGAAGGTGGCGCCGACTTCGACACTCGAGCCCGGTATCATGCTGGGTCCAATTCAGAACGAGATGCAGTATAACATTGTGAAGGGCTTCTTCCAAGATTCAATCGAGAACGGGCATTGTTTCGCCTTGGGCGAGAAGCCAAATGATACTGGAGACAGCTTCGTTATCAAGCCTGCGATTATCGACAACCCTCCTGACGACGCCCTCGTCGTTACACATGAAGCCTTTGGTAAGTCTCCTCGTAAGGTGACCCACGTCGAGCTATGATTGACTGTCTCAATAGGGCCCATTGTTCCACTGATGAAGTGGAAGACTGAGGACGAAGTTATCAAGCGAGCCAACAACACGCTATCTGGTCTTGGAGGAGCCGTTTGGTCAAAGGACGTTGACCACGCACAGCGGTTAGCAGACCGAATCGAGGCCGGTACTATTTGGATTAACAGCTTTGAGAAGCCTTTGCCTCAGGCCCATCTGGCTGGTCATAAGGAGAGTGGCGTTGGTGGAGAGTGGGGTCGACGGGGTTTGAGTGTGTATTGTCAGCCCCAGGTGATCCATTGTTATAAGACCAACGTATAAGGATGTAGTGCCAATAGAGGACCCTGTTTGCGCACACCATTGTTACGATAGCATTTGTCGGAGCTACTTTTCGGTTGGCGTAAAATCACTAGTTCTGCGCCCTATGCTGTATCAGAGAAATATGAAGGCAGTTTTCCCATACCGTGCATGGATGACCATGCAACAAACCTACACTCATCACAGGCATCTTGTCATTCATTGACTATGCTTGTGGGATCATTCAAGGTTCTTGGGTTGGTGCGTCTCGAAAGTATCTCGTCATTGGTACGGTACATACGTCTATCTACATAACCAGTTTGAACTCTGGGTCACGATCATCTCCGTAACCGGTATATTGGTTGTGCTTCCCGTTCTTCTTATCCCGATTGATCTTTGCACACCAAAGTACATTGAGCAAAACACTAAGAAGGCAATGAGTTAGATAATTCTTCAACTTCTGGTGCATGTACAACAGTCGGGTATAGGATACACTTACGCCACCCACGCATAGCATAGTAATCCTAAGATTACTCTGTGTCCTCTGTGGTATAATGGGCCGTCTTTCTGAGGATAAACAAAGCCTATAAAACAGAGGTTAGAGTCCATAATTCACCATGTACTTTTAGCAGGCATAGGCGGGGGTAGACTTACTGGCAACAAAACCACCACAGTTTGCGACGGCCAGCTGCAAGGCAGAAGTAGTAGCCCTCTTGTAGTGGCCGGCGGAATTGTTGGAGTTCCAAACCAAGATACATGGGACAGAAGCGTACATACCTAGGGCCATCAAACACGTCATCGCGAACCGAGTGTTGGCTGCCTGTACGTTTGCAATAACAGCGTAGCCAACTATGGCAATTGGCAAAACGACAAGTATGATGAGACCTCGGACTTTCGATCGATCGGACACGAACGCGACGAGAACTAGAGTGGGTGGCAGGTTAGCAGAGGACTATGGGAGATTAGATGTACTTCTCTTGCCGGTGACTGGGGTAGCAACAGCGTATGGAATAACACTCCATAGCTGAGCCTGGTTGGGGCTTGAAGCAATATGAAGATCGTTGACAATGGTCGGAAGCTATGCAAATCAGCGATGGATTACCAGATTGAGGCAATGATACTTACGAAGAGACCGAATGAGTAAAGGCCAGATAGAATTGCGAAGTAGGCCGTAGATGTGAGCCAGACTTGCACATTGAAGACTCCGCGACGCACTTCGCCCCAGCTAAATTTCTCATCCAGCTCTGATGTAATGCTACCGATAATTGTCAATCCGGCTGGTTATTAAGATGCCATAGGAGAACTTACGTTGTACCGCGGTCTTGTTCCAGACGCTTCACGGCCCATTCTCTCTCCTCTGGGGTGAAATATCGTGCTGTCGTTAAATTGTTCGGCAGGGTGAAGAACACGATTGACCCAGCGGCGACGGTCTGTGAGAACGTTTAGCCAAAGTCCTAGTGGTTGTGAATACCAAGACCTACCATTAGCCCCTCAATGATCAGGATCCATCGCCAACCTTCCAGGTCGCCTCTCGGGCCGATGGCAGCAAGTCCACGAGCAAGCAGGCCTTTATACAGTCAGATAAACAGATTGGGTTGACTACTCCAAGGACCTCACCTCCAAAAGCTCCGGAAAGCGATGCCGCCGTATAGAATATTCCAATTCGCAACGCCAGCTCACCGCGTGTGTATATGCTCGACAGATAAAGAACCATTCCGGGCAGTAGCCCGCCTTCTGCGATACCTAGCAAAGCTCGTACGGCAGCAAAGCTAGCGAAGTTGCGCACAAAGCCAAGACACATGGTAATGATTCCCCAGACCACTGTCAAAGTGGGCAGCCAGATTCTGGGCGATACCTTCTTGAGGACAAGATTACTGGGTAGCTCGCTAAAGACGTAGGTGGCGTAGAAGACGGCCAGGCCCTGGGAGTACTGTAGGTTGGTGAGGCCCAGATCTTTCTCCATGCCGATAATTTTCGCGTTGCCGACATTCGTCCTGTCGAGAAAAGAGCACAGAAACAACAGTGCAAGAGATGGGAGGACTCTAGTTGAGTTGTTCCATTAGTGCCGTGACAGATGACCAATCGATGAACTTACCGTGTGTCTGTCTTGAACAAAACTCTCCTCGTGAGGCGCGCATTGTGCTCAATGTTCTCGTCGAGATGGTCCATCTCCTCGTGCTCGGCCTTGAAGTCCATATTGAGCTGTTGGATCAAGATAAGGCTATAAAGGCTTGTCAAGCTTGGTGTTATGCATGTGGCAGCAACAGAATGGGCTTGGCAGGAATTATTTAAAGGTTTTCCCCAGACTCCAGGTTTGCGGGGAATTACAGGCGAGCGGACCCCATATGGCTTGGTCTAAACCGAACTTGTGGGGGATCATCCTTGTTGGAGATGCCGGTATTCCGAGATGCCTTTCGGCATCCAATAGTAGCCCCGCCAAGGAGAGTGCTGCTACCCTTCACCGTAGATACGTAAGCATGCTAGACCTGTACAGATGACGGTCTGATAGGATCGTGACTATGACGTTTCCCCTTCCCGGGTCCAAATGTAGTCCCGCTGACAAGAGTGCTGCTACTCTGACTTCGTAAGTACACTGGAGCTATGGTTTGTACAGACGTCCATTTGACAGGAAACAATGGCATTGCGATTAGTATTCATCTCCCCGGCTTTCAAAACTGGCGCCGTTGAGTAAGTACTGTATCTTTACTTTTCTAGGGGCGTACAGATAGGTGGGTTGAAGTTCAACAGCGGAAGTTCCAACTGGACGGCCCATTCAATATTGATAATACGGTAGAGACTGTATAATGGAGACGATGCATTCTAAAACATACAAAAGTAGCGACTGTAGAGAACAACAAATAAGAAACCTCCGTACACTTCAGTTATCAACGGCCATAAAAAAGCCCGAGACCTCCACCGCTTGAATTCTAATGGACATAGGACCCACCTCCCATGACCTTTGTTGAGCCCAACAGCCTCAGCTGGCCTGGGGCCAGCATCGTTCGTCAGAGTCTTCTAATCTTTCATGCCGAGACAGAAGGTCCAGCCACTAGCATATGTAGCGTGGGCAGCCGTGACACAAGCACCGAGAGAAACGACAGCTGCAGGAGTAAGAGTGCCAGCAGAAATAGCTTCCTCGGTAGCAGCAGCAGCTCCACAAGCAGTAAGGGCAGCAACGTAAGCAACAGTTAATCCGCCGCCGCAGACACCACAGCGAATGCTGGGGCAGCCAGCCAGTCGGCGTCGGTGATCAGCCTCATGCTCAGAGCGATACTGAGCGATCTTGGCATCGATCTCTTGCTGCAGCTTCTGGAGGTTGCCCTGACGCTTTTCAATCTTGGCGCCAGATGCCATGTAAGTCTTGAGGTTCTTTTTAACGTCCTCAAGAGCAGCGACTTTGTCAGACTGGGGCCATGACTTGATGTCTTTGAGGCTAACGTCAAGGAAGTCTGCCCATTTGTCGACGTTGATGGTGGATACATCAGAAGTAGAGAGGATCTCGTCGATATCGGTTTCTGAGATACCGAACTTGGTGGCTACATCTTTGACAGTGAGGAGAGCGGTGGCGGTTGCGGTGGCAAAAGCCCAGAAGATGATCTTGGTAACAAGCATTTTGATGATTGGGTTGAGTGAAAGTTCTTGAAGTAAGATGGATGCAAGTGATGATGATGATTATGAGAGACCAAGGTCATTTTATGGGTAGACTGTCCCTTTTTATACTCATTTTGGTTGGACTCGCACGAAACTGCCAGTAACGCCAGGCGCTCAACCTCGTCAACTTACGCGTCCCGTCAAGACTTGCCCAGTTCTCCTAAACGTCGAGTGATAGCAAGCTCCCACGATTGAGCCATCTCATCGTATAGCTGGATGACCACTATTCGGCATTTCTGGACAATTTTCGTAGTCTTTCGGCATTAACAACCCCCATGGAGAGTACTTAGACAGGAGGTGTTACGATTCCGATAGTCGGCAAGTAAAAGTGAGACGATGATCATCTTCAAGGCTGAGTTTATCTTGAGAAATGTTTCTCAATTAGGAAGGCAAAATTTCTTCGTGGTCCATAGAAATCCTTCTGATCAACTTTCTCGAAGAAAGAGTCGAGCGGCAAAACATTCGGCAGTCGCATGACAGTAGCTATTGGAACAGATTGACGATTTCGCCGTCTTACACTTGAATTCATGATTGATAGCATGACGAATCACTCGTCTGAAAATGGAAGGAGCAAACTAAGCCTTGCAGGGACCAGCTCAGGAACAGCAAACATTATTGCAGAGTTAAAATACTAGTGAAGGTGTTCACAGAACCGATCTTAGCCGGATGGCAAAATATACCGCATAAATGTATGTCACTACTCTAGGAGGGTTAGCCTTCAGGTTATACGAGACATTTCTAGAAATAAGTTTAACTAGCTTAACGAATTCTCCAGGGGGGAGCCATGCAAGATATGCTAAACCCAGTGTTTCATGTGGTGAACTCTAATGTCAAATAAGGTTGTTTATAGTGGAGGGTATGCTTGAGACGATCTATGGGGACAGATACGCGCAGTCCACTATCTACTGGTCAATCCGGGGATCCATGGCTGAGTGTGATAGACCGGATGTATTCGTCTCTCCTATCTAACTGCAGCAAGCCACTCTATGAGCCACCAGAGAACTGGAATGCAGTCGGGTTACCAAAACGCAATTGGAGTGTAAGGCCAACCACTTGTAGAGGTGTATAACTGAAAGGAAACCTGTCACAAGGATATCAAAAGCATACTATTAGTACTGTGCTTTGTCATGAGTACTAGGCTATGCTCCTTCCATCTCTAACTTAGATAAGCTTTCAGGCTTTTACTCGAACTAGTATGATCTTGGAAATTATGTTAGTCGAGTTCTTGAGGGTACAAGGGTTTGAGAGTAAGAGATACAAAGTCCTGGATTGAGTATCTGCTGATCGTTTAATCCACTACCTTCCGAATCAAGCATGAGATGTCCAGTGTTCTTCGGGATGGTAGTTCGGCATTTCATTACTAGGAAAAGGATCACGAATACATATATAAATGGAGGATCATGCTGCACCTACTTGTCTTCTAAGAACAAACAATACAAAGCAGCAGCGATTCACAGTCCCACAGTCTCTCTATACACTTGAAACACTCCTTTCATCAGTCATTACAATTCACTCTCATCAGGAGTAAGATATCTACTGTCATCATCCTTGCCTGCGGCTTCTAATACTTCGAATAGATCCACCATGCAATTTCTTGCCTCAACCATCTTCGTCACCCTCCTCGGGGTTGTCACCGCCTTTCCAGACCTCACTCCTCGCCAGAACCTCAAGAATGGGATTCTCATCTGCCCCAACGCAGAGGGAACCTTCGCTGACCCGAAGAGCTCCATGGGCACGGTTTGCACCCGCACTTACAAGTGCCAATCTGGCAGTGATGGCATCAAGAGCGGCAATATCTGGACCAACTCTTGCATTGGCTGCCCTCCTGACCAGAACGTCAACTCTTTCGGCAACTGCGTTTTTCAGTATGTCTAGGACTTTGTTACGCTAGCTTGGAAAGACCTGTGAGATTATGATAGGGAGAGGCTATTGGTAGAAAGGGAGGATAAAATGTATTAAAAAGCAAAAAAAGTAGTAAAACAATAGAAAAAGCTGTCTAGGGAGATCAATGTCCTTGCCATAGTGTGCGGGTAGTTGAATGCTTTGAACATGACATACACCTGCTAACTAAACGGTTTCTCTCGATATTAGCTGTGATCTGCACCTGCCTTTAAAAAAGCCACCATGTCTGTAGAGGCGGAATGTATAAAACATGCATATAAGGTTTTCCGCCAAGAGTTTGTTATCGCTGCAGTCGAGACTTGTGGCTGAGGGCTTGTATCACCACAGAGAACTTAAGTTGGCTGCTGGACCCCTGAACCTTGATTCTGTGGAGGCTGGCTAGACGATGACCGCAGATTAGCAGTTGACGTTGCACACGGGCCGCGGACTAAAATAAAGTACCTGACAAGAAACTTTAACGCAGATAGTGAGGTTTCATCTGTCGATTCCTATGTCTTACACGAGATGCCTGATTGAGCAAAATGAAGCGAGTTTAACTTCTGCCAAGACTCAATTACGCCCGTCTAATGAGGAGCAAAAGTCAGTGCATATTGCGTCTTAATTGGGTCAATCCGGTTAATGGAATAGCAAAAGATCAGTCAGTCAGTCAACGCTGTGTTGCCGATAGAGAAGAGCAAAAGAATGATCACGCTGGGGATCGAACCCAGAATCTTCTGATTCGTAGTCAGACGCCTTGCCATTGGGCCACGCGACCGGTTTATACAACCCGAATTTTAATATCATTAGATGTTTCCCAGCCCGGCTATTCACTCTGGCTTTCTAGCAGAAAAGTACTTTACTAAATAGCAGCTTACTAAAAAGAAGTAAATTTCAATAAAGAAATTATAGTTTTATAGTTATAAGTTATTAAAAAGTGTTTTTTATAAATTTAATTAAAGTATTACTTAAGAGATTTTAGACTTCATTACTGTCTTAAGTTGTGCCGATACGTTAGACATATGCTTAAAGTGATAATATATTTTAAAGAATATAACTTACTTAAGGCTATGACTTTAACTAATTCACCTTTAAATCGCCCGTTTATAGAATTATATTACACCTGTGAGGGACCCTGAGAGCATCGCTAAAACATCGACTTGATTCAAAGGCAAACTTACCCTAGGTCGACTGCAATTGCGGACGCACAGACAGATGCAGCAGAAAATTCTGAACCCACTACGTCATAGCAATTCAGCAATTGGTCGAAAAGTTCAATTTGCCAAGTTAGGACTATACAACCATAAAGCTACTACAGCATTAACTACTGAACATTGATAATTTGCGAGCGAAACGAATTCACACGCGGCGCGGCCACTCGGGATCACGCGCCAATGCCATCTGTGCAAGATGAATCGCCTGGTCCTCTGGATCCTCAAAGCTCATCACGCTAGCAGTGCCGTTGGGCTTGAAGTAAGGACCATCAACCTCACATTGAGTATCATTAGCAGGCATAGTTCCATTGTAGAGGAAGGCCCGGACGTGCTTGGCGAGACAAAGCGATGGAACTGCGACAGAGCAATGGCCGTATCCCTTGACCTCGACGATTTTCGAGTCTTTGAATGCAGCCTCTGCCGATCTGGCGGAGATGAGAGGGCAAACGGGATCGTAAGTGGTAGTGAGAATGAGCAGAGGGTGTGCTGTCTCGACACCGTTGCGTGGGACGTAGCTATGCGTCTTGGGGATGCGCCATTGCTGCTTGGCGAAGAGGTAAACAAGATCATCGGGAGCGAAAACGCTGCGGTTAAATGTTGGCATAACAATATCCAACAGGGAGTCCAGTTGCTGTGGCCAGTGAAGGGGCCCTGAGAGACCATCGTTCATCGAAACCGTGTAGAGCGCATCACTGTCTTCACCATCATCCAGACCATAAGCCATCAGCGCCTCTGTTGCGTTACCGCCCATGAGCTGCGCCATGCGCTCGGCAAACGTGCCCCAGAACTGAGGTTTGTATAGAACTGGGAACAGTGCACCATACCAGATCTTCTGGTAATCTAGAAGACCGTAGACGCTGTTGTTGACGTAGACATTCATCGGCTGTTCCTTGAGTTCACCAACGAAAGAGAGGAACTTGTCCTTGAGGCCTTCCCAAGAGTCTGCCATGGATGAGAGAGGGCATGCGTCGCCGGACTTAATGCACTCCTTGAGAAGACCATCCATAACATTCTCTGTGTCATTGAGGTCCTCCATATCGAAGCGAGCTTGGTACCAGAGGAATTGGTTCACAACTCCATCGATGATGACCCTGTGAGACCTCTCAGGAAACAGAGTCGCGTAGGTCTGGCCGAGAAGAGTCCCATAGCTGAAGCCCCAGTAATACATATCCTTCTGACCAAGAGCATCCAGAATACTGTTCATATCGGCAGCTGTTTGGGGAGTATTGATGTACTTCCCATGCTCGCCCATAGTATCCTCACAGGCTCTCACATAATTATGTGTCCAGGCATAAATCTCAGCGCCATCCTTGACGATATCGATATCGTGCACTGATCCAAGCTGCTGACGCGCCTCTTTGCTAGGGTAGCATGAAGCGCGTGGAGAGGAGGAGTTAATGCCGCGGGGATCAAACGAGACAAGGTGAAAACCGTCGCCGACAATGGTACTCAATTGTTCTCCACGTCTGTGGAGAAACTCGAAGCCACTGCCGCCGGGACCACCGGGGTTGAGGAGGATGTTCTTGCTTCCATCTTTGCCCCGCATGCGAATAATGGGGACATTAAAGGTTTTGTTGCTGACATCAGGATGAAACTGATCGATCGGCACGTCAATCTTGCTGCACTCTACAGAACGATTGCTGATCTCTCCGCAGGGCTTCCATTCAATGTGCTCGCCTGGGTAAGTCGTGCGATCATGATGGTGAGGATGCTGGTGGCGATGGGAGCAGTGAGGCGCGAGCCAATGGAATGCAGCGACGGTGAGAATACCTGCGCCAAAGAGTTTCCATTTGTTAACGCTTGATTTACGGCGCGGCTCAGCCCATTCTGGCAGGTTCAGGGAGTGTTTGTCCATTTTGATTGTGTTTGTTTGTTGATGATGACTCGATGAAGAGGAGACGATCGTTAAAATGAAACGAGCAGGCTAACGCGTTGCCACGTGAGCATCCTTGCATTCGTCATCACAACGCGTCTACATCAACACTCTATTTAGGAAGGTAATCAACCAGAGTTGTCAGTAATCACAATCAAGATTGAAACTTTGTCCGCGGACGGGAGGGAATTGATATAGTTTCCATGGAATGATTTTATTGTTCTCAGGTTATTCTTAGGTCAACCGCGTTGGTGGAGTACTACTACTATGGACCTACACACTATTCAAGGATTCAGTCCCTTCTGGTTCATCTTCCTGACTCAAGCCATGCTACAGTTTGAGTCAGTGGGTGCAGATAATCCACTCGGAAAATATTTTATTTCCCGATCACTCTCTCGGTTATACGGCAAGGCAAGGAGACGTCGTGGAACCATCATCATCATATTTCGTATACGTAATGGAAACCGAAAAAGGGTCACCATAGCCGCATCTGTGAATTATGCGAAAATCACACCGCATCGAGCGCCTAGTATGAGCATCCTATAGGAGGAATTAGAGCTCTTGAATAGACTTTCGGCAGCTAATTTATGGGTATGCGCGTGATTTTCGACCGTTTCAGAGATCGCAACTCGTCCCATTCTGGAACCTTTCAATGGAGATCACTGGGGCCTTGGCACCTCCGATGCATACCCGTGTATGCAGGTGCACCCTTTCGATGATCTTGTTCCCGCTTAGGAAGATTAATGGTGAGGAGATATACGGGCCGTACCGATCTATCCGGAGGCATATTGAGCGGCAGTCGATGGAGTAGTTGACTATAAAAGGGCAGTTGGTTTCTATAGTAGTTGGGTTGCTACTCATCAGCAATAGCAAGACAATCGACAATCATGAGCGCTTTTAAGACTCCAGCTTCTGAGCTTCAAGCGAGCGTCAAAAGGCATCCAGATCTGGCACTTTTCAAAATCCCAGAGCAGTCTCCCCAAGGCACAAAGTTCAAAGACGTTTCCTTTGCCCAGTTCGAGAGGGATGTCAAACAGACGGCAAAGTATTGGAAAGACAAGCTTTCTAACCTAGGCGTTCAAGACAGGGCTGTTGTCGGTGTCTGGTGAGTGGGTGTGATCATGAAACTACATCATCAGCTGATTCTCCATTTAGGTTGAGGGGTTATGCCTACTCCGATACTGTCCATATCCAGGGTCTCAACTGGGCAGGATACATCCCTCAGCTGTTATCTCTGCGTATGACAGATCCCACTGTAATCTATGAGCTCCTGCAGAAGTCCAACGCTGTGGCTTTGTTGCATGAGCCAGACAACACTTCTCTCTTGCAGGATAGCCCAATGCCGACATTCCCCGCCGGTGACATCCAATTCGACATAGATACAGCTGAACTACCAGAAACACCATGGCATCCCAGCAATGACGATGATGAGCTCTTCATCTATCACACGTCTGGCTCGATTTCAGGCATACCAAAGTTGGTACCTGTTACTGCACGATGGATGAACTACACCTTGGATATGTCAGCATATTTTGAGCAAAGGTCGAACAAGAAGAGTGAGAGGATGATTAGTGTCCACATGTAAGTCTTACTAGTGGGCCTCTCAGTGGCAGTAAACTAATGCACTGGCAGGGGAAGCTTCTGCCACCTTGCTGGGTCTGCCCTCAGCTGGATCGCAGCGAAAGAGGGCTCATGCATCATCATCCCGAGCACTCTTCCTGCCCCAGTCCCTGAAGTGCGCACAATGCTTGATGAGCATGGCTTGACATGTGTATGCATGTTCCCGCCTGCTCTATCTGCTTTGTTCAGTGAAGCTCGCAAAGATCCATCCCTACTCGCTTCTCTCAAAAAGATTGACAACGCAGGCTCTGGTGGCTTGAGCCTCGACGTTGCAGATTTGGAGTGGGCACGGAAACAAGGAATTCCAATGTTCAATGTCTTCGGTTCCACAGAAATGGGCATGGCTTTGATGACGGATGCTAGGAAAAACGACGATTACCTTGAGTGCACCCCTACTGCCAAAAACGAGTTTATCCCCATCGGAGATACGCTGGCGTCGGGTGAGCAGCTACTTGAGCTAGTTGTGCCACCAGAGGCGCCCAACTGCCCAGTCCCCAGCTTTAGATCTGCCGATGGCAAATTTCATTCAGGCGACTTGTTCGTTGAGGTCAAGCCTGGCAAGTATCTTTTCAGGGGACGCAACGACAATTGGATCAAGATGGAAGCCTCCCTGCGATGCGATACCATGTCTATAGAATCTAATGTCATGGAGACCTGTGGCGAGGATCTTGTCAGCGCAGTGGTTGCCGTCGGCGTCGGACGCCCTTGTCCTACTATAATTGTTGAGCCAAAGGAAGAGTGTCTAACAAGCGCTAACGGTACTGATAATGGGGATTCGATGCAGCAGCTGAAGGAGGATATTCTGAAGAGGATCACTCCATTTCATAGGCGAAGGTACACGCATGAGCGAGTCGATCATACGCGATACATAGTTATTGTTCCGCAGGGGACTCTTCCCAGAACAGCGACAAAGGGGAATGTGCGAAGGCAGGAGGTTGAGAAGGGGTTTCAGACGGTGCTGGATGCTGTATACGTGAAGTAGTTTTGATAGCGATAGGCACAGAATTATCAACAAGACTGAAGCTTCTGCACACTTGGGCGATGATGTCAGATTGTAAAAGCCAAACAAGGTGATCGAGCTATTTCAGCAGAGTCCCGAGTATCATGCAGCCAAGCCTTATATCCGAAATATTGAAGCGATCAGTTGTCGGACCAGGGTTGATCAGAAAAGCCACAAAGGCGGCCGATGCTCTGGACATAGCCACCAGTGGATTTGTTTTATTTGCGGCGGTGGGTCGGCTAGCGAAACCCGGTTTTACCTCTTCTTAAGAGGCTGCCTAAGCGCCTTAGCTCGTCGTATTGCGTATGCATTCAGCTCTACCGAATCAAGGCAGAACATTTATCTCCGAAAGCTTACGTCGCCGTCAAAGCAAATAGCTGAGTGCCATCACAGCAGAACAAGTGGGTACCAAGCTTGCCTCGTATTTCTGCCAGTGCCATTGTGTGTAGAGGTTCTAGACTGCTGAGACCCTGGTATATATGTGCCGTACTACATCGGCAATAAGAAACTACAAAAATGGGTTAAAGTCCGGAGCTCTAAGTGGCAGGGAGCAGGCACCAGAATTTGCTCCCACGAAAAAGACGGAGAACAAACTCAATTTCATGACAAGCATTGTGTCTCGCTATTCGCTCTTGATGTCTCGCGAATCGCGGCTTACTATGAAGGCAATCTAGCTCGCCAGCAAACTTGCATGGGTACAGTCAGCCAGCTTGGCATAATTCCCCAAATCGGAAGCAGCCGGTGATGAGGCAGAGCTTAAAATGCAGAAGGATGGAGTCTTGTAAATGAATACTGGAATTGTAAATTCTAGATGCAAGGTTGGAGTAAGATGACTACTAACCGGTTCGGGTGGAATAAACGCTCCTCTGTCATCATTTTAACGTTAAAGTTGCTGACTTGGCAAGTCAGATCATCATTGCATGGGTCTCTTAGTAGAATAGGTTGGGTGTATCGGAAATATTGGGGTCATCCTGTCTGTCGACTCCGCCACACAAAATGGGCCTTTTCTTTACCGGGCTTCGAGTCTACTTATGTTTCTCTGGCAGCTCATAATCATACATATCGCACTTGTCAGTCGTCCCGAACCAGAACAAATTTCGGACTAATTCTATAATATTTGCATCTCGATTTACGTAACACACAACAACACGATGTCCGAGTCAAAAAGTCCGAATTATCTTGGTCCAATGGGCACTGATGCAAGCAAGGTAATTAAGATGCATTTATGTCAACTTGCCCGAGTCTAATACGTTCAGAGCCGACGGGAACGAAACAGAGAGGCACAACAACAATTTCGAAAACGAAGACAGGCTGCTGAAGCGGCAAGGGTGCAGAGACTTAAGCGACTCGAAGGCGTGGTTGAGAGAATGAGTACGGTGATTGTGGACTTTGCGGATAAGATGTTGCAAGAAGAGGTGTTGAAACAATATCCTGCCTTAGCGGCCGATGTGCAGGATGTTATCACACAGGTTCTTGTCTTGGCGAACGAAGCCGGAGATCCTGAAGAGACGAGGTCGAATGAGCGGCATGAAGAGAAATCGCCTGATTATGGGGACGACGACTCGGATACACGACGATGTTCACAAGGTTCAGCAAGTCCATCAGGGTCACAGAACTTACCAATCGGCATGCCATTTTCCTTCGACCAACAGGATATGTTCATAACAAGCTCCCCACCAGAGCACAGCCAACTCAAAGACACACCTCAGATCGTATATCCAACAATACAAAACCCGCTACTCTACTCTCATTCGCCTCATTTAACACCCTCATCCATCACACACTCGCTAGGCTCTGGACCTTGGAACACACCAAGGCCACTATCCCCAACATCTGTTTCCTCTTGCCTAATACAGTCGCGCTTCAATGTAGGTTCCAGATTTTCTGATCAAGCAGCCGTGGCTCATACTTTCCTCGGTCAGACAAATCCCCCGTATCCTGCCCCATACTACAATTCAATAAGCAAAACTTTATGATACAAAGACTACGAATCCCGGGTAATTTGAATCCCCAGACCTTTTGTGTTGAACCTTGCTCTTCTGGTGGCTTGGATAGCTGAGAAGCAGCCTGCAATGCCGAGATACAGTGGTGTCGGATATTGGCGACATCGTGGGTTAGAGAGATACAGACGGATCTGGTGCATCAATAAGGCTTAAAATCTGGCAAGGTCTTTCCGAGTGGAACACTTCGACTGAAAGTGAGTGAATTTCTCTTAGATTGATGCTTGATTTTGGCCTACCGAGTTGCGAGATAGGAGTCAAATTCATATATTATTATTACACATGTAGAGAGTAGCATGAGACTGGGAAATGAAGGTGATTGCATTTCAGGATGATATTGTATGATCATCAAATATCACGAGAGAAGCTCCTTAGGCAGAGCACTTGTATCAGCGAACAGGGGGTAGAAAATGCTCCAGGTACATCAATGCTATTGAACACCCTCAACTCTGTTCCCACTGCCTGAGATAAGGATTGGGATATCATATCTGGTCGAGTCGGACGTTTCTAACTCTGTAGTGGCTTGTAAAGGGCTCAGTAGGGAGAGGAGACAGCTAGATACCGAAGGGTGCAACTCGGAGTGAGCTACGTACCCGCTCGCTGTTTGCTATTAGCTACCTACAACTGCGTAACTCACTTCACTAAACTAGCTTCGGTTCAACTGCTGAGCGGCTCATCAAACCTGGAACTGATAGTGAGGTAAGCACTAGCATCTAGTTGGAGGATAGTTCCTTGTAATGGGCGGGTAAAAGATGCATCCTTGCGGCCTGACTTGAAATAAATAAGCACTGCTGATAAGGATTGCAGAGCCGTTATGACTCTATCTAACACTGACCATGTATATAACAGGGTGAGGAAGCCGCATCACCTCTATGGACTCGTTTTGTAACTTTGACTCATTATCGCCATTGAGCGACTGGAATTACCACGCAGACGATGAACACGAGTCGAGTGGTCTTAATTCCTAGGCGAACTGCCTTCGAGATAGTGTTCGTTCTTGAGCACTCCAGTATCGTTATTACACCACACAAAGAAACGTTATTCTGGAAGAGTATACTTTCCTTCTATGTCCCGCCATGAAACGTATCGATCAAGAGCCAGAAAGCTTCGAGGCTCACTGTAATAATCCTGATCTTTCAGAGGGATCCGTCCCAGCTCTTACAACTTAGCACTATTCAAAGTAGCATCCTCTGCGAGGCGAAGTATTCCCTAGTCAAAAACTTAGTCGCCATCGTTAAATCATTGGGAAAGTCGAACCTCTTGTGAGCATGTAGCCAGTAAAGTTCCATCTTTTAAAAACATTCGTTGGACAACCAAGGCTCATCCATGAGCGGCCCAAGGACTTTCCATTTCTGAAACCATCCACTCATCTGCTTTGATCCGTAGGGGTTCATGAAAGTAGATCCTATGGTCAAGACTCGTTGCCATAGACATCCTCGGTCGCTTAACCCATTCCTCGATGGTAGACCCCAAACCCTCACTTTCACTGACCCTTTGAACCTGAGATCTCAACTTGGGCGGTAGGGAAGGCACATCTTCTGGTGTGAAGGGGAGCCGCCATAGACGATGAAGGCGCGCTGCCGTGAGGATGAAGTAGCCGTCAGTCAAAAAGGCTAGGGCATGGAGATGAGCGCCAGACCCACCAGTTTCAGGAACAACTACTTAGGACTGCGTTCCTCCTGGCAGACGGACTTCTGCATGCGGGTCTGCGTGCAGGTGACCGAGTCGCCAATCTCTTTTACGCTGGAGATCTCTACGGCTCTTTTCTCTTGCGCATTTTGAGCGTCATTTATCTGCCAATACCTGCTATCCAGATACCAATTGGAGGTTTGATAGCACCAGGTATGACAGCCCATCTTCTGCGAACATGCCATGCAACGGCTGTGCTCTCAATCATAACATCGTTGGTCCGGCTGGCCTCTTATTGCCGCCCTAAACAGGAGATGTTTCTATCTGTGACAGCTATCATGTTTGGTGGTGAGCCAATGTTTGGTGATCAGGTCGTTGCGGTGGCGTACCTCTTCCCCAACGCGACCATACGCAGCTGTGTATATGGCTCGATCGATGCAGGCGTCGTAGCCGTTTCTGCCGGAGGTTCAGACCCGGCCGAGCACATTGTGCTTTCGGCGGCGGCTATTGTCGAGATCCTCGTTGACCAAGATGGACACCTTGTCCCAACTGAACAACCAGATATCCCGGGAACATTTGTAACCAATTTGATCCGAGCCCTGACACCCGTCATCCGGTATCCAACGGGAGATCGCGCGGAGTTGGTTGATAAGCCAGCTGGAATCTTCCGTCTTCTTGGACGTAGCAAATATGCTGTTCGGCTAGGTCCCGTTTCTCTGGACATTTCGCACCTACGTCAGCTCGCTAGAGCTGTTCTGAAGACTGTGGCTATAGAGGCTTTCCAGGTGGTAATCACCCGCCAAGATTCCAAGGATGCCATGGAAATAATGATAAACACAGCCGAGCCCCCTCCTGCAACCTCTGGAGATGCCATCATTGAGATGTTGAGTGAGCAGAGGCCTATGAAACATATTGAGATGGGATTGGTTGCTCCCGCCAAGGTTTGTTTCAAATCCATCTGCGATATGAAAGCAAACCCACGCAGCGGGAAACTACCTGAGATTATCGATTTGAGACTAAATACTGTGTAAGCAGTATATAGACCATTGTAGCATATGTAGCTTATAAAGCGTACTTTTCCAACTCTGACACAGTAAAGTGACTCTGATCCTGAATAGGGGCATCTGGCGCTGGCGGGGTATAGAAGCGACATTTCACCGTGTCGCCCCAATGCGACCGTTATCTTATACGTATGAGTGGGTTCCTTCTTAATACTGGATCTACGGGTGACTGTTTTAAAAATTGTGTGATATGCTCTTTTCCCCCGCAAGCTTATAGTCCTCCGCTTAATAGCCCCTCGCTGGATAGTAGGGTGGATTTGCGTAAACATACGGTACTTCGGCATTTAACTGCGAAGCTATCTTGAGTGCCGGCATTACTCGGATAGTCGCAAGAATAGTAGTGCCTCACGGTAAGACCCCGAACGCGTAATGAATGGCTATACGAGGAATGGTACATAGTAAGGCTAACTATCATACGATACGGAGGCCCCCTTGTAGTCAATTCCGCCATTTGCCTATCAAAATATGTATAAACAAATGTCTCAGAGCTAATTTGTATATGGCATGCTGTCTAACCGGTGTATTAGGATGAGAAGGAGGGATACCCCTAAAACTGATCGACATTCCTCCACAGGCATTCTAGGGCACTACGTAGGACAAAGAGCACCGGTAACAAACTCTAAATCTCCATCATGCATGTGATAAGTCAACTATCGGTGTCGATCTGTTACGGTTCGTGCATAAACAGGCCTTAACGCATGCTGAGATTCTGAAAGTAACTGGTGCGAGGGAACCTTTTGTCAACTTAAAGTCGTCCCAGGGGATAGGACATCTAGGTTGGAAGCGAAAGTTGCATAAAGATACGAAATTGGCAGCAGATGAGCGGGTGTACGCCATGTTAACGATTACCATGCAGCTACATACAGGCCACTGGAGCGTGATTCTGCAGAAGCGGAAGTAACTGGAGACAGTTTTTGAGAATTTCAGATTACCGAAATAGAGGATCGACGGTCACCTTTATGGTTAGGAGTGAAATTACTCTGCTGCAGGTGCATTGATAGAGCCGTTTGCCGTATCAGCAGCCAAAAAGTGCTTAGGCCCTTTCACACAGCCGCTTTACCTGCACAGAGTTAGTTCAGACGTCAAATGTAAAAGAAATCTCAATGTGGTAATGATTGATTAAAAGTTATGTCAAAAGTCGTATGTCTTGGAGAGCAAACTCGCAGGAAACAAGCCCCTGACATAACTGAGCTCTTAGTAGCCAAGGTTGTGAGTCTTCCATCGCCTTGAAAAGCTCACACTACATGTTAATAGGTCATCTTCTGGGTATTGAGTCTGAAGCTCTGCGATGATAAGTTTCCTTTATATATTCGAGCTACAATCTAAAGAAAAGATCCAAGCTACTTCCTCATGCGCCTCGCTCCCTCGATTTATAAGTACCACGAAGTTTCAATGTCCCCTAAGCCTAGTATAGAACCAATCAACCTGAAAGCTTGCCACTAAGCTTCCAGTAAACAGCATAGTTGAATCCCTGAGCATCATAAAAAGGACCCAACTCGACAGCCTTTCCACCAGAAGTAGCTCCAAATGTCAGATCAGTGTTACCCTTTCGCTTGATACTTGCCAGGTCAATCGTAGGGTTGCCGTTCAGAGTAGACTGTCCATAGTTACCAGCCAGAATGACTGGACCAAAAGCAATTGCACCCAAGGTCTGATCGTCGTTGGCGGCAACAGTGTGCAGGCTCATGGGGAGTTGGACTGTGACAGTATCTCCAGACTTCCACTGTCTCTTGATCAGAGCGTACTTGCCGGGCTGGATGGCCACATTCGCAGCTTGGCCGTTGACCTTGATGGAGGCTCTAGAGGTCCAAGATGGGATGCGGACTGCAAGAGTCCATTCACTAGTATCACCAGAGATCTTGAATGTTGATGTATCGCTTTCAGGGAAGTCAGTTGTCTGAGTGACAGAAACCTTCTTCTGAGACCAATTGAGCTTCGAAGGAGTGAAGAGGTTGACGTAGAGAGTATCAGAAGTGTGAAAGTAGATCGAGTCCATGAGTTTGGTGTTGGTCTCGACTCCTGTACCTTGACAGCACCAGAAAGAGTTGTAGTCAGTACTCCAGGTACCGCCACCCCAAGCAGGACCAACTCCGCGACGGCCACCTGCCTTGAGAGGTGTGAAGTACGTAACATGTCCATGATCACTGCTGGGGTCTTGCTGACCAAGCAGGTGGTTCAACAGGGCCTTCTCATAGAAGTCAAAGTATGAAGCGTCAGTTGGGTTCAAGGCCCAAAGCTCACGAGTGAGTTTCAGCATGTTGTAGCTGTTACAGGCCTCGCAAGTATCGTCTGTGAGGAACCCAGAAATAGCATCGGGAGCTCGGAAGTGCTCGGCCTGACTGTTTCCACCAATGGCGTAGGTGTGCTTGTTGACGACCATGTTCCATGCGTTGCGGCCAATGTCGAGGTACTTCTTATCACCACCGACCTTGTACTCGCGCAGAGCACCGATCCACTTGGGAAGTTGGGTGTTGGCGTGCAGGCCAGAAAGTTTGTCAACGTTCTGTTGCAGAGGGTCGAAGATGACAGCATGGTCAAAGCGCTGAGCAACCTTGAGCCACTTTGCGTCCTTGGTGTAGAACGCGATATCGGCGAGGACTTCGTTCATTCCACCAAACTCAGTCTGCAGCATGCTCTGCATCTGGTTGTAGCTCAGCTTCGAGGTGCGCGTGTCAACCCAACTAGCAAGCGAGAGCATAGTGTCTTTAGCAGTCTGGTCACCCAGACGGCGATAAACGTCCAGAAGTCCAGCAAGGGTCTTGTGGATAGCGTAGTAGGGAACATTGCCGTTGTTCAGAGTCCTGTCCTCAACCTTGGTGATATCCGACTCTGGAAAGCCAGAGAGATATCCCTTGTTGAAGCCTGCCTTTGCGTTGTTGGCTTGGCATTTCGCGAGCTCCTGGACAAAGTATGTAGCTCGAGAGCCGCATTCTTTGACTCCGGCGGAAGCGTAGCACTGTGTCCAGGCTGAAAGAAAATGACCTTGGACGTGGCTTCGAAAGGGGAAGTCGGGTGCATCCCAGCCGCCGTTTGTCTGTGCACCTTTTGTATCGACGCCGTGGTTCTTGCGGAACACGTAGAGGAGACGATCGGGGTCAACCGATAGAAGATAGTTCAATGTTCGGTTCTGATTGTCCATCCATCGACTATCAGTGAGGGAGACTTGAGTCAAATCGAATGCATCCGCCACGTCGTTGACAGCTTGGCCGTTGACAGGAAGAATTAGGGACACAAGACCCACAAAAAGGGCAGAGGCTTTGACCACGACCATAATGAAGCTGGTTTTCGTTGATCGGCTGGCTTGATGAAGCGGATGTTACGCCGGTTCAGCAGCTGTTTATATATCCATTACATCGATCTCCATAGAACTCGGACACAGAAAACTCCCTACCCCATATCACCTGTTTAATTAGGCCTGAGCTCTCACATTCATTGGAGCGCCAAGTTTAATGTTACATCTGCAGATCCGGGGGAACTTCCATACGGCATTTAGCCGATGCTTTGACTGGTGATCTGCCACGAGATTTCTGTTCCACAAATGAGAAACACGAAACGCCTGCTTGTGATTAATTGGACGAAATACGCGCACCAATGCTGCTCTAAATAAAGTGATCAACATGAAGCGACCCGAACCGCAAACTCTGGGAACATACGATGTCTCGAATGTAGTGGCGCGCCAATACCTTAAGATAGGAATTAGTATGGCAGCTCAATACTTGTTGCGGTGATAGTGCAGAGCCCAGACATTATGCTTAGTTTAGACTACCGCGCCAATGTAGGGTGAATGCGAGATGAAGCTTGTCCTATGTCAGGAACTACAGGTGCGGAGAAGGGAGATCCGATCTATATGGGGAAGGTCAGTAAACAATGTCATCATGCTCCTGAGGGGTTTGCGTTGCATCCCGGTGGGAGGAGCTGAGAAGTCCGGTGGGAAGCGACTCAAATCCCGGTGGATATGCCGAGAGGCCCAGATCATGTTTTCCACTCATCCATAGGGGCATGAAAGAGGTATTAGAGAGCCAATTAAATATTTCTCGAGTCGTTCGTGTATGCCATAGAAGCAATTCTAGCCGGCGGAATAAATAGTTGTGCTAGTGTTACTGGGATTGCAACTTCACTGTCCAGCCCTCGTCCTTACTACCCATGTCATTCGATGCGGAGTCTTCCGCCACGGCCTCAACCACTGTCGAGTCTCCGAATTTCGCATTGATCTCTTCAAGCTCTAAGCCCTTGGTTTCCACGAAGGTGAAATAAGCAATGATAAGAAATATGAAGTCCCATGAAGCGTTGATAAAGTAGAATTTCCATCCCAGATCGGCCATTGCATAGGCCATGGCAAAGGAGGCAAGAAGACTAAATAATATTGTTAGTAAGGGCTTAGACACGAGGGATAGATTTGTTATACCCAGCACTCGAGTCAAGCATGCGGAAGATGGCAATGCCTGTAGCACGTAGCTTGAATGGCGAGACCTCGGTTGGATACAAGCTTGTCATTGGCGTGATCGAAAAAGCATAAAAGCCTTGGAAGAGGAAAATGACGGCAATAGTTCCATATATGGCGGAATTGTTGGTGCTTTCGCCGAAACCTGAAGATTTCTGGTTAGCAAGCAACATCAGACTAAACACAGACTGGAACCTACGCTTGATAAGACCACCGATGAGCAAGAGGGTAACGACCATGCCGCCAACACCGATGAAGGTCTGTAGTCTGCGCCCGAGAATATCGAGCATGAAGCTACCCAATACAGCGACAGCGAATGACCAGCAGTTGATGATGACCTGGATCTGGGTTTGGGTAGTCGTGTTGGTAATGCCAGCTTGATTGAGGATCTTGGTAAGGTAGAAGCTGTGATTGTCAGATGGGTGGATCAGCCGCTGCCAGAACGGTATGACTTACGATATGATGAAGTTACCAAACAAGTTGATCATGGGTCCAAAGCTGCATAGAATGGCCAGTCTGCGCCTGTTGGGCCCACTGGAAATGATCTCCCTCCAGGGGTTGCGAGGATATTCTTGAGCTTCGCGCAAGATTGCGGTCCTGATTTCTTCCAACTGCTCACTGCCCTTCTGGAGATCTGTCTTGTCCTTCCCCTGCATAATGACCAGAACTTCAAGTGCTTCTTCGTTACGATCCTTGGAGATCAACCATCGGGGGGATTCTGGGACGAAAGGAACAATCATGACAGCCAGCAAGCTGGGAACAAATTGAAGGAGAGATGGTAATCGCCAAGCCCATGTGCTCTGGATGTTTTGGCTTCCATAGTTGATGATGGCTGAGGCCAAACTGCCGACATAGAAGCAGGAGAAGAACAAACCAAGAACGCGGGCTCGTCGACGTGGAGGGAGCAGCTCGCCAAGAAGAGTTGGTGCAGCGCCATTGCTGATAGCGGATCCAACACCAACAAGGAAACGGGCGACCACGAACATGGGTATGTTTTGAGCAGCAGCCTGTAAGATGATGCCGATTGTCGTTACGATTGATGCGATGTAGATTGCACGTCGACGGCCGAAGTGATCGGGAATAGGACCCATAAGAAAAGCACCAAAGATGCTGCCCATCCAATTGGCCGCATTGTTGAGACCTTCAGTGGCGGTTGTCAAGTGGAAGTATTCGGAGTAGGACGGCAAGATCAACAGGCCATTCATGACGGATGAATCGTAACCTAGTGTCTGCGGTTGTTAGCTGACTCTGCAGGGAAGTGGGCTCATACGTACAGCCGAGTTCACGATGGTCACTGCCAGAAGGAGAGGCATGAGGATCCTGTGATCTGCAGGCACAAGCCTCGAGACATGCTTTCGTTCAAATGCCATGATTGAGATGGTCGCCGTTGAATGATGAGCCGAACCAGGAGTTGGGCTCTTCTTCATGGCCGGTTGCAGGGTGCATCTTATATCTTGGAACAAAAATGTTTATTATCATTGGCTTATCAAGTCTGGGGAAGACAGAACCCAGGGAATCGGTCTTATCAGGCCCGCAACTCCCCGCATCGGATCTAGATCCTGGGGAGATAACGAGTTGATTGAGTTCTGACCAATAGCTTCACGATCTGAGCCGAAGTCGGTCGAGCTCGGCCGAGCTCACCCGCTAGTGACTTCGTCGCTAGTCAAGGGAGGAAAGGCGAGACATGATATTGAACTAAGAGATAAAAGGATAGCATATCACCGAACCGTGAATTTTAACCTCTTTCAACCACTAATCCTATTGAAATGCCTGGCCCTATCCGACAATGGCCTGCGTGGCCCGAGTACATCTGTGAGAATGCAGCGTCCTCCAAAGACCCTGAGTTCTTGCAGGTCAAGAAAGCGATTATCTGCGAGTATGGCGCTGAAGCGCTTCGTCGAAGTTGGATAAAGGTCTGCAAAGAACTGGAAAGCATCACTGATGAGATTATCGAGAAGGGAAGCACCATTATCCCCGTCTTCGACACTCTAGAAGTTATCGATAAAGGCTTCTCACCAGAGCAACAGGCTGAGATCAAGAAAATCGGCTCGTTCGTCTGTCGCAATACTGTCTCCAAGGAAGACGCGACAGCACTTTATTCAGACCTCAGGACGTATGTCGCGGATAACAAAGGCTCCATCCAAGCATGGCCTAAGGAGAGTCCATCAATGATGGTCTTGTACAACTCACCAACACAAAACACCCTTCGTTCTCATCCAAATCACCTGAAGCTGCAGCGAAAGCTCAATGAGATTTGGAAATACTCTGCAGAAGATACCTCACCCGATCCTCTTATTTATCTTGATGGCATTCGCGATCGTGCTCCAGGCCAGCCATTCCTTGGGTTAGGCCCTCATATTGATGCTGGAAGTTTGTGTCGCTGGGCTGATCCAACTTACCGGAAAGTCTACGATGAGATCTTTTCTGGTAGGCCAGAATATCATGATGCTTATGATCTCGATGTGAGAAAGAATGCGAACCAAGAGCTTTACAAGGGCCCTGCTCACTCTTCGGTGCTGCGAACGTTCCAAGGATGGACTGCGTTGACGCCAACGGCGCCAAGAGAGGGGACCATTATGATATACCCCAATGTTAAGACTGTAATCGCATACCTCCTTCTGCGACCCTTCTTCAGTCCGCCAAAGGATCCTGATCATATAATGAACGCTGAGAAGTGGACGTTTGACGACTCCACCGGTTGGTTCCCAGGGACTATGAGGCCAGAAAGTCAACGCTTGAGTCGGTTATCTCATCCTCATCTGAGGCTCGAAGAATGCCTTATTCATATGCCAGAGGTACAGCCTGGCGATACAGTCTGGTGGCATTGCGATGTAAGTGGATCTATTCTCATTGTTTTCGTGCAATCATCTGACAAAAGCAACTTCAAGGTTTGCCATGCTGTGGATACCGAGCATCTTGGAAAGAACAACGCGTCGGTGGCCTTCATCGCTGCGTGCCCTACAACACCAGCGAATGAAGCCTACGTTAGAGACCAGCTTCTTGCTACACTAGAAGGACGACCTTCTGCTGATTACGCAGATGGGAATGACCTGGACGAGAGGACACTGAAGGGATATGTGGGCCTGGATGGTCTAGATGCTGAAGCACGCAGGGCTTTCGGATTCCACCTACTGTAAATACACAGTCTAATGACAAAATAAGCTGGTCAAAGGGCAGGCTAAGATCATCATAAACTACCCTAAACTCCCCTAAAATACTTTAACATTGTCTTGGTCTTTTTTGCCTCTTAGGACTCTAGTGTCAAGCTTTCTTCCACCTTATAATTTGCTTCAATTCAACCGATAAAGATTGAACTCTGCCGTGATCAGCAAAATTTAGAGTCGCATTGTGCATATGATGAACTCGTCATCAAAGTCTAGGTGGTGAGGAGAATGATGCATGACTGATATCATCAATTGGTCCGTCGTGAAGAACGTCAGCACATAAGCCTGTCACAAATAGAACATTCTCTTGTGATTCAAAATCACAAAAAATCTTTCAATCCAAATTACATTAATCTTACCTAAAACTAACACTGAAACATGTCTACCGCCATTGTTGTCGGAGCGACAGGTACGTGGTATCCCCAGCTTGGTAGCTGTCTTTCTCACCATCGTGATAGGCATTCTTGGACGTGAAATCGTTCATCAGCTGGGTCAAACCCCCCAGAAATGGAGCAAAGTCTACTCCCTCTCGCGCTCTCAGAAAGATGAGTTCCCTTCCAATGTTGAGCACAGACACATCGACCTCACCGGGAACGCCGATGAGATAGCCAAGAACCTGCAGGGTATCACGGCTGAATACGTCTTCTTTGCCGCTTACCTCCAGGAGGCAGATGAACAGAAGAACTGGGATGTCAATGGCGATATGTTACAAGCCTTCCTAGATGCCCTTGTCAAGAACGGCATTGACAAGAGACTCAAGAGATTCCTACTAGTGACGGGCGCGAAGCAGTATGGTGTCCATCTCGGACCTGTCAAGAATCCTATGCTTGAGTCTGATCCTTTCCAGACTGACCAGTCAACTTTTCCGCCCAATTTCTACTACCGTCAGCAGGATATCCTGAAGAAATTCTGCGACAAGTCCAACGGCCGTGTTAGCTGGAATGTGACCTATCCCAATGATGTCATTGGCTATGCGCGAGGAAACTTCATGAATCTTGCAACGGCGGTTGGCATCTACGCGGCAACCAGCAAAGAGCTTGGTAAAGATCTTGTCTTTCCTGGATCTGAGAGGTTCTACACTGGATTCGACTGTTTCACAAGTGCCAACCTTCATGCAAAGTTTTGTGAATGGGTCGTGCTCGAATCTTCGGCTGCCAATGAGGCTTTCAACGTCGTCAATGGTGATGTTGAGAGTTGGCAGAACCTATGGCCTAAAGTCGCAGAACGATTCGGGATGAAGGTTGATGCCTCCCAATTCCAGCAATCTCACTCGTTGAGCTCATCTACAGATTTAAATCCCGTTCCTCCCATCAGCTTGCATGAGGAGAAGTCGGGACTCAAAGGTATCACCACACCAGGCAAGATGGAGCAGACCATCGATTTGGTGAAGTGGAGCCAGCAGTCGGAGGTCAAGGAAGCTTGGAAGAAACTCGCTAAGCGAGAGGGCTTGGATGAGAAAGCACTGGAAGAGGCTACGTGGGGATTCCTCGGTTTTGTGCTGGGCAGGAATTATGATCTCGTGATTAGTATGAGCAAAGCACGAAAGCTTGGTTGGACTGGGTAAGTTGAACGCCTTTCGGAAATGCTGAGTCTTGCTAATGTTGAATAAGATATGAGGATAGTTGGGAGCGCCTGAGCAAGGTTTTCGATACACTGAAGGATGCCAAAGTTCTTCCCTGAGCTTGTTGCTTTATGACAAGTTGCCAAGTCAAGCCGCCTAGTATCTATAACAAGATGGATAGTTTAACAAATTCTCAAAACCTAAAATACATTCATGTAACAGCTTCATTTATGCTTTGCCTCAAGACTCGAGCAGCATGGCGAGCTAGTAGGTTATGTGACTCAACAGCGTCGAGCAAGACAAGCCCAGCTTCAATAGCCTCGAGGTACTCCCGGTTGTCCTTCGAGCTGGTACTTTGGCATTCCCGCAGCAGAAACATAGCCGAAGAGTAAATATGATACGAAAGTGCCCTTATGATTCAGTATGCTGCCAGGGAGCTCAGGGGTGGGGTTGTCTTACCACTGCTTTCTGGTTGAAGCTGGCTGGTCCCAGCTTCGATTAATCCAAATGAGGCTCATGGCAGATGTGACGCTGACTGTTCGTGCCCAATGATATTCCTCGGGAGATGATAGCCACTGGTTTTGGAGAACACGGTTGATGTGCATTCGAAGGTGCAACAACACGAGAGTCAAATCGTACCGTTGCCATTTGATCCACGGCTGAGTAGCCTCAAGGGCTTGTATCTCTGTGTTAGTGACTGCGTCACTCTCGGGTTGCAGGTGGCCAGGCAATGTGTCTATGATACTTGCCAACCCCTCATCCGCAGCCTTGACGATGTCGACAACATTATTCAGGGACTTTGAGCCGTATTTCAGTGATATGCGAAATGTGTATATGACTTGGGATGTCCGAGCCATGAAGATGTGATAGTGGACGGGGTCTACAAGACCTCCCTGTGGCGCGGGATGGGGAATCGATGGTAAGGAGACTTTGAAGTCGGATTCGTCTATAACTGGTGATTGATGCGTCAAGTTCAACCTGATTGGAAAGCAAGTAATCAGCCTTTGGAGCCATATTGATGACATGTAACCTTACCACTCGCAGATTACTAGCGTCCACCATAGACGACGCTCTGCCTCGATGCTGAGGTGCTGTCCTTCTCTTTTGTCATTATCTTGACCTAAGCGTAGAGTTTGGGCGATCCGAATCGCAGAAACTCGCAAGTGATGACCCATCTCCGAATCTCCACGGTTGTTGAAGGTCATGCACAGAACAGCTATTGCTTGCACGTTGTGTACATTGGCGACCCGCAGGAAGTCTGCTTTGTGGAGACAGAATATGGCAGCGTCGTACCAATTTCGAGACACCTGTTCCATGGGAAGGTCATTCGGTAGCTGCAGACTTTGAGCTTCATTGTCTTCCATCATCAAAAGTGCTGTCTGCACCGCCCGTCAGTAGTTTTACTGGTACCTGTCAGACATATCTCAACTTACACTGAGGACACTGAAGTAGAGAGCGAGCCATGAAACGTCAGCCTTATCGAGCGCTAAAACTTTCTCTAGACTGCTGACAAAATGGTCACATTCGTCCTTGAACTGAGGATACTCCAGGGCATAATGTACCCAAGAGTTCCACGTCCTGTCAAATTCTACAAGTTTCTTGCTAGTATCTTCGTCGGGCAGTATGATATCCGCCCAGTTCAATACAGATGACCTGTCGATGTTGGATTCCGAGGCAAGGCTTTCCCATAAGCCATCATCAAGCTCACCTGGGGTGTACTCTACATCATCCAGTGAGTTTTCGAATTGCTGGGCCTGTGCAGGATTAATGGTTGGTCGGCGGCCTTCCCGCGACTTGAGTGCCATGATCTCTCGTCGTAGACGGTGATTCTCTTCCTTGAGCTCTTGGTATGTTGGAGGTTCGGGACCGTCTTGCCATCTGTTATCTTATCAGATTCAATAAAAAAAACAAAATGAGGATGATTCACAGACGTGGTCACCTGGCCGCGAATAAGGACCATTTCCCTGACACATGATTCAGCCTGGCCACGCTTGATGCACCGTGAGCAAGGAACAGATTTATCGCATTTGACTTTACGAGATGAGCATGACAGGCAACTCCGCGGCGCTCGCTGCGTCGATCGAAGGGCCACTGCATCACTTGAACGATGCTCCATACTGACTCCCTCAAGGGTATCGCAAAGGTTAGGTGGTGAGGAATGAGAGGGGGGCCTGGTCTCAAACTCAACCGAGCTGACCCGATAATCACCTGCGTTGTGATTGGATGGTTATACGCGGACGTGACGCTTATCGGAGCTGCCCCACGGTATTTGAGCTTTCCAATGTAAGCATATGAAGATCAACCTACACTCTTCTCTATTTCCCTTTACTGTGTGACTAACGTCTCGTTTCAATTATTCAAGATGCCATCTCTCGTGGTGTTCCGCGGTGCAGCCATTCACTCTCTTGACCTCCAAACTCTGGAATTTGTTGACGATGCAACTCTCCTCATCAGCAACGGCGTCATTACAGGATTTTGGAAGAACCCTGCCGCTGTCCCCAAAGATGCATTTCCCTCAGATGCCAAAATCCATACTCTTTCTCATGGTGAATTTCTGATACCGGGATTCGTCGACACTCATAATCACGCTCCTCAATGGCCGATGCGGGGTCTTGGCCAAGGCCTTCACATCCTCGATTGGCTTGACCAGGTGACGTTTCCCTTCGAAGCACGCTTCTCTGATCCAGAGTACGCAAAAAAGATGTATGAACATACTGTTCAGGACTTTCTGCGACAGGGAATCACGACTGCTTCGTACTATGGCTCCCGTCACGCTGAAGCGACGCGCATTTTAGCGGATATATGTTACGCGAAAGGCCAGCGCGCGTTTGTCGGAAAATGTAACATGGACAGAAATGCACCAGATTATCTTCGTGAGCAAAGTGCAGAGGGCTCTCTTCGCGAGACCAAGGAGTGCATTGCTCATATTCGTGCCCTTAGCCCCGCCGGAGACGGTGAAGAGGGGTTGGTGAAGCCGGTTGTTACACCAAGATTCGCAATCTGCTGCACTGACGAACTTCTTCGTGGGCTTGGAGATATGGTACAGGCAGATGATACTCTGGCCATGCAAACACATTTCAACGAAGCCCAGCAAGAAATTGATTTCACCAAGGAGCTCTTCCCTCAGTTCAAAGGGAGCGAGGCTGATTTGTATGAGAGTTACGGACTTCTCAACAAGCGCAGCATCCTTGCTCACTGCACCATCATGACCGACTACGAAAAGGAACGTCTTGAAGCACTGGAATGTGGCATCGCCCACTGCCCCATTGCCAACATGACAATCGGCGGTGGTTTCATGGTGGCACCTATCCGCGATTTCCTCCGTCGCGGAATTAAATGCGGTCTTGGTACCGATAGTGGAGGCGGCTGGGCATCTCAGATGTTAGCAGTCATCAGACAAGCGATGATAGCTTCAAATGCCCGCGAAGTTATGTCCAAGGGCGAAGACAAGGCTCTTTCACTTGAGGAAGTATTCTACCTCGCAACTATGGGGGGCGCCAAGGTCCTATGTCTCGAAAACAAGATCGGAAACTTTGAAATTGGTAAGGAGTTCGATGCTATTTGGGTGACTACCACGACAGGACTACAGTCTGCTATGACTCCAAGAGAGGAGGAAGACTCACTGAGAGGATTGTTTGAGAAGTATGTTATGACGGGTGATGACAGGAATGTGGCACAGGTATTTGTCAAGGGCCGCAGAGTGGCAGGTAGCCAAGAGTACAATTAGTTCCGACAGTCTCTAGGCTCTTCATAGGGTTAATAAAAGACCCTGTATACACCATTGTGACGCATCGTTCAATCATTTATGCCCTCATGCTCACAGCGACTCGTCTTAACAGATCATCACTACCGCCTGCCTCGGGGAACAGGAAAGCTCCACATTGAGTAAGGGTATCAAAGTATACTCATCAAAGAACCCCGAGGATTACGACGGTCTACATAAGTCTTATTTGCCTCCCCTAACGCCACTAACACATGGCTACCCTTCAGCCTCACCTTCGTCCCTCAACCTCAAGCACGCGACATGCTGCAGAGGTTCACTTTTCGCACTTAACCTATTCTATTTTATGGCATGATTTTATTTTGGGACATGCTAGCTATGTTCGAGATACTGAAAGCTGACCTGCTGCAGACCAAAACTCGACACTAATAGTTGCCCTCCACAGCCTTCTTCTTTAGTTCCTCCTCGAGCTTCTTACATGGATCGCATAAGATACTAGTCTCCAGACTCACGTGGTCCCTTGTCTCCACGCAACCTGGTTCTCCTTTAAGCTTGTGCTCACATTCTTTCTTGACCTCAGTCTTGAACAAAAGGTGGTGGCAGGAGCCGAAGTGGTATACATCTGTAGTAACGCACATAGTTATTGCAATACTAAAGGATATGATTGTTAAGTTGTTTTCAAGATTAGTTCCGATATCTTGTCAGGATAAATTGATTATCAAGAGTATGAAAGGTTGAAGGTTGGGGAGGACCAAGCGGGATACGAAAATACTTATATGTTTTTTGAGCCTCTGAGTCACTTCGTGGTAATATTATTTCTCGGATCGTGGATACCTCTATAGCATGGAGAGTGATGCCAAGTTCTTGTCTAAATTAGCTGCCCGGAGGCGACTCCTCCCAGAGATAATCAGAGACGAGCCTGTAGACAATGTGAATAATGGCGAATCAATCCCTCAACTAGATACTTCGTATATGAAAAGTATCTTAAATATCACCAAGACTAACTACTTGAGTCCGGCAAGGAAATGAACCACAATTACAATAGACCTAGGCGTCTCTTCCTCTCATCTTCCGGCTCCTGACATGGTAGGCAAGGTCGATACCACGTGTACCATTCATCTCCACATGTTATGTTGCATTGTTCCGTTTCTTTTTGAGGGCAAGGCTCTTCTTCATGGTGCCACGAGGTTAGGTGACCGCAAGTTCCCCAATATCGTATTGTTGTAGTTTTGCACATTTTGTTTCAGAGTCAAATGATGGCAACTTTGATCATTGTTTGCTCTATCATAAGGTGGACGTGTGGGAAATCTATTCCTGGGATATTGAAACTGTTGAAAAGGGGGGTCTGAGGGAAGCATTTTATACTTGGAGCGACTCTCTGAATCAGGATATGTGATTATTGTATTTAAGTCACAGCTCTTTTTATGGATTCTAGAAAAGCGTAACTCAAATTACAACGTGTGTGTATCATATCCGTCCACGGTATTCTAAGTCTCGATTTCCCCTCAAGCTATAAGCGTTTAGCCTTCTTCCTCTCCTCCTCTTCCGCCAGCTTCTTCGCTTCTTTACATGGAAAACAGTCCGTTTCTATAGATCTGCTTGGATTTAGTTCCAGGAAAGCACAGTTTCCACTGTCCTTATTATCGCAGTCTAAAGTCTGGACCTCATGAGTGATTTCATGACCACATTTGCCAATGACATGTGTGATGACGGAGATGCACATGTTGAGATTATTTGTGATTGTAGCAATCAAGTGATTGTTTAGTTATGAGCTTCAAGTCAACGTAATACGACTCTAGGTTTAGTTTATAGCTAGACTAGCAATCACTTCCATGCATGCTAATTTATAGATACGATAGGTCACTGAATCAGTCAGAAAATTGATATTGAGGAGCATATAGCAACACGATCAGTAACCACCTAAAAGTTTTATCTCTATATATAAACTTGCAACTCTGCAAGATTTTGCAAAAATGGGGAAATGATCCAAGGAATCACTCTTGACTCCCGTGTTTTCTATGACTTGTCACTGATCTAATGTCACTAATTATCCATTAGATAAGACATTGATTGGCAATAACAACGTACCCCAGGGTGTATCGTGACGTAACACCAAGCACAATTACAAATAATAATGCGCTTTTGGGCACACGCATGACGCCTTAGCCCAGGTTGAAGACAGGTACGTTGGTACTGATGATCACGACAATGATGGGGTTAATTATGAATACAGTATCTTAAGTTGTCGGGGGCGCAGACCCGCCTATTTTGTCGTAAGATACTTTAAAGCTTTTCCACTATTCTAGCCTTACATCTCTGCGCCTCCAGAACTTGAGGCTCCATAGGTTTGCTGATGATTCTGTAGATTCCTCTAGAGAGTCCAGTGTCCCTCCACCTGGAAGTTCACAAGTACCCAGAAAAGATTCTGGAAAAGCTCTTGTGAAATGCAAAGTCATTAAGGCGATTCGAATCTCACCACCCTTTTCATGAAATAAACCTCGATCTGCCAGACTGTACGCGGCTTTTGAGACCTTTTCGGGAGACTATCTAGGTCATAAAACTCTGCTGGGACTGCCAGCGGCCTTCCTTCACAGGCGGAAGCATGAAATTTGCGGATTTCACATCCCTTCAATATATCGCCATCCCGCCGAGAGTTTTGTTTGGATCCTACATCTACGATGGCGATATAGATTGGTTACCAAAGCTCAGAGCACACTTACCACCGAGCTTGAAAGTGTTGTTTTTGCAGGATATTGCAATAAACGAAAGACACATACCAGGTGACAACAGCGATATTTCTGACTGTGTATTATTGCCTTGCGACTTCGAGATGATCAAAACTCTGATCGACTATGAGGAATTGTTTCCATAGCCTACTATCATCGCGTGGACGTCGACAGTGGATATGCCAGAGCCATGGCAGCTCTAAGACCCTGCTTTCAAACTCGGTATTACTATTGAGTGTGTGAAGAATAGGTTGAAGTTGGAACCAGATGAGGAGTGGCTTGATGTGCTGGAAAGAAACCCATCGACGAAGTACTCTGATGCTGGTTCGGAGTGCTCAGAGACTGGCTCGGAGGAGTCTTCAGAGGAATAGTCGTAAAAGCATGGTGGAATATCAGCATCCCAAAGACCATGAATAGCACACTCAGTGCCCCAAGAGGGGCACCCAACCGTGGTGCACTGTCAGTCACAGGGGCTGCGCCACCTGTAGATGACTCCTGAGCAGTACTTGAAGCACTCTCAGCACCCTCGGTGCTACTGGTGGTTTCTGCATCTGATGTCGCAGAGGCCGAGGCCGAGGCCGATGTCGCTGAAGATCCGTGTGAAATGTGCGAAGTAGTTCCGGCATGTCTCGTGGTTGACGAAGCAGCAGAGGTACTGGTCGCCTCCAACTTGATACCGCAAACTTTCTCAGCGTCAAAGGTGAAGTCGAGGTTCCTGGCCTGGCATTCTGTATGTTGGCGCTCGACAGATTCTGCATGTAGTTCGTTAGAGGAGTTCAGTCTTCCAAAGTTTTAGGATACTGACCAGGCATCACATCTGCATCACATTTCTTGGCCATACAGCAGAAATAGGCCTCACGGTACTTCTTCTGAGTGCACATACAGGCTGGATCATTGGTACATGAACCGCCGGGGAAGCTGTCATCGAAACAGCCATTCTGACACATTCATTAGTTTCTAGCCTCACAAGACGTGTTAAGAGTCACATACATCACATTCTGACTTGCGTAACTCCGCCCCTTGGTCAAACTGCGGCGCGGCGACAGCAAGAGCTGAGCCGAACAGGCTAAAGATCAAAAACGTGGACGGGCGGACCATCGTGATAGCTCAGATCGAATAGTTTCAATAAAGGCGATCACAAAGTCTGTAAATCTTCCAGTTCCTAGTGGCTTTGGATCACTCGGGGTGGAAAGGGATGAGTAGGTAATGTTCTGATGAGTGGTTTCGTGGAGCAGCGCGTTGCTGCGCCGTCGTGAGAACACGATAATTATCACGCTTGGCTAGATTGGGCAGCTGACCACAGCTGGAATCGGAATAGTGGGGGCGATGTAAACAGACATAACATTACGAGTAAGCGATCTTAGTGCTAGAGAAAAAGCAAAACAGTGAGGCAGTTGGAGCAGAGTCCGCGATGAAGCGGAATTTATTATAAGGTCACATCGTACCTCTGGGAAACAACTCTCAGTTCATCAGAGTCGATTCGTGAGGGAGAACAATAACAGGGCTATCTCCAGTAAAGAGAGCAGGAAGGCTTGGTGATCTTCCATGCCTCATCCAATACCTCCAGCACCTCTTCTGGCAACGGACCCTTCTCAACATTATCCAGATTACTCTCAAGCTGGCTGAGCGAGCTGATACCAATAACCAACCCATCGTTGCCATCCATGACCTTGAGCTTGCTATGGTGAACAAGCCATCTGAATGCAATCTCCAAGAGCGTCAACCCCAATTTGTCAGCAACAGGTTGAATCACCTTCAAAGCCTCAAAGTTGACATCCTTGAAGTATCTGTCCCGATACATCGCCCCAATCACCGGGTCCTGGGTAGAATATCGTCCGCCGTCAGCGGGGATCTCTTTGCTTTTGTAGCGACCTGAAAGTACACCACCAGCCAAGGGATTATAGACAAGAATATCCATCCCGAATTTGCGGCAGCATGGAACAAGTTCTTCTTCAATGGCGCGAGTCAAGCAATTGTACATAGCCTGATAAACGCTTGGTCTGACCCATCCTTTCTGGTCCGCAATGGTGCAAAGCTCAGCAACTTCCCACGCCGCATAATTGCTCAAGCCAAGCCTTTTGAACTTTCCCTCGCGATAAAGTTCATCACAAGCCTCAAGCGTCTCCTGAAACGGGACGGATCGATCTGGTGCGTGCAGATAGAAGATATCCACGCTATCGGAACCAAGCTCGCTAAGACTCTTGTTCAAATTCTCCTTGACAATGGCCTTGGAGTGATCGCCAGGTTTGTAAGGATACCACTTTGTAGCAAGAGTAAGGTTGCGCTCTCGCCAGTTGGTACGCTTGGTCCAGCCTTCTTGCTGACCGCCGACGTAGGTTCTGGCTGTGTCCACTTCATTGTAGCCGCGCGACTGCAAGTAGTCGAGGCATTGGTTGAAGGTGTCGAGGGAGGTAATGCGGCTTCCGTAGGTTTCTGAGCCTTCAGGGCCGAATGTCAGGAGCCCAAGACTGACGCGTGGCTTGGTCTTCGCGGTTTCAGTCATGATATGAGGAGGGGAACTCAGGTGATGAACAAACACTGATTGAGGTAATTGACGAGTAGAGGTTTGGCTTCTGGTACAGGAATATCTGATAAGACTTGGGGACTGTTATGTGTATTATATCATTTCTTCTCAGGTCATATACAAGCTACAGATTGTCGCACAGAAATACAAAATCTTCGGGTGCGATGCCGTTATCTGATAACCGGCGGCAACTTTGGCGTGTAGGGAATGTTTCCGCGCTAAGTATCGTTAGCAGGACTCCAAAGAGTCAGCGGATATCGGCTTCAACACCAAATCCAACCATATCTAGAAAGACTGTGGATTGGTTACCCCGCATTCACTACGTCTGGTTCTGGCGAATCATGGCGTCGCAATTTGGACTCTCAGTGTTGAGTCGCTTCGGCTTCTGAAGCCGTGGATCATGGCGCTTGCGGCAGAAGAAGCCGTTATCATTAAATCTCATAGCAAATAGAGTATATAGCCACTGCTCCAAGCCAATCTTCTATCTGAGAATATATATAAGCTGGATTATCATATAATTTAAAAGTATTCATCCCGAGCACCAGTAATCTCGCAGCCTCACATCTCCGCAATCATGACAACCTTCAACCCTCGCGGTCTTGGCGACGTCAAAGTCACAGATCGATTTGATTTAACCGGCAAGAACTTCCTCATCACAGGAGGAGGTGGAGGTATTGGTTTTGCCTGTGCCAAAGCCATAGCCCAACTAGGCGGCGGCGTCGCTGTCATCGACACAGCTCCCGAGCCGGTAGAAGAGTTCAAATCTCTGAGTGATCGCTATGGCGTCAAGACATTTTACACCCAAGGCGATGTAACCAAACAAGACTCCCTTGAGAAGGCTTTTGCTAAGTGTGTTGATGCCATGGGCGGACAGCTTCATGGAGCGCTCACGGCGGCTGGCATTGTGATGGATACACCATTGCTCGACGCTGACTGGGAAGTCACCCAGCGAGTCCTCAACGTCAATGTTATGGGGACGTACTGGACTATCAAGCTTCTCGCACAACATCTTGTCGAGACCAAAACGCCTGGAAGTATTGTTGCGATCGCCAGCATCAATGCGCAAAGTCTATACGTTCCAGTGCAACCAAAATCCGCTTATAATGCCAGCAAAGCTGCTATCAAGGGTCTTATGGGTCCCTTGGCCGGCGAGCTGGGTCAGTATGGCATCAGGGTCAACTGCATCTCGCCAGGCAAGTCATCTTTGACAATCTCAGTCATGCCACTAATCATGGGCTAGGAGCGATCCAAACCCCTCTATTAGCACGCTTACAGGGAGAGAAGAGGGCTATCCTTGACTGGTACGAAAATGGAGCCCCATTACAACGGCTGGGCGTGCCGGAGGATCTGACACCTATGGTGTGCTATTTACTGAGCGATGCAGCTGCGTTTACAACAGGTGCAGATATGCTTGTTACAGGTTCGTTCCCAAGTCATTGATTGGATGTATGATTACTGACTCTATTGTAGGTGGGCTACATGCAGGGTCAGCTCTGAAGTGAAGAGTAGGCGCAGGAACGAAAGTGCGCGAAGGCTACGTTAGTATGGGGACTTTGGGGCCCGAGTATCATGAGTAGAAGGATATGTTAAGCTAATAGAAGAAATAAAGCCGTGTAAGAAATGTTAAGCATGATTCCAGGTAGAGTTCTGACTTCCTGTCAAGCGTACGCAACAAACCGAGACGGTGATACATCCTCCGACTCTCCGTTCTTACGAGGATTTTTGGACCTTCTTAGCCCAGGTTAATTGTAATCTAAGCTTGATTTCGAGCTCCAAAATAAAGATTCATCTGCGCAGCTTTGTTAACAATCCTTCTTGAGGAGTAACTTTGTTGGTCCGCAAACTAATGAGTGTTACGTTGTATAGGGTATGTCACACAAAGCTTCAAGACACCTTCGCGTCGAGCTAGTGGCAATGATATGTCGAGTAGCCTTCGGCAGAGGTTTTCCAAGAGAAATAAAAAAGACTGCCTAGCGGATCCTTTCAGATCCTTCAGCAAGGATAATCTCATGCTCTGAAACCAATTCGATATGATCATCCCTAATCTGAACCGCATTGAGCAAAAGTTTCGATAATTTCCTTATCGTGCCGATTTCCCGCCTTATCTAAACGCGAGGTGGGGTTGTGATTTTGATCATCGTGAAGCTAGACCGCTTTTGACAAACCATTCGAGCGACATCGTCACTCCTCTAAGCCACGTTCGAATGGAGATGCTAAAAGCAGGAATTCATTCGAACTACAGCTGCCGATCTCGCACTGCCTAGGAGGCCGCAAGAACAAGCATTTATGTTAATATCTTGTTTCAAATTGAGATCTCATCAAAGAAGTCTTTTTTCGCGTTAAGATTGGACCAGGACATGGTTGAAGCTAAGCTTGGATAGGATATTTAAGGGTCCAGATGAATTTCTTGGCAGAGCGTTGAACAAAGTGGATTCAACTACTCCCATTACCCTATCAACTCCTCACAAGAGCGACTTTTCAAGTCGACAGGGTACAGCCACAAAAGTAAGCCAGCCGGCCGCTCTCACTTAAACCGACAAATCACAACGCTCCCAAACCCCTGGCAAGCTATTAATGGCTGACACGCTGATCCCCGCATCTACCGGACAAGCCCGCGGAGCACCCCGTTGTTCACGATACAGAAAAGGTGCCAAGGTCGGCAGATCGGTCGTATCAATGGCCGTTTTGGTGGGAAGCTATGCCGTAGGGCTGACGCTGATCCATAGCTGGCTGTGCTCACACTGCGCTTAGATTACCTAGTATCTGAGGGTTTCATTGCAGGGGTCTAGCTTGAAGATGACGGTGTTGGGATTTGTATATATTGAGCTTCTGTCGCCGGTTGCGAAAATTCACATCTCATCTTCACGACAGACAAGCGACTACATCTCAGCATATACTTGTTCCTTTTTTCCTTTTTCTCGACTTTATAGAACACCACCACGATGGGTCTCTTTAGAAGCGGCGACGACGATAAGTCGAACGCTACTTGCCCTACGCATTCTTTCGCCCAAGGTACTACCAGCCCCGCCGACGCGTCAACATCTAGCTAACATACGAAAGATGCCGAGAAGAATATCACCGGTAGCTTGAGCTTTTACCAGCTGAGCATGATCATCGGCGGTTCTTTTGCTGCTTTCGCTCTGATTGTCATGTTCTTCATCAACATGATGCACGCAACCCATCTCTCCAACCCCTCAGAACAAGTCAAGTACGCATAGCCTACCTTCAAACCCCCATGTCGTTCTAACGATTTCAGGATCATGCGAATCGGCACACTCATTTCTGCGTTCTCCATCATTTCGTTCCTCTGCATCTGCTTCCCCCATGCAGCAGTCTACATCGAACCCTGGCTTCATGTCTACGAGGGTTTCGCGCTGGGATCCTTCTTCCTTCTCCTCTGTGATTATGTATCACCGAACCGAGACCAACAAGACGTGTTTTTCGCTACAAAGAAGAAGAATGGTATCAAGTGGTTCAAGGTACGGTTGTCTCTTATCAGTAATTAGAAATCTTACTGACAGCCTCCTAGACACGTTGGATCATGATCTTTCAGATGCCCGTCATCGCAATCGGTGTTGCAGTCGCTACCGATATTACGCAAGCCGCCGGTATCTTCTGTCAAGAAAGCAACGATCGACACTTCGCCAACATCTACCTCCGAATCATCATGTCGATCTCCCTCGTCATTTCGGTCCTCTCGATTCTACAGATGTACTTCCTTCTCAAGAAGGACCTCGCCCACCATAACCCGATGCTGAAGCTCACTGCTTTCAAGATCGTAGTCGGCTTGACTTTTATCCAAGGTGTAAGGTCTATCCCTTCTTACGTCTTTATCATGACACTGACTGTTTAGATCATCTTTACCGTTCTCAATGACCAGAACGTTCTCAAGACCAGCGACACGCTCACCTACGCTGATGTTCACGTCGGTATTCCCAACCTCGTTATCTGCATCGAAATGGCTCCTCTGTCGCTGTTCTTCATGTTTGCCTACCCATGGAGCGTTTACATGTCTGGCCATGGCCGGGGAAACTTTTCCAAGTTGGAGCAGGGCAACATGCCTGAGGGGTCATACCAGGGCGGTCCTTTGGGTATCCATGCCTGGCTCGCCATGTTGAACCCATCCGACTCCATCAAGGCGATCTTGTTCATCTTCAAGCAAGACAACCGGAATGCTTCTACAACCTCAGTCAACATGACGGGATATCAGTCCAACGACCCTTTGGTGTCGCATCCCTATAATCCTCAGCCCTACTCTACCACGAACTAAGGTCCAGAGAGCGAAGCGGTTTTTGATGTCTTTTATGATGGTGGACATGACGATGAGTAGGACGGGACGGATATGTGGATAGATAGCTGGCAGCGGGATGAATGATTTCTTTCGTCAAACCTTTTTACGTTATTATATACCTTGACTCAATGATTAGAATTTCTTAGATGATTGGGCCATGTCTGCTGCTCAAGACATGTTGGTTCGAAGTTGTGAGTTCGTTTTCCTTAAAGACTTACCATGGCCAGTGTATACTACGTGCCCATATGAACAAGACCATGTTTCGAGGCCCAAGTGGTGCCAGGCGGCCAGAGGCTTCGAGACGGACCGAAAAATTAAGGAATGCAATACCCTTAGATGTGCGCTCAGAAATCTCTCCACTCTGTGCCATTGTGGAGATAAAATTAGGCGTGATCTGCTGACTCGATATTAAGGTCATTGTGTTTTCTTTTGGCGTATTGTATGACGCCCTTGTACTGTGGTTTTGTTCAAAGGGCGCTATGATTTTGTTACTTGATATGTGGCTACGGCATTACTTCTCTCTTGATACGGGCTTAAAGCCACACGCAGAAGACACGTATCAACACATTTAAGCAAGCAAGAAATACCCAGAACATGGCATTTGTCGCCCGAAGACCGACATTTAATCGACCCTCGGCCTGTTGGGGGGGATAAGGTTACGGGGCTTAATAAAATGAGGAAGAAAAGGAAAAAGAACACGAAGACAAATAACGCAAACAAGAATAATACGAAATAAAAACAACATCAACAAAAGCAACACATTTAATCATATAATGACTAGCTACCCCTCATTCCCTCTGTTTCCAACATGCCTACTCATTGTCTTCCCCGAGTCGAATCTGGTCTGTACAATTCTGCAGCGACAAATCAGTCGGCCCTTGGTCGAATCCTCTATCCTTCATGAAGCCCACTCAGGCTCTCATCGCTCTTGCGGCCATTGTCTATGCGGCTCCTGTCGTAGAGCAGACCAAGGCCCTCGCCCCCCCTCTCGCCGAACTCGACACCCATTTCGAATACCACATCAAACGCTGTGGCAAGGACGAGCCCCCTTTCCTTGGAAGATTCCCATTCGCGAACGAAACTTATAACCAGCTCACCGACGGGACGCCCTGCCGCAATGTCACCATGATCTACGCCCGAGGAAGCAGGCAGGCAGGCAATGTAGGAAAAGCAAATAATACCGGTCCCGCCTTATTCAATAGCCTTGCCGACCGTATTGGCTTAGAGAACCTGGCCGTCCAGGGCGTGACTTACAAGGCGAGGAGGCGGGACTACATTTTCAAAGGAGGCTGTAACGAAGGCAGCAAGACCATGGCTAAACTAATCAACCAGGTACGTCAAAACACGAAGACGCATCTCTAATGAGAGAGATACTGACACCTTACTTACAGGCCGCAAGCCAGTGCCCCGATACCAAGATTGTAATCGCTGGTTACAGCCAGGGCGCCCAGCTTTTACATAAAGCTGCTAAAAATGTAACTGCCGGTGTGACACAGCACATCGCTGCCGGTTAGTACCTATACCCTCCACAGCATTGACAACTTGCAACTGACTTCGCGTCTGCGTAGCTGTTACCCTCGGTCACCCGGAGCAACCCATGGGCAAAATCGCCGCATCGCGTAGTCTGAGTGTCTGCCGCCCAGGTGATAGCTTTTGTGATAAAACGATCCCCTGGAAGCCCTTTGTCCCCTTTGTGGGCGCCCCACTCTGGTGGTTCATTACTATGTTGGACACGCACGGGGATTACAATGAAAATGCCACTGCTGTCGCCAACTGGATTGCTGATCGGGTTACCAACATTGGATAGCCATACTTCCCTTTGCACATTCACTTACATTCTTATAAACTTCCTGTTTAAATGTATTATGCCTCAAAACTATGGACCACAGCAGCAGGGTGATTAGTATATAGGCTTTCCATGAATAATTAACTTTAATTCTACCCGTTCTGGGAAGGCTTATATTATTTGGGATGCAAAGGTTGTTTAATTTAGCAATTTCTAACTTGTCTCATTGCCAAGATTAGAAATACCCTGAACTTTTCTTGACAGGGTCCTGTTTCACCCTTCTCTTTCTTTAACTACATATCTTTCTTCATAGAACACTCAGATCTTGGTTGATGTCGCCGCTCGACATATTGGCTCAAAACTCTGCCATCACAGCCGTTGGTATGGATAGAAAAATAGCTTGCGAGTCTGCTGCCCTTCCCGCGGCACAAGTAGTAAGCCATGACGTATCAAGTTCTTCTTCAATACCTGCATTCATGTTCTACTCCCTCCATGGTCTGCTGAGAGCATGTCTACTCAAGCCTTACTCTGGCCAGTGCATACTATGTGCCCATCAACGAAAC